CAATTTCCATCTTGAGGCGGTACTCCCTCGTAACTCTGCTTCTTTCTGTACTTACTCTATTGGTTCATTCTGCTCATTCCCTTCAAAATCATCCACTTTTATATCATCCTCTACAAGTTCATGATAAGGCGTTCATCGATTTTGTCAACACCTATTCTCAACTACCCTGTCCGCGAGTCGAAGAAAAGATTCAGTCAGTTTTACTTGCCGCAACTTGTGCCAACGCTACGCTTTGGTTGAGTCGCAGTTGGTCAACCAGTAAAAAGGCCTAAATTGGTTTTTTAGTTTCAACGAATGAAAAAAAATGAATCCACACTTACTTCTCCCGCTCAAAACACTATTTCCTCGAGAAAATAAAATGCACTATGAGCCAACGATCTTCGTGATGATAGTAGCCAGCAGGCTTTGTGTAGTGCATGTCCTCGAACGTCACCAGAAATGTTAATGCACCAATCAAACGTCCACTACGATGCACTACGAGCCAGTGGGCAATGTACTATGAGCAGGCTTGGTCAAAAAAAATTTCTGAAAACAGTCAGGAACGATGTAACGATCATTCATCGGAACAAGTAAAATCAAATTCACAAATATTATTAGCTCTATTTGTACACAATTCGTGGCCAATACATGTTGGCGGATCATAAATAAACTAATTAAAAATTCGGCTCATTTTTACGCTCGTAGTGCAAGTGTAATTTCTAGAGGATTTCAATGCGCACTTTTCAACCAAACGATTTGAATAATAAAAGAGATTTGAGATGCAATAATCTTTAATTTTACTCGTTCAAAACGGTTTACATATTCTTTTCATACGATCAGCCATCACAGTGCTTCTCAAAAATGATCATCAGGTGGCAGCTTCGGTTGTGATTATTATTTTGTACAAATCCATCTACAACATGTGTTGAAATTGTTGTTTCAGTGCAGATTACCTTACATCGAAGCAAACTAATTTTGAGTTAAAGGTTCCGATCGATATTTGTGAGAGCAAGAGCAGCAGGTACTACAGCGTTATGGCTTTTTTTTTGTTGTAAGACGGTTGACCAACTGCGACCGGCCACTTCGGGGCGGCGGCTTCAAATTTACTATCGCAAAACTGACTGAATCTTTTCTTCGACTCACGGACAGGGTATTCTCAACAACGATGGCAAGCTGGAGAAAATAAAATCTTTCAAAACATGACCCTTGGTCAAATACAACGACGATACGCAAAAAGTAATCTCGAACTTGTCGAAAGACGAGAATTCTCTCAACAACATGCATCCATGATACACAAAAGTCAAGATTCTTCTTCGTATCAAAATCTTCCATCCTCGTACTCTCTCCTTTCAGATCCTTTGTATGTCAATTGCTCTCAACTGCATTCGATTCGACATGATTTGGATTGCGGCTGTTGGGCTTTTGCCATTGCAGAAGCTGTTGGCGATCGATTCTGTGTGGTCACTCAAGCTCGAATCAATCATGTCATGTCTCCTCAATGGTTAATTTCATGTGATAAGAATGATGGTGGATGTGAGAATGGTGCTTTCGATACGGGCTTACAGTTTGTGGAACAAGTAGGATTAGGTAGGTGTCACCATTCATTGATGAATGCCTTAATATCATGAAAATTATAAATCAATATGGTCATGACACCCTATCAAAGTGACAGAATCATGTGTACCATTTCAAGCAAATGATAACATGGCTTGTCCTTCGTATTGTACTTCCAATGGACAACTCATTTCATCAACATTTAAAACCACAAATTCTCGACTCTTCAACGTGACCGATATGGAATCAGTTCAAACAAGTATTCTGAAAAGTGGTAGTATCATTGCTGGAATGAAAGTCTATAGAGATTTCTTGAATTATAAAAGTGGAGTGTATCATCATGTGGCAGGTCCGTGGTTATTTAATGTCGGTGTGAAAATTGTTGGATGGGGAGTTCAGCCAGGAACTGGTGTGCCTTATTGGATTGCTGCAAATTCATGGAGTTCGGTAAGTTTGAAGTCCAATTGAGAGAGTTGTTGATTTAATAGTAACTGCGCTTGCACTTAAAAAAGGATTGGGGAATGAATGGATACTTTTTCATTGCTCGAAATCAAAACGAGTGTGAATTGGAAATGAATATGTGGGAAACGACACCTCTTCTTAATTGAGTATGACTATCATACTCTTCAAATACGAAGGTAACCCTCGAATTCTCACTGCTTATTAAAAACTTGTTGCCATTGTATGGAGGTTGCCCAACTCTTCTAAAATTGGTATTGGCCAACGTTCATGGCTGACAGCTCTCTCATCAAGGAAACCAAATTGACGAGCAGAAGAAGGATTTCGAAAAAACAAAAAATGAGTTCCGTTCAGCTTGACGAAAGCGTTTTGAATGCCCTGAAAGAGTTTTGCAAGAATGAACAAGAATTGTTGGGGGCAGCTATTTTTGATTCAACCGGAGCATTGATTGCGAGCGAATATAAACAAACAATACCTCCAGAACAGTTAAAGTATGGATTTCTTTGAATAATCATCATTTTAAATTAATATTGTTTCGTTGTTATGATCATTGTATGGTTGTATTTTTTAAATACACAATAATCCGATTTGATGCACTCCGATTCGTCTACTATTCATGATGAACCGATTATTATTGTACGAATATGATGGTTGGTAATGAAACTATCCATACAAACTGATCTGGATGAACATTTAATGATTCGTTTTTAATAATGAATTCGTTCGGATGATTTGACAAAACTTTTGTTATTCTTGGACATTTTACTAAAACTTTTTGGCAATAATCATGTGTATACAATACGTCAATCTCACAACAACAACGAACATTGCATTTCAACAACAGAGCTTTTGCAAACATTTTCATTTCAGAAGACGATGCCTTCTCGAGTGGCCTTCTCCTCTTTGACACTTTATTTGACGTTCATCGATTCTATCCCAACGAAAAACCATCACTTGTATATGGAAGAAGAAACGGAGATAAATCCGATTCGGAAGGCATTGGAGTGTTACGTGTATTGGATTCTGACGCATTGTGTGGACAAACTCTCTTTTTGGTGACTACCTTCAAGTTACCTTGCCTTACAACAAGAGCTATTACTCATCTCAGAGATTATGCAAGAAAATACCGTACGTATTTATCATGATAATTCGTTGCTGATTTAATGTGACCTGGTTGATGCTCATTATTTTTCGATTATTCTGTCATATTTTTAATATTGTTGTTGACATTGCATTCTTGTGGATTTCAATATAGTAATGAAGTCGTTCAAATAACAAAAGAAGAAGAATTATCATGACAATCACACAGTGTAAATAATAAATGATAACTTATTTGACTCCAACAGCGTGTTCTTGCGAAAACAGGAAAAAAATGCTGCAACCACAACACAGCGGAAATTGTTCTCCTCCAACAACCACAACACCCCGAGACTCGAGTAACGAGCTCGGACACTGGCCCACAACTCCATCATCATCGGGTCTCAATCAACCTAATAATATCCCAAATATTTTTGATTCCAACAAGATCCACAATGCCGATAAAGGCTATCATTTTTTAAATTCCGAGTTGTACAATAGAAATAATAATAATTCCAATTCTGACAATAATTTGCTATGTACTGTCTTTACCACGCAAAATTCACAATATCAAGACCAACTAGTACCTGTATCTATATTCTTGCCATTTACACTTCGATCTGTTCCTTTAGAAATTATTTCTTTTGGAGAAATTGTGGAATCAAAGCCCTCAAATTACGAATCATCAAACGCAGCAACAAATTCTGCCCGAGAATTATTTCATCAAGTTGAAAAATTTTGGAGAAAGTTCAAAGGAGAATTTGTACATCCATATCCAATTGGATTTCAAGCAATTTTAAGATTACGACGAAGAAGACGAGTAAAAAAATCCCCTGAGGCTGATTGGATTTCAGACACAGCCATTGAGAGGATTCAATTAAAGCTAGAAATTATTAAAGGGGAAGTAGGTCCTCAATTTGTGGTCACTGATATCTCGAGCAGTAAAGGAGTGGGACAACGATTTGTAGGAAGTAGCTGCTCTCATCCTTTTACAGAAGCATTTCAATTATATCAACCAGATGAAGTCCCAGACACAAATGAAAATGGAGAAATAATAGAATATTCATATCTCGATGTTGACACTGATGAGCTGACAGGATTAAGTGCGTTTGGTTTTTGTGACCTTTATTTTCAAAGCATTCTCAACAGCATTGCAAAACAGGCTCATCGATATTTACCTGATCAAATTAATATTTTCGATGGAAGAAGCAAGGAATTTTGGAAAACGACGCTTGAACGAGAAAAACAAAAACTAATGATGGAAATTGTAGAGTTGGAAAAAAAGAAACAAGTTCTCATGAAACTATCCACCACAAAACCTAGCACACGCGACAGTAGTAATCCTGTCACCACCAAACCAAGAAGAGTGGTCAAGAAGAGAACAAAGAGACCTGTAATGGATGTGGAAGACACTCCATCTTTTGCTGATGGAGAAGATTCATTGAAAGAAGCTGTCTCAGATTCTGAGCCATCTCAACAACAAATTTCTCCCAATAATATCGGCTCTGCATCTTCCATTGTCTCTCCCATTAAGAAGATTAAAATGGATGGAACGGCCACCGAAGAAGTATCCACACCAAATCGAATTGAGGCTGTTTTTCCAACCACAAACAATAATGCTATGGACCTGCAGAACGATCTCGAAATTGGACCTTCTTCGAGTAGCATGCATGACGATTTGGAGCTACGACTTCTTAAAGGTTCACCTCATCCGCCTTCATCAAACCATCAATCTCCAATCAAACCCTCCAACATGCAGCAATCCCAACCAACCATTGAAAAAAGGAATACCGTAAGCCAAGAATCCATTGCAGAAGATAGTGACAAGGAAGATCAACATGTCCATGTAACGCCGACCCGTATGTCACTTGTAAATATGCCAAATTCACCCAAACTTGAGAAAATTAACATTTCACCTGCCAAGAGAAATCCCATTTCCTTAGAACTGAAGGATGCAGTAGACATTATGGAGGTGTCAAAGGAAAAAGAGACATCAATTCAACAATCATCCTTGTCATTAACTCCACCGTCACATCAGCAGCAACATGTTCAATCGAATTCTCCAGAATTTGCAATTCCTGCTTTACCATCATTGCAACCGCTCAAAAAGAACGCCTCCCAGACTCAGCAGTCACAACACTCTATTGAAACAGCTTCCGTTCCACAAACATCTCAACCTCAAGCATCTATTTCCCAACACCATGACGACAATACTTCGAAACCAAAATCTCAGAGCGAAGAGGTCGTTATAAAACCAGGCTCGACTATTACTCAAGATTCTCCACAATTAGATGAAATTATTGATGAAGATGGAGAACGAGACGGTGACACAATGAATGGTGTCAGCGTTACTAAGGACGGTGACATTTCCAGAGAGTTAGCCCAAAAACATGACGAAATGGTTACAGAGGATGGTCATGATATCCAGAATTCCAAACCTCAAAAATCAGATATCATCACAGTGAACCCTGCCGCAGAAGTTAAAGAAACAGAGATTGTTCAGGTACTGTTTGACACAACCAGTGCTACTGTTAAACCTCAAACGGACGACAAACACATGGATGACACTACCACCTTGTCAACCACCACCTTAATGCAAAATCAACAAGGCAAAAATCCTAACATTACCAACGAAGTCGATGACGATGCAACTCCAACGGATATCATCTTGGAAACAGATCAATTTTCCAACTCGATCAAAGAAAGGGTTGAGACAAAATTGTCTCCTCAGCTAGCAGAGGAAATATCGAATGCCTCACATTCCATGCAAACAGCAAACCAAGAGACAACGTCAGAAATTGTTTCAAAAATTGAATCCACGTCACACCAAGAGATCAACATGGTCACAACAACAACTGCAGATCAAACAACCACTACTTTAACAAATGTCTCACATGCCTTCATGCCAATACTCGAAGTTCAGTTTAGTGGTGAGATGCCGTCACCATCCTCTGCAAATAGCAATAACAGCACTGGCACAACTCATTTCGAAGCAGCTACAGGTCAAGAGGTAGCTAGTGTGAAAATATCCACTGCAGGTGTTGCCAGTGGTATGATCACAAACGACCATAGTGACGAGGAAACCCCCAAAGATCTCACACCTCCAGTTCAAGTTTTTGAGGATACCTCAAAGAATTTCAACCCATTGGTGAATGACACCCCCTCAAAGACCAAAGCCAAAACAGAGATAACTATGCACAATGATGAAGAAATTCCAGCAACACCAACACCTGCTAAACCGCTGCTCACAGATGCCTCTTCGCCCGCTCGTACAGAATTAGCAACACCAACCTACGAACACACACCAGCAATGGACATGTCAAGCAAAACAATAATTCCTGCCACCATTGTGTTAGATCCTTTAGAGCTTGGAGGAGAGGATGACATGGTTGATGACGACTTTGATAGCAATGACGAAGATGACAAACAGCCAATCTCTACCCCACCTAATAATACGAGTCGAATATTGTCCTACACCACTCCTCGTTCAGAAAGAGGAGAAGATGGAGCTTCCATATCCAGTCAAGCAGCTGTCGAAGAAACTCAATATCCAGCAATTAAGATTGATTTAGATTTAGGACAATTATCGCCATCAAAAAAGAACAATCCATTCATGCAAGCACCAGTTTGTGAAAATGAACAATCTGAATCGGATGAAGAACAAGAGTCCCCTAAAACACCATCTCCAACAGCACTTGGCTTGAATATACAATTTTCTTCTCCTCCCCTTATTAATACCATTTCACCCATTGTTAAAACGAGTGTGACTTCTCCCATTGTTTTCAACAATAACAATTCCAAAGCCCTCGACTCGTTTTTGAACCAACCATGCAAGTAGATTTTGATGCTGACTCGGATGACGATTACGTTTTGGAAACTGGCAAGAAGCCCAATAAGCCTGCATCTCCTCCTCTTCATCAAAATTCTAATTACAGCTCAACTCCAGAAATGACACCACCATTACTCTCAGCAGGTAGCGAAAATGGTGCTGATGAAAATGAACGTCATGAAGAAGTACCATCCTCAAAGATGTCTGCAGTTCAATGGTCAGAAAAAAAGCAAACAACAGCTTCATCCTCTGCACAACCAGGATCATCATCCTCTTCATCCAATGTTTCATCAACTCCTCCTTTGGTTACTCTTTCACAAAATTCTCTGCCAAATCATCCCATCTTGAAAATCAACAGACAACACCCCCTTAAACCATACTCAAAGATTAAGATTAACTCTCCAGTTGTCAACATGGTATTCGCTCCCATTGGAGAACCCAAGCTTGCCATTTGTACCAAGTTAGAAGTGTCGATCCGAGAATTGACTGGAACAGAATGGACACAAACTGAGCTCTTTGATTTACTCTTTGAGGAGCAAGAACAATTTTACTGCGTGAGATTTACGCCAGATGCAGAAATGCTGATCATTGCTCGATCTTGCTTTGAACCTTCCATTATTATGACCATGTCACTTTTAGATGATGGAAATCAAGAAGAAAAAAACCAAGAAGGTACAGAAACTTTCCATGTAAGATTTTTCGAAATTGATGGACAGCATCAAAAGCAAACAGGCATTGAAAAGAAGCCTGCATTAAGTCTCGATGATATCCGAGCACCAATATCAACCATGGAAATTAGTGGAAAAACACTTGTTGTTTCAAGCACGAACGGGGATGTTCTCAAATATTCACTTGGGGAAGACTTACGAAGTAGAAAGGGAGTGATCAAGTGTGCTTCCCTTAACGAAAAAGAAATTGTTTCAAAATTGGAATTTGTGAGCTCATTGCCAGGATTTGTAATTGGCACGTCTGCTTCGTATCTTGGAATTTGGAAGTTGGCAGATGGATCCTTATTGAGAAAGATTTCACTCTCTCCTTTCTCAATGATTAGGACGACTGTTGTTCAGGCGGTGACAAGTGGTAGCAATCAAGGTATTTTTCTAATGTGTGTCTATAAGAATAGCTCAAGTAGTGACAAGAATCAACAAAATTGTGGGCTCTTCTTCTTGAATGAAGCGACCACGTTGGTACACACCTTTGAAAGAAAAGATGCTCCACAAAAAGTACTCTCTCAAACCGAAACAGACATTATGACCTCCCTTGATGTTGTTCGAGACACTGAAAATGCTCCTTACTTGGTCGCAGGCACTTCTCGGGGTCGATTACTTCTCTTTAACTATCGATCGACTCAATGTTTAGGTTTCATTGTCGATTTGGATGGAGAAAACGTTGGTGCTTGTTGTTTCCATGACCGTTTTTCATTATTAGCTGCTGGAGGCACTAAGAATATTGTTATTTATTATCAAGACAAGTATAATAATGAGCAGCAGTAAGATATGAAGGGAGACCGTCCAACACGTTAGACGAGCCTACTTAAATACAGTGTTACGTTAAATTCTACAAGACCTGATGGGATTTACATTATGCCTTCACGTCGAAAGCTCTCAATTTAACTATCTCCATAATTTTAATCATGATTCCAATTGGGATTGTTCATGAACTAGAAATGAATTCCATGAGATTCTTCCAGTTATATGTTTCCAAAATTGTTTCATGTTTTGTGAATATTTATTGGAATGTTTTCAGTAAAAACAAGCCTGACGAAGAGGAACAATTCCATCGTGTGGCTGATTTGTGGTTTCACAACAATACTTTTCTTCTTTTTCGGAAAGGTACCTAAATTCATTTTTTAAAACATTTGAAAAAAACAAAAATGAGAAGATCTTCCAAGTTCTTGGTAACATTCGAAATTGTCTCACTAGACGAACAGGTGATTGGTTGTTTAAATTCTAATTAAAAAAGAAGCCATCAAACGCGTTCAAACATGCCAAACGATATCTCGAACATGTATGAAACTGAAGATGAGTCGTTGGAGGTGCTGCTCGATGTACGTATCTTTCTAATGTAAATTTTGAAAATTAATTAAACACAACAAAAACAACCATTTCATGACGCATGTAAAGGAAATAAAAAATAAGGAACAGTCTCTTAGAAATGTTGTGTTCCAGCTCCACAAGTCTTCCGTTCAAGAACAAGCCCAACGAACGACACTTATTACCAAAGCCGAACAATACTACCATCAAGCGAAGGAGAACATTTTGCAACTCAAAGATGATCTTGCACTCTATGAAGGAAATAAGAAACAGTTCTATCAACTGGAAATGAAGAAATTGGAAAAGGCTATTGCTCAGAGTTATGATGATTTGAGCCAGATGAAACTTCAGAAGAATGAAATGAATGAAAGAGCAACCTCAACAACTCCGAGGGTAACAAATATCAGTCCCTCTTCAACCGAAGGAAAGGCAACCACTTCTAACGGGTCAACCACTAAGGTTGGAAAGACGAAATCTCCAACGCAGAATCATCATGAACTTGACGGTTCTATTATTGTTATGGACGACCACGAAGGAAGTGTTCATTCATTTCCACCTCCCATGCAACAAGGTCATTCTCGAGTCGATGAAATTCTAACTGTCTATGATGAAAATAATGAAATTTTAAACAACATGATTAGAATTGGAGATGAAACGATCCAGATTGGAGCATCGGCTGCTGAAAAGTTACGAGATCAATCGAAACGAATGGACGACATTCAAAAAAACTTGGACGAGCTCGGGGATGGCTTAAAGAGAGCGAAAAAGGAGCTGAACGGATTCATACGAGGAACAAATTGCGATAAGGCAGTGATATGTATTTTCATTATTGTTATTTTACTAATGGTCGCTGTGATTATTGGATGGCAAGTTGCAAAATATGTTTGTATTAAGGGTGTTACCAACACTTGTGTGGGAGGTTTTTCAAATTCTTCTTCGTCGTCATCATGAGAGTAAATTCAATAAGAATCTGAGTTGCAGATGAAATGAAAATAATTTGATGCCTTGGCTATGTGAAGAGCTTTCGGAGTCAGGCTCTAGAACCACCTTTGAACTCGATAAATATTTTTAGAGCAAAAAAAAATTCACAAAACCATTCGGGTCGTCGTGAGCTCACCGCTGTACAGAAATCTTTGAACACATAACAATTTCATTTTGATCAAACACAATGTCTGGACTAAAGGCAGAGGCTGAAAAGTTTTTGAATAACGCAAAAGAGAACACTTTTGGATGGACTCTGAAGGATAATAGTACCGACGACAAGATTTATGTTGTGGTTGATAATGAAGCTGACCCTGATGATAACCCATACTTTTCAATTTCCAGGAATGGAGATTCATTTGTAAGTATATTATTGGATCATCTCTGAAATATATTGCTGACTATTCCCGAAAACCTCTCTCACTTCTACTCTCCGGTGTTTTTCGTTGCGATAATTGTTTGATGGATGTATTGAAATTTCTCTTTGATCATCATCAAACGAAAATCATCGTCGTTCTTCAATGGTGCTAACTGTCTTGACAACTTTTCGTATTATTTGTTGTTGGAATAATGATGATGATCAACAATTTTCGGGAATCATCCTCTCAATAATGATGATCATTGTTCTGATGGAATGTTCATATTTGAATCAATTATTAATTGTGTCATACCATATCACCACATTCAAATTCTAAATGCTTGAAATTTTTCGAATGACACTATTTTTGGCTCTCACTTTGATCGTCATGTGTTGAAAATTTGCATCTGTACCCTTCCGACTCTTGACTCGTGATACTTTGTTCTTCATTCAATTTCATGAAATGTTCACAGAAAGTGGCTAGCCAATACTATCTTTTGGAAGAAGTTGAAGGAGTCAGATTTATCAAATTATTGAGCGACTATTGTGCTCAAGGAAAGAGATCCCTTACTGACGTGTTGCAAAAGGCCAACTCAATCTATAACCAAGTTGAATCTGCACTGATGGCTGGTGAAGATCAAGGTGACGATGAGGAGCAAGAAGAAGTTGAAATTGAAGTTGGAGACGACATGCAAGATGAAATGCCTATTCAACCCGTGAGCAGCATGGGCAGTGGTTATGACGCAAACTTTGAAGAAATGAAGAAGAAATTCAAAAAGCCACAAGGTGCCTCTGAGGGTTGTATCAATTGTATCATGAAGGAATACATGAAGATCAAACAAGCAGAAACTGAAAAATTGGGAATTAGCGCTAATCCAGTCAATGACGATCTTTTCCATTGGGAAATTCGTTTCTTTAAATTCGATCCAAAGGAAGATGGTCAAATTGCAAAGGATCTTGCTGAATATTCGAAGAAACATGGTATTGAGTAAGTATTATGATGATTGATTTCATCTCGTATTGAACGACGAAAATATTTCATCAAAACTTCATTGGACACATTCTATTTTTCTAAATGTTAATTAACAATAGCTATATCACATTGGACTTGACTTTCCCACTTGAATTCCCATTCAAGCCACCATTTATCAGAGTTCTCAAACCAAGATTTGCTTTCCGTACTGGTCACGTCACAATTGGTGGTTCCATTTGTATGGAATTGTTAACTACCTCTGGATGGAGTTCTGTTTGTTCTCTCGAATCAATCTTTGTTCAAATCAGAACTGAGATGATTGCTGGTGAGGCTCGTTTGGACTTTTCCAATACTACACCTTACACTGAACATGAAGCAAAGGAAGCTTTCTTCAGAGTTGCCGAAAGATATGGTTGGGAAAAGAGATAATTTTGTAAAGATGAAGTAAATCTTTTGGTTTTATTTTGCAAAACATAAAGTGATCTTGTTCACTGTGACCTTGTTGTATTATTTCATTCAGCAACCAAGACTGGTGTGACCTTAATTTGCAGGAGACAACAAAAAAATTCTCTCAATGAATAGATGGATAATTTCAATTCTGCGGATCAGTTGGAGAAACAAGCCAATGATGATGATGATGTCCAATTAATTGATGAAAAAGAAGAAGAACCTAGAGATGATGAAGGAACTATTGTAAAAGTTTCCGACAATCATGATGATTCCATTACATTGAATATTCAAAAGGATGATGATCATCACGTTCCTTCTTGGAAAAATCGATTAAAATCCCTCGCTGAAAAGTTATTGAACATGATTGTGGTATTTGTTCCTTTGGGATTATTTTCTTTTGGTGGACCCATTGCACACATTTCGCTTTTAGAAAAACAATTTGTTCGGAAGAAAAAATGGATTGATGAACCACACTTCACTGAACTATTTTCACTTTCTCAATCACTTCCCGGCCCTACATCAACACAAATGGTCATTGCTGTGGGCACTATTTATTTGAATAGTATATTCGGCGGAATTTTGGCATTTGTACTCTTTAGTTTTCCTTCCTTTATCGTAATGACTTTGGTTGGATTATTTCTAAGCGATCAAAATATTACTTCATCATTCCATCCACTTGTTTTTGTCATGTTGAACGGATTTTCATGTGCAGCCGTGGCTTTGGTTGTTCAAGCTGCTTGGCAATTATCAAGAAAGTTATCAGATTCGTTATTTGGAAAAAGTTTGCTACTTTTTGCTTGTATCACATTTCTATTGATTCCACTTCCATGGATACTTGTTGTGTTAATGGTATTAGGTGGTATTCTGACATTGGTGAAATTCTATCTTGAAAAATTAATTGACAATAGATTGAAAAATTACATTACAGAGACAGAAGAAGAAAAATTGGAAACATTGAAGAAATTACTTAAAGAAAAGGAGCAAGAAGAAGGAATTTTTAACTTTACATCCTCTCTAATCAAAGTCAAGACAATACTTTTGAAAACAAAAATATTTTTCTCAAGTTTTAGAAGATCTCCAAGACAATTTTCAAACACAATCCAATCAGGATCTCAATCAGATAACGAAACATCTGGTCGGCAACAAACACCGATAACTACCTTCAAGCCATGGATGGGTATTCTATTTCTAGGGCTTTTTTTCGTAATCCTTGGTGGGCTCATGATAGGTAGAATATTCTTTGAATTCAAATATCTTATTTGGTTTGAAGCATTTTATAGAATTGGTTGCATGATATTTGGAGGAGGTCATGTTGTGCTGGGAATGATCGTTACAGAGTTTACAGATTACATAACTGAACAAGAATTTTTAAACGGTTTTTCACTTGTGAGCTGTCTTCCTGGACCAATGTTTAACATTGCGGCATATGTTGGAGCTGTGATATCTAAATCAATTGTAGGAGCATTTTTATGTTGGATTGCCTTATTTTTGCCAGCATTCTTATTAATTTGGGGAATTTTACCTTTTTGGTCCAAATACAGAGAAAAGGAAATAGTTCAGAAAATTCTATTTGGTATTAACTCGGTAGCAATTGGATTCGTTTACACTGCCATCTTTTTATTATGGAAAGGTTCCGTTCATAACAACAATTTGTATTCAGCTGCGACAGTAGTTCTCAGTTTCACTTTGTTATGTGTGTATGATTGGTCAGCTCCAATTGTGATTTTAACTGGCGGAGGCACAAGAGTTGCTCTACATGAAATATTCGAATCAAATATTAACAATGGTACTAATACTACACTTCATTCATTTTAATAAATTGTTTCGAATGTCCTATCGTTCTTTTTCTCATGAAATTAAATACTAAGTTATCAACATAGAAGAAATTTAATAAAGAGAAATGCATTGATACAACTCACATCTGCTTTTCACTTCCTTATACAATGTTTGGGCATTTCAACCTCAAAGGTTTCCAATTCCTCACCTTCCAAGTGACTCATCGAACTTGTCGTTGCACCAAGATGAGAATGAACCACAGAAGGTACAAGAACGCCACGAATTTTACCATCGGTGCATCCTAACAGAAGAGCTCTTCGTCCATCAAATTCAATACTCGACAATTCGAAAGTGGTGTCATCTTCATGCTTGCCAACAACATTCTCTTCTTGTTCCTCTGTCGCCTCTTCCTCCTCGTCATGGTCACCATGAATTAAGGAACAAAATGTACTCGAGTCTTCCAATCGTGAATAAATTTCAATCAAATCCTGACTTGACACAATCATCCGCTCTCCAACAAATTTCAAATGGAAAATCTTGTCATGAATTCCCTCACGCATGGCTTCTGTAGCAAATTCCTCTTCCATGGTTCGTAGTGCTCCCTCGACATGCAAATGATCACTCGTAAGAGGTACAGACTCGGCTGTGTTAAATACTCGTATCAAATAGTCACCTCCTTGTTTGATCAAGACATGAAGATGTTCACTATTTTCTGGAAGAGTTACGAGATGCAACTCATAGGTAATGTTATTCAATGGGCTTTCAAATGGATAGGAATAGAGTTCCTGTTCTGATTGTACTTCTTCTGAGTAAGTTGATTCTTCTGTCTCGTCATGTGTATCAACTGCCAATGCAATGGATGCACTAAATGCATGAATGACCATTTTCAATACGAATAATCGATTGAATTGAAAATCTTGATGAGATTCTTCGAGACCAATGGAAGAAATTCTATTCTTTACCAAACGATAGTTTGGTTCGAGAATGGCAATCATTCCATCTTCCCAAGCAACGGCAATAAAGCTGTATGATAAAAGCCGATTTGGATTGCAACGATCTTTTCGGCTTGAGGAAACACTTTTCACCTTGTGATTCATTCTTCCCAAGTTGAATTTAGATAATCTAATAATTTTACCAGACATTAATCCAAATTTCCAAACTCCCACTTCACCTCTTTCACTAATGGCATAAATTAAATCATGCGAATTTCCCAATGCTACGATAGGCGATTCAAATGTTGCAGCATCTTGTGATGAAGTATCAATCATTTCCATTGAAAAATCAATATAGCTGGTTGGAGCTAGCTCTATGTGTTTGTTATCCACATTGTACTGATGTTTTTGAGTTTTCTCTTTTGCATAAATTTTCCAAAACTTGACGCAACCATCATTTTCAGAAATGGATGCAAAATAATTTTTGCAGGAAATCTTCTTGATTCGTTTTTCAATACTGGAATTTGGTGTACCGTTCGATAAATGGTCCTCATCGATATCGGAAATAATTTTGTGGCTTATTTGAATAATATTGGAAATGGCAGTCGTTTGTTGAGGAAGTGAAAACTGAGTGAGTGATGAAGCACCAGGTGCAAATAAAGAAACAGAACCATCTTTCAGTCCCATAAATAGGACACTTATGGATGAGACATTGTAATGATGATGATGATGGTGAGTATGTTCATGACCTTCTCCCGAATGATGATGATGATGGGAACCACACGATGGTTGCTTCAAATTATGATCTTCATGGCAACATCCATGATGATGATGATGACTATGATCCACATGACATGATTCGGAATGATGTTCTCCTTCACCAATTTCCTTTACCACCTGCAAATTGAATCGGCTCACAAAAGTAATGGGCACGTGTGTCGTCATTTTTTTTTTTGTAAAAGGTTCTTGGTTTACTATGGACCTATTCGCACCAAATATATCCATTCTCCAAAGTCTTCTTTTTAAAAATCAAAGAAGGCATCCATCATGCTTTTAAGGGATGTTTGTTTGCTCTTGGTAGAGGATGCTCCACCAGAAGAGTTCGTTGTTGAACGAACTGTTTCAACATCTTTCTCTGTCATTGGTTTTTTAGACTCGGCCACGTTGTGCTGCCGAGTGGATGAGGACGTTTTGGTGGACTTGCTGAAAAAGATTTGTTGAAAGGTCAATTCGTCTTCTTCTTCCTCTTCGTCGTCATTGCCTGTGGCATTGTTGTTGTTTGGGAGCTTATTAACCATCTGTGTTGTATTGCTTGATGATTGATAATAAGGAGAAGATGAATGGTTCTGCACAATTGTTGTTGTTGTAAAGTCTGTACCGATCGTTGTATCTTGTTGGTCATGGACTTTCTTTGGTTTCTTACTGGACTTGGAAAAGAATACATTTGTGTTAGTAGCAGTAGTAGTAGTAGTAGTCGTCGATAACGAATCATCGTCTTCTTGATCCTTGTTCGTACTACTAACAGATTCCAAGTGACGTGCTCCTCCTCGAGTGGACACGACACCCATGTCTCTTGCTGTTTCCATACGAGGTGAAGGAGGGTTCTTTCGTTTCTTCTTTGAAAAGAAAACGTCCATAATGGATATATTTTCATCATCGTCATCATCATCCTCGACAGCAGGTGTTGTTTCAACCTCAACATCATCTCGTTTCTGTTGTGGAGATGGAATTGCCTTGGGGAATTGGTTAGGTAAGGTAAATTTGTTTTCGTTTGTCAGAGAATTCTTCACAGGACTCGATACTTCACTCTTGATTCGTAGTACAGGATTGAATTCTGATCTGTTGTTGTTGCTTGTGGTTGGATGAATTTCTGTGTTACCCGATTTGGAAAAGAAAATATTACTGCATGCAGAACGGTCATCATGATCGTCGTCATTATCATTTTGAAATTCCTTTTTAACACACAACGTTGTGTGAAGAATATTTGGCACGACTTGATGCGGTCCCTTCTTGGGTAGTAAGGATTGAGGTTTCTTTTTTCCAGGAGAATCTTCAGTTGTTTTCATGAATGGTTCACTCAACATTGCAATGTTATGAGATACGCGTTCTGAATTTTCATCTCGTTGTTGTGAAAGTGGTTCTTTCTTTTTGTTGTCTTCTCGTCGTGTCGTTGTAAGTGGTTCAGAGGTCGAGTTGTCCATTGTGTTTCCTTTTTTTTGTTTTTCATATTCTTTCTGTAATTCCTTTTGTTTATCGATATATACTTGTTTGTCTTCCGTGGATAGATCTTTCCAACGTTTTCCCAATTCTTTGGCCACTTCTGATGCAGAAACTTTACCACCTAATTCTTCCTTCACTTGTTCTCTATGATCATCGCAATATAAAAAGAAACTCGTTTTTGGTTTTTTAAGTTCTGATTGTGCTTTGGATGACTTTTTCTTGGATTCCTTCTCCTCTGATTTTGATTGTAACGCCATCCAAGCAGGTAATGTTTTCTTCTTCTTTTTTGGCTCATTGGAAGAGCTTGCAATGTCTCCATGGAGAGTAGTATTGGAGGCCTGTAGAACGTTGGAAGAGGAGTGAGGAGACACAGAGTGTTGAGAGAGTGTACGTTCATTCATTTGACTCGCATGCTCCTGTGAATCTAATTCACCACTTTTCAAAATCATTTGTTTTTGTTCAAGTTTTTGTTCATCCCCTTGATTTCTACTTGTAAGAATTGAAATATAGGCCAAAATACCAGCACAAATGTGTTTACATCGACCTTGAGAACCATCAGGACATGTACACACTGCTTTGTTAATCTTTTTGTCCTTCATTAATACTTCTTGTCGATAAAAGATTGGTTCTTGTCCATATTGAGGCACTTGTTGACTGGTGCACTTGGAATACATTTTGAAACAGTTTGGTTTTTCTGGAATGAGTTTCACCATCACGTCATAAATGGAAGATTCAAGATCTTTTCCTCGTTGGAACTGTGATTCATTCATTGAAATTGTGATTCAAGCCAAAACAAATGGTAATACCATACGATATGAACTTACCTTAGTCAAACCAAAATAATCACAAATGAATGAGAGAGACATGTCTGTCACTGGAAATTGAAAAATGTCAGATGTTTTCCCATCGATGGTACTTGTTATTGGTGGGATGTGTTAGGCATCACCATGCTGATTTGTTTTCTCATGAGGTTTCCTCCTGATGGACTTCCTTCAATTCCTTTCGAGAGTTTTTCAGTTTGTTTGGGAGAAAACCTCTTCCTTTCAGCGTTAATCGATTCCATGTTCATGTTCATTTGATTTGACACACTGTATTCATTGATTTTCTGATAAAATTGTAAATGGTTCGAGAAATCATTTTGAGATGCAAATTGTGCAATGACACTAGGATTACAAATGATTCCGAAAAGAATGTGATTGATTTCACGTTGTTGAGAGTCTTGAAATATTCCAGCTCGAAATTCACTCCTATTGCTTTTTTGTAATTCAGAAATGAAAGGATATCTTCCAATATACTTGCTAAACCATTCACCATTGCTCTTCCATGAATCTATTTGCACAAACTCAATATGTTTCAAAAATTCAGCTTGATTCGATCGGTAATCGAGTTGAATCAGAGCAATTTTCTGCTCAATGCGTAGAGTTTCATCCGAGTCCAACTCTTGTGTGGTAATATCCAAAAAACTAGAAAAATCTACAAGTATTAATCCTAGTTTAGCCATACTGGTATACATTTCGTTATTAATATATAGATGATTCTTGTCGCTTCTACATTCAGTAGTGAAAAACTTTTTGTGCTGGTTCACGATCGATGAATTTCCTAGATGTAACATGCTTTGAGCATTGAAAGGAGAGACTATCACAATTGCTTCACTAATTGCAAGAGAATGCAAATAAAGTAATGAGGAAAGTAATAATATTTCATCTCTCTTCATTTGTTGGGTCGAGCTCATCATTTTGATCTCCACAGTAAATATAGGAAATGTGAAATATTTACAACAAGTCCTCTCAACCCACATGACGAATTGTTCAAATGTTTTGGTTTTTTTACCAAGTAGATCACATAATTTTTCATAGTCTTTTTGTATCAAGACAATGATAATTCGTCCATTAGGTTTGACTTTAATCCACTGTGTGAAAAGCCAATGAATATGAGGGTCTGCAAAATTAGAAATATCTTTTTCTTGAGAAGGAGAAAGCACCAACAACCGAAGAGCCAGTAACAGTCCATCCACGATTAAGCCTTGATGATTGAATTCCACTTTTTCTCTTAAGGTTGAAATGTTCAAGTTAGGATATATCACAGGATATCATGTGAATAACATTATTATTGCATTCCAGTGATTCATTACCATATACAACACCTACCGATTCACAATGGTAAGTTTCACCTTACTTTCCATGACGATGTCAAAACCTTCAGTTTTTGAAGGAATGATCTGTTCTTTGGATGTGTCTTGACTGTGTTGAAGAAGTGGATGACCCGTTAAGCAAACGTCTGGCGATTTGATATGATTTTTCTTTAGGAAATAGCTTAATATTTGATTCAGGTTGAATTGATATTCCAATACTCGCTCATTGTTGCATGTAAAATACAGAGCTCCAACTTTACATTGTGGAATGCAATGTTTCACTTTCTCTAACAATGATTTCCGAGTTTCTGCTATTAAATTTTCATCGTCAATAACAATTTTACATTGCTGTTGTACATGCACAACATTTGAAGTCGGACCAACATTTGTCGCCATGATCACAATGAAAATAAAAATTGAAATTCAAATATATTTTCAATATTTTAGAATATTCTTCGTTACCTTTTCTAATTTTTTGATGACCTTCTTGAACATGGCATGTAGTGATAACTTTTCTCTCTTGCTCCACTCGTCCAATGAAACACGTTCATGACTTGCTGAAAAATAACGATGGTATTGGAGCGTTTTATTGGAACATTTCTTTCCGATGAACAAAATCAAATGACATTGCAGCAGTGATGAGTAATTTTCCCCTCGGTCATCCAGAGAAGTTGAAGGTTCGTAAGAGGAAAGCATTTTTGTTTTTCAAAGAATTTCTGGGCTTGGCTGGAAAAACAGTGGGAAGCGTAAAATAATTTCACATTTGTCTTTTTGGAGAGAATGTGATAAGCATTATAACACTCATTCTGCTTTGTGAGCAGATGAGAAAAGCCTGCCTATCTGGGGATTTTGGTTTGTCACACTATCAAAGACGATCCTTCTTTTTGGAGAGACGGAAAGTAAGAGAAATGTGAGTAATTTACTGTGTTGAACAAATTTGTGAGGAAGTAAACAGCCCATTCAAATATGCTTTCTTGCGAGTGCTGTGTTGTGGTTCAAAAAATATTTTCAAAAAGAAATAATTGTACCAACACATTAAGAAGAATGCAATTCCACCCTTCATCATTATTGAAAAACATTGACCTATATTTTATGGTGTTGACAGTGAGAGAGAGAAACCATTCAAGTAAAAGTGTAAACATTCTCAAGGCAACTGTATCCAATAATCTGAAACCCTGCATTTGAGGAATGGTCGTTCGATCAAAAACAATCGATTGGAACGCACTTATTCAAGGCATAGTCCACGTGCTTCCAATAATTGCAAAACTTCATTATTATTCCTCCACTCTTTTGCTTTTCATATCTTCCTCTACTTTGTTTCGTTGCATTGCCAAAAACTTTTTAACTCTTTCATCATTCTTTGCTTTTTCTTGCCAATATAAATTGTAGTGATTTGTGTTTCCTAGTTCGTTTTGTTTCATATCTTCTGCCAAGTTAACCTCTTCTTCTGATCTGTTGGCCTCCCAACTATCCATATAACTCTTGGTTTCTGGCATTTTCGATACAATCCATTCTTTGATGGCTGGCTGAGAAATTGCAAACACTACTCCGAATGGATACATGAGATACCATGCAAATTTAAAGAATTCTCTGCCAAATCGGTACTTGATTGGAGGTACATACGAGAGCAGTTTCTGAAACGAATTCAAAGACTTGGATGCAGGTTTTGGCATTTGTCCCACTCGTTGTTTCTCTTCAACTGTCCGTTGAATTTCTTCTTTATGAAAAGTAGAGTAAAGTGTGGGTATTCTTCCAGTCTCGGAATCATATTGTCGGAGTGGGGCAAATGTCGATTGTGTGGTTGCTTCTGATGATGCTTGTGTTGGCTGTGATGATGGAGCTGAGGTGTTGTTGCTGCTCATTTTTTTGTGTGGTTTCTGCGAATTATTAAAAGTCCTTAAATGTAGATATTGTTTCTTCCATGGATTTTGTTCATTGTTTCAGAAGTGTAAGAATTCTTCTCTTGGTTCATGTTCTTTTCGTTCATGTTGCCGCTTTGTTGGCAACCAGGTTGCCTTCAACAAAAAAAATGTGGAGCAAGCTGTCTGCGTCATCATGCCGCATTAATCCCACAACAACAACAACATCCAATGACAGACACAGGAGGCGACCAGTCGGAGCCTCTTCCTCTTCATCATCTTTTCTTTCCAAATCTACCAGTCAATTTTTAATCATTACATTTTTAATTATTATTGGAGTTTTTACGAACATTTCCTTTCAGCAACACACATCATCAGAAGCAAATGCTCCAATTTCTTTGAACAGGGTCAGTGCATTGATTGCATGGAACAGTGATGGTGTAACTTTAAAGGCTACAACATCAGGACTCAGCGAAGATGATAAGCAAAATTGTTTTTATTGGACAACTCTGCATCCAGAGTTGGTAACCTTGGTGCCTGTAAACAAAATATCGGATGACCATAAAGTAGGAGGCTCACAAGTGATGACATGTTCTCAAGAAATTCAAGTATGTATCAATTCAATCGAATCGGTTCCTTGTGTACTAACACACGATTACTATCATTGTTCATTCACATGTGAATTGACCACGCATTCTGTATACAAACATTTGTAAAATGATGATAATTTTAATTGATGACACCATTAACATATAGGTTATTCCAAAAGGTTTTCACTCAAAAGCACAAGTAGCCATTGTTACGGCTCATCGACACCATCCTTCTTCAGGTTCATCGGGCGCCACTGCTTTCTGTGAAGTTTTTATAGACTCTATCAGTCAAGTAAAATTGCAAACTACAGTCCGAAAACTGACTATTAACGAATTGGAAACTTTACAAGTTGACGGATTTGATGCGGAGGGAAACATTTTTTCTTCATTGACAGGATTAAGCTTTGTATGGAAATCTGAAGGATTATCAGGACACAAAAAGAAGTATGTTTTTAGTATTAATTTCAAATTGAAATTTCTAACACTTGCTGTCATGCCATATTCGAAAATATTCATATTGGGATTTTCATTCAACTTGGTAAACAGAGGTCTCATTGAACTCATTGACATTAATGACGAGTCTGTACATTTCTTTGATGAAAAGAAAAGAATTAAGAGAGGCGTTGGAAGCCACGACGTCATTATTGCAAAAGGTTTACAATCAGGTGAGGTTTCAGTTTCAGTTTCATTGAAGAGCACCCAAAAAGAAGGTGTGACCTTATCTGACACGGTCACTATTTCTGTTACTGACAGCTTCATGTTGAAACCTAAAAACGAGATGAGAGTTGTACCTGGTACAGTTATTCCATTCGAGCTATATATTAAGAAGTATTCTGAAAAAAATCAATTTGAACTCATTCCAATGCCAAATCGAAACTACGAATGGCTATCTTTGAACAAGGCTGTTGGAGAAATTGCTCCTAGTACTGGAGTATTTAAAGCCATTGATCTTGGATCTACCAATATTATGGCTCAAGATGTTACTTTCAATTTGAACAAAGCCTCTGCACTCGTTCACGTTGTGAAACCTGCTTCTATCAAAATTTTGATCAGTCCAAAGAAAGAAAGACTCTATAGAGGCTATGAATACGTATTGAAAAATTACAAAAATGCTAATAATGATGAACATTCAAGTCTGGTGGTTAACAATGAATATGAAGTGAAGATTGAGTTGTACGATCAATATCACATGCCAGTAGATATTACCGAGAATGTTAAATTCAAGTTTTCTATTGACTCTACCACTGGGGTAGCGCCTCAACAATCAAGATATTAAGTCGTTCCAAGAACGAAGATTTATTTTTGATTAGAGCTGATCAAGTTGGAGATGTCATTTTCAAAGCTTCTCTCAACACTGGAGAGTTGACATCTGGAGCATCATTTTCTGCTCATGAAAATATTGAGCTTACTCAATCAAGACCAATCTCTATTGTTCCTCCTGTCACCATTCAACTTCAAGACAGCATTATTTATTTACCTCACGACTTTGGTGTCGAACAAATGTTCAGAATTGAAGCCACAGGTGGTAGTGGTTTGTTAATGTGGACAGCTGTTAACCCAGGTTCATCATTTGATGTTGTCAGCCAAAAGGGACCAGGAAAAGTTTATGGTATTTTGACTTCCAAACGAAATGGAGAGGCTGATGTTATTGTGTTTGATCAACAGAATTTGTACAATGGTGACTCTCGTGTTGTATCTGTTTCTCAACCTCATAGTTTGCGTTTTGAAAAAGGTGTTCGTGAAGTTGCCGTAGATGACAGTTTGTGTTTACGTCTCAAAGCACTCGACAGCAATGGAAACATCTACCACAATATTTCTAGCCTGCAATTTGAGTGGAGCATTACTGACACTTCCGTGTATACCATTTCATCTCATTCATGTCAAGTAGGAAAAAGCGTTTACGCGGAAGTTTCTATTCGAGCTATTCAAGAGGGATTTACTACAGTGAAAGCCAAGTATCAAAATGGAAAGTTACAAGAGAAGACACATGTTGCAGTTTATCCTCGTTTACAAATCACAGAACCATTCACTGACAATAATAAGGTTTTCCTTGTTCCATTAGGAGCCACTGCACAACTCACTGTCAGTGGAGGTCCTCAACCTTGGGATAGTTTTGTGAAGAAAGAGTCAAGAATTACTGATACCATTGTTGCTGAAGAACCAGATCGTCTTAAAATTGCCAAAGATACGAATACGTTGGAGAATGTCAAGAACAGAAAGAGATCATTCTACATCACTTGCTTGGATTTTGGAAAACAACAATTATCTGTTGAGATTAATCATCAAATTCCAACGGAAGACGCATTGCCAAGTGCAGCCTCCATTAAGGTTCAGTACTCTTGTCAACAACCAGCACATCTCAAAGTCATTCCCCTCAATCCTTCGACAATGGAAGAATTGAGCTTAATTTCAAAAAAGAATATTAGAACATACAGTGTTAGAAATAATCAAACAATACCTGCCATCATGCATGTTTATGACAAAGAGGAAAATCAATTTATAACACTCTCAACTCTTCATGATTCATGGGATTTGAGCAATAATAATATTGTCAAGTTTTCTCCACAACAACAAGCACCAGGATTCAGACTATTGGATATCAACGAAAACGAGGGTACCGTCGTACTCACTGGAAAAATTACTGGATACAAAAGAGATGAGCTCAAACGACACGTCTCCAATGCAATCATTTCCACTGCTATTTCATCTTTTTCTTCACCTTTGGTTGATGAAATTGAATTACGAATTGCACCAAATGTTTTTATTACTCCAACTAGTTTCCTCTTATTCAGACATAGAAAAGTCTCTCTCACAGTGAAGGCGAGTGGTGGATCAGGCAAATACGACTTTTCTCACAACAATACTCATGTAGCCGATTTGGTTCCAAAAGACTCGAGGGCCGAAGTCATTGGCCTTATTCCAGGCTATGTGAGAGTGGATGTTGTTGATTCTTATTCTCGTGTGAGTCCTGCTGCCAGCTGTTTTGTAAAGGTTGCTGATGCACATGATGTCGCTTTGGAAGGTGAACATTTTGTTCAAGTGGATCGATCCATTTCACTCAAGTTGAGAGTGTTTGACGATACTGGCGCACCATTCCCAGAATCTCAACATTTTGCCATGAATCCTTCGATTGACATTGACACAACACGTACAGTCGTAATTAAGCAGTCTGATTCGAGCTCTGACGAGTATATACTCACTGGCGAAAGAGTTGGTATTGTGAAACTTGTAGCCAGTGTTTTGAATTCAGATGGTCGACGAGTGTTCAGTGCTCCTTTCGTTGTGAATGTATTTGAACCAATGAAAGTAGAGCCAGAAGAATTGGTCTTGATTCCAGGAGCCAACTATCAAGTTTATGTTTCAGGAGGCCCAGCAGAGTCTCAACGTGTTTCTACTGTATTCCGCTTTGAAAATTCCAATGTGGCTTCGGTAGATCAAAGGGGTGTGGTGACTGGTATTGCCTATGGCGAAGAAACATTAATTATTGAAAAGAAGAGTACCTATTCAAACGTTATTTATTCCCGAAAAACTTTGTCTGTTTATGTGGTGCAACTTGTTGGACTTAAGGTTCCATCTCCTTTGACCTTATTTGAATATAACTTTGTGCCTGTTCCAGTTTATGGTGTCTATACAAGAGGAGCTTCCCAGACCAAGCATTTACTCTCTCCAGTTTTTATGCAATCTCCTTACTTCAAAGTCGCTGTAGACTCCCAAGATAGTGGTGTGGCATTTGTGAATCAACCCTACAGCAACACTGGCCACTCCGTATTTATCTCAGGAAAGAAGGTGGGCAAGACACAGTTGGATATAAGCGCTGCTTTCAGTGGACATCCTTCTCTTTCTTCGTGGCACGTACAAACTAGTGCCATTGTTCAAGTGGATGACAAATTGAAATTGATTGATTTCCCACACAAAGACCTAATTCTTGCTCCAAAATCATCTACCTTCCGTTTAAAGACAAACAAGGACAATATTTCACTTCAAAAGTATTCAATTGCAAAGAGTGACACGTATGAAAATGTTCTCTCTGTGGCAAAGAATGGTGAAATTACCACCCACACTACAGAAGGTATTTCAATTGTTATTATTGAAGAGGTTGCTACAGGACAAACCGTTGCTCAAAAAGTGTCGGTGCAAAATCCACATTTCTTGTCCATGCACTTGAATCAATATGGACACACATTTGGATATGATTTTAAGGTACAAGTCGATAGCGATATTGAAATTCCACTGTCTGCACTTTCAATGCGCGGTGAAAAATTTGTGTCAATTACTGGAATTAATCTTAACTCACGCATGAATTACCATGATGTGGTGACTATCAAAGTAGATGCAATCCGAGAGGTACTCCTTGTTCGTGCCAATTCTGTAGGCGTTGTCACCGTAGAACTCTCTTCATCTGAGCTCAAGGAAGCCTATTACTGCCAATTCACTGTAGTTGCTTCTTCCAGAGGTGCTTCAGAAAAGCCAGTTGTTTCATCATTGACGTTACATGTGGGTGATACCATCGACTTGTCTAATGATTGGGAAAGCGATGATTCTACAGTATTGTCAATCGATCGATATGGACATGCTACCGCACATCAAGTAGGCGTTGTCACTCTCACATCCAAAGGAAAGGCTTCTCAAATCCGAGTGAAGATTGTCACAATTTCGAGCGCCAGAATCATGTTATCAAAAGCAGAGTTTAGCTCTAGCATTGACCCATCCAAAACTTCACCTCTTCGCGTTCCTATTCGATTATTTGATGACAATCAGCAAATTTTCGATTTACCACAAGATCCAAGAGTAAGAAGAAATACCATTGTTGAATGTACATCAAATATTCCATGGCTTGATGTCATTGGTACAGAAAAAGTGGGTAATCATTACGAGTGTCTTGTCAAACCCAATCGTCAGTCATTTGTTTCTGGAGATTTACAAAAATTATCCTCTGGCTTCCAAGATTTATATTTCGTCATTAAGGTCAAATATGGAGAGGCAGCACATGATCAATTAACACTCAAAACACCATCCATCTCTGCAAAGTTCACATCAGGCAAAGCATCTGAACCTTCTACTTCGAGTCGAATCAATGAGTCATCCCCATCTCAACAAGAGCAAGAAGAGTCCTCAGGATACTTTGGTTATATCATTCTTTCATTAATTATTGGTGTATTAGGATTTGTAATTTATGGGTCCATGATTGGATCGTCATCATCGCCTCGAACTTTCGAAAGAGGGGCATCTCCCAATCGATTCGTGTCTAGCTCAGGTCAAAGAGGCTCTCCTGTAATGATGACACAACCACAAGCTCAACAGAGTCCTTATTTAAGCAGACAACAACGAGAAATACCAGGAAGTACATCCAGAACTTTCAGACACAGTAATAGCTCAGGTTTTCATCTGACCAATAGTGCCTTTAAGGCAAGCAATCCATACTATGCGGATCCATATTACAGAGATGACGATCAAGAGTAGAGAGCTCTAATGGATTACACACAACTGTTATTTTAAATCCCCGACTAGGCAACGTTATTTGAGTGAGCCACTTTCTCAAATTTTACCTCATATTTATTCATAAAATTGCAAACATTGCTTATTGATAAATTGGTGTCAAAAGATTCACCACAAAAAAATGCAAACATCACAAGAAATACCCAATCTCGTTCAAATCCTTTCGGAATGTAACGACATAAAGGAACGCGGAAATGCTTTTTTCAAGTCTCGGAATTTGGAGTCTGCTGAAAAAGAATATCAACAAGCATTAAATCATTTAATTGTTTTTATACGAGAATGTTACTCGAAAGCTGTCGACAGTAAAGCCATTGATGAATCAAAACACAAGCAAGAAAATAATGTTGTTGATAAATCATCGACCGAGGAGCAATCATTGAACACTACGGAACAACCAGAAGTGCTCCAAAATGAACGCAACAGCGTTCCCAAAGAAGATGATGTGTTGCTCACGGAAAAAGAGAGTATTGAATTGCTCGCAAAAAATTTGAACGTATTTGAGGATGTAAATAGCAAGAGAAATGATGTAAAATCACTACTTATTGTACTGTATTCAAATTTGGCCTTGACCTATTATCAATTAAGTCTGTATTCTCGAAGTTTGGAATATTGTTCAATAATTTTAGATTACCTTGATCAAAATCATTACAAATCACTCTATAAGCGATCACAATGTTTCGAACAGCTCAATAATTTTCAATCAAGTTATCAAGATATGAAAAAGCTTAATGAAATGGTCATTGCACAGCGAGAAAACAAATCTGTATCTTCTGAAAATTCAATTCCTGATGCAATGGCCAAGAAAATTCTCGAAGACTCGGAGAGATTACAAAAAAAAGCAGAGGAAGAGCAGAAAAAACAACTCGATGACATGTTAGGCCAATTGAAAGATGTTGGCAATCAATTACTTGGAGCATTTGGACTCAGTTTGGACAATTTTTCACTCAACAAGGATCCCAACTCGGGTGGATATTCCATTTCAATGAAAAAATAAAAACTCATTGATGTACATGTTTTAAGCTATACATTTCAGGTTGTGACAGACTTGGTTTCTTCACAGAGAATAGTTGATTCATAAAGATCAAGTTTGATCTTTTGTTATTCAATTAATCCAATGAGAAATTATGTAATTCATTAATTATTAAAAATGAAACCACCTTCATCGTCCTCATCCACAGCAACGTCTTTCATCACTTCCTCTTCATCACACCAATCAGCAAAATCATTGCTCATGAAAAAGAAGTTACTGGTTCAATTTCAAATTCAAACCAAACATGAATATCCGAATAATTATGCACCTTCAAAAGGCTTTTTGGATTGGAAGAATCAACCGAATCCATATCGATCATTTATCGGAGACGACGCCAAGCCTTTACAAACACTTTCATTGAATGAAGAATTAATTTTAAACAAATCAATACATTTGAAAGGCTTTGATGAAATTTATTTGGAACAGAAAGGAATGTCCAATGAAAACACGGCATCAAATATTCATCTTCCGAGCAGTTCGGTCGAATTGAACGAAAAAAGTTTGAGTGAATTTATGTTCTATAGTATGAGTTTGTCTGCTACAAAGAAATACAAGCACAACAGTTGGAGGTAAATATTCAAGAATGGAAAATTATAAGATCACTACCATGCTTACAAATGACAACACATGTAATTATGGACCAATACTACTAGCTTGAGAGTGAATCCATCGAGTGGAAATCTTCATCCGTGTGAGGTGTATTGCATTTTAGATTGTGACTTGAGTGACTTGACTGGACAAACAACCCAAGTTGAGAAAAAGTCTTCGACTCATGTCTATTCGTATCATCCAAAATATCATGCATTGCAATTGCGATGTGAATGGAGTACGGTTTCACTTTTGAAAGATTTATTATTTAAGACGAATCAGGATAAACACAATGACAAGAATAGATTTTTTGCTGTAGGTCTATGCACTGTGAACTATAGAGAAACATGGAAGGTAGGTCAATAATAATCTACGAATGTGATATTAAGAATCCATAAATCATCATCATGACAATAATAGTATGGAATTCGTTCGTACCGATATTCTCAATTGGATTCTGGACATGCCATAGCTGCCTTGAAATATAGTGCTTCATTATTCGGTTGGGATTGTATTGTTCTCAATGATCATCCTCTTGTTACTTCAAAATTAATGGAAACCGTGCTTGGACTTGATCAATTTAATGACACCGAAATGAAAGATTACGAAAAGGAAAAGGAAAAATTCGAAGCTATTATTATGATAGACACCAAACCAAATTTCAAGCTCGATCCATATGGACTACATATCGAACATACTCTTCCCGTCTCAAACACTGCTCAAGAAAAGCCTCAGCTCTACAATGACATTGTGAATGGAAAAATTCAAGCACAACGCTATGGAAAACCAAATTTATTATGTCACGAGCATCAACATTGGCCTCAAATGGAGCCAATTCCAGAATTATGCTCATTGACGAAGCCATATCCTTCATCCACACTGTCACAACTGAACGGGTCTTTCAATTCTCTTTACCAACGAAAACCTATTCAATTTCTAGATCTAGTTCCATGTACACTTACCGCTCAACAAGTAATTAGAACAAGAAGAAGCGCTCAAAATTTCGATGGTGTCACGTTTGTTGAGAATAAGCATCAATTTTTCTCCATGTTAGAAAAACTATTGCCTTCTCGTTATCCTTCATTGTGGAGATGCCTTTCTCCTTTCGACAATTTCACCACAAATGGTTGTAATACTCATCTTGTTCTATTTGTTCATCGAGTGAAGGGAGTAGAAAGTGGAATGTATCTGTTGTATCGAGGTATGGAGAATATGAACGATGCATCAACAAGCGAGAGCGTTTTCAATAAGATCAAACAAGATTGGAACATGAGTTTTGATTGGAAAAAAGTGGATCAAAATCTTCCACTTTTTAAACTTGTCTCCAATGATTTGAGAAAATTTGCAAAACTTTCTTCGTGTCTTCAAGACATTGCAAGTGATAGTTGTTTCAGTATAGCAATGGTGACATTTAATTTTGGAAATCACATTGCAAAGAAGGGTCCTTATGGATTTAAAGAACTGTACTGGGAAGCAGGATATATTGGTCACATTCTGTATTTGGAAGCAGAGCGAATAGGATTGAGAGCTACTGGTATTGGTTGCTTCTTTGATGACACCATTCTAGAAAATGTGTTACAAATTGAAGAAGAGGATGTGTATTCTGTTTTGAATGAACTGGACGACAGTGAAGATTCAGATATTGATGAAATTCAAAATTATCAAGATTTGTATCATTTCACCATTGGAAAACCAGTAGAAGATACTCGAATTCAAAGTATTTCTCCCTATATTGAAAATTATGATCAATTTGAATGAACAAAGATCCAAGAATGAAAGGCTGAATAGTAGGAACGTTCACATGGAGGAATTGATCGACATAGCTTTACAAAATTCGATGTTGAATTTTTAAAGAATTTGGTAAAATGATAGCCTTTTCATAGTACATCACGACAAGCTGTCCCATTAACTTACCTTAACAAAGCATTAACTGAGGGTCATTCTTGTTCCATTACCATCCTCAGAGGAGGGATGTGGAAGTGACACTGTGCACAATGAAACCATTGGCTTCGTCGATACAGGTCTTGCTTTTATCACTGAACGTTTGCGCTGTGTGAAACGTGTGATGGACTGCACTGAAATTGTTTGTGCTGTGGAGGAAAACCAAAAGTAAAAAATAGCCACAACATTCCATCACTAGGATTGTTCAACTTTCGATTGTTGGAATTTTTCATCTTTGGCTTTTATTATCAACAATTGTTATCATTATATATATTATATAATTCTTCAACAATTTCAAATTGTTTGTATCATTCCGATAATATACCAACGACTCAAATCTCTATTACTACTACTACTACTACTCCAAATGACTCCACAAGACGAAATTACACCACTCTCTCCTCCCCCTTCCGAAATGTACAAGGATTTCCAACTGGTGGATTCCTTTCAATTCTTCAATTACGGAGCAGTGTACAAGTATAGATCCACACGAACAGGCTTACACATTACTCTGGCCAAAATAAGCTCACCCATCATGAAGGCTTACATGACATTACGAACCCGACCATCGGATCATGATGGTATTCCTCATGTATTGGAGCATATGGTGTTTATGGGCTCTCAAGACTATCCTTTCAAAGGATTATTGGACAAGGTTGCTAATCGTTGTTTTGCACAAGGAACCAATGCTTTCACTCAAAGTACCAACACCACGTATGAGTTGACGACAGCTGGTACAGAAGGTTTTTATCGATTATTTCCCGTGTATTTGGATCACATCTTGTATCCTTCATTGACTGATTCTGGATTTTTGACTGAAATTCATCACATTGATGGAAACGGTCAAGATTCTGGAGTAGTTTACAATGAAATGCTAGGAAGAGAGAATGCTCCTGATGAATTAATTTACAATGTTTTCAATGAAATCATGTATGAAGGCAGTGAAGGTTACCAATACAATTATGGAGGAAAAGTTTCCAATTTACGTGAATTAACCGTAGAAAAAGTGAGAAAATTCCATCAAGAATATTACTCACCCAAGAATTTTAACATTATTGTTGTCGGTAACACAACACCAGAAGAATTGATTGATGCAGTGCAACCAATGGAACAAAAAATTCTTTCTCTCACTAAAATTGAGGATCCAATGTCAGAATTTAAAGTTTGGAAAACTCCTCTTCCTCCATTGACACAATCACAGACAAAAGAAATTGTGTATCCCTCTGATGATGAAACAGCTGGACACCATGTAGTTCTAGGATGGAGAGCTGCTCCTTGGAAAGATTTGTTGACATCCTATGCATTGGATACTTTGTGGAATTGTTTGACCGTTGGAGATATTGCTCCACTTCGAAAAGAATTTGTGGAAAATGAAGATGGTGATATTTGGTGTGCTGACATGTACTGTGGAGTGGAAAAGAGTTTTGACAATATTCATCGTGCTTGGTTTTTAAATGTAGAGGCAGATAAGGTTAAGATTATTGTAGACAAATTTTTCGATTTCATGAGGAATATCAAACTCGATTTGGATTATATTAGACTGGTTATAAATCGAGATAAGCTTGAGGTTCTTCGTCAATTTGAAACAAGCCCGCATGACACCTTCTCACACGATTTGATTGAAGATTTTTTGTATAGTACAAGCAATGACGATTGTAGAAATCTTCTTGACGCTCCAAAGCATGCTGCCATTCTGTTACAAAAAGACGAGCAATATTGGAAGGATCTAATTGAAACATACATACTCAATCCTCCATGCGTCACATTGTATGCATCTCCATCTTCAGAGCGAGTACGTGAGCTTTCAGAAGAAAACATGCAACGACTCGAGCAACAAAAGAAAACATTGGGAGAGCAGAAGCTCAAGGAACTTGAAGAAAGATTAGCAAAAGCAGAATTGGACAATGCTCGATCTCTTGACCAAAAAACTCTTGAAGAACAATTCCCAATTCCATCGTTGTCAAAAATTGAAGAAATTCACGTTGCCACATTCAGAAATGACAATAATCCAAAATTCAACAAGACCGAGCACGACAACAAGTTGGAACAATTGCTTGTCAATCACACAGTACCATTACCATTTTTCTTCCAATTGTCTTCCATACCGTCACAATTTGTGGACATGTTTTGCATGATGGATTCTTCAAACATTCCATTCGAACTCAAAATGTACATTCCTCTCTTTTTGGCAGTGAACTTTTCATGTGACTTGAAATACGATAACGAGTATATGAAAAAAGACCAAGTCATCATGTCATTGATGCGTGAATCTGTGTCGTACAGTTATGGATGTGGTTATCAAGACCAACAAGATACAAGTCGTAACTTCCATGCATCCTTATTTGCAGAATTATTACAATTTAGACTCACCTTTGAGATTGACAAGTATCATCGATTAGCTGAATGGACAAAACATTTCCTCTATCACACTGTTTACACTCCAGAAATTATTGAAACCAAGATTCAAGTATTGCTCAGTGAAATACCATTATCCAAAGTTTCACCTGAGGCTGTCATGAGCCAAGGACTGAAGCAGATGGTGACACAACCTCAATCGAACCATAATGTCACGAGCTTCTTACTCCAGGAAAAGTTTTTGAATGAAACTTTGACCAAATTGAAATCTGATCCAGAAAGTGTCATTGCTGATTTGACTCGTCTCAGAAATATGTTGAATCAGCCCGAGAATATTCGAATTCATGTCGTGTTAGACGTGAATCATTTTGGACCCAATAACTATGAGGATATTATGTCCACATGGGCTTCCTTAATGGATCATCAAATCAATAAGACAGTATCCACACCTCAGATGAAACCACTTCACAAGTTATGTAAATGGACGAATGAATTGACAGACCTGTCGAAAGGGAGAGGAATTTTACTTGGAATGGGAAGTGCTGACTCTGGCAATCTCATCAAGACCCACAAGGGAATTACAAACTATGAGTTGTATCATGATAGACACTCGCTGAGTGTTGCCATTAATTTCCTCACCATGGAAGAAGGCCCATTTTGGGTGAAACTAAGAGGCAAAGGATTGTGCTATGGTTCATCCATTTCATCCAATGTGGAAAAGGGAACAGTCTCTGTGTATCTTTCGAGAGTGAGTAACATTTCCAAGACATATGCTGAATGCAAGGCAATTCTTGAAGCAGTTTGCTCGAATGATGATGAATCGAAAGAGAGTCTATTTGTGTTGAGCGAAAATGCATTAAATTCTGCAAGAGCAACAGTGGTTGTGGACAAGCTGCACGGCGCAGAGACTATTATTTCGGCATGTCAAGTTCGATTCTTATCGAACACATTATTTGCTGGCTCAAAGAATTTTTATGATAGCTTGCAAGATATTGGAAAGGTAACTGTGGACGACGTGAAAATGGCAATTGTGAAATACATTCTGCCATTGTTCAAGGACAATGAAGGATCATTATTTATTTGTGACAATATTGCTCAAGTGAAGCAAGCGGATTATCCTTTGAGGGATACATTGGAAAAACAGGGCTATCTTACGACCTATCACTCACTGAAGGAATATTTGGCAGCCGAGTTGGGAATTACAACATCGTATTCGAATGAAATGTCAACGGGAGACGATGAAGAGGTAAGCGAAGAAGACGAAGAAATGGAAGATGAGGAATAAGCGTTAAAACAATTTCAGGAATGTAATAATATTATTGAACCTAAGATACAATATCTTTGATGTAATAATTATTAGTTTTTATAATTGTTCAACTTGTTGTGAACAGCTTATTCTTGATCCTCATCGCCAGCATTGTCATCTCCTTGATCGTCTTCAGTGTTATCGGTGGTGCCAGCTTCAGCTGTGACGTCGTATTGTTGATCACCTCTCAAGCCACTTTCTGGGACTATTGAAGCGCCGCTCATGTCGAGACCCAATCCATGTTTTGTTTGCTCACTGCTCAATCTGACAATACTTCCCCAACCAATCAATCTCCAATGGTTATCAACTCTTCTTGAGAGGGCCAACTTTTCACCTACTTGTGTACAAACTGGTTGTGTGAGGACAATCTTGGTCAAGTCTGCCTTAACAGCCACAATTTTACCACCAGTCGATGTTGAACCAATGTTGATCATGAGAACTTCGTTCTTTTGCAACTTTTGAATTTTACCCTTCTTTTCAGAGTCAGTCTTAACACCCAAAAGTCTTCTCAACAAGAAGTATGAAATTTCCAATTCGGTATAAACCTCTGGTAGTTTACCAACTTCACCCAAAACTTGACCAACCAAACGATCGGCACGAGTAAGAGTTGGATCAATCTTTGTACCAACACCAATCAAACCTCCTGGTACAGCATATTGTAACGAGTTTTCTTCAGCGAATAAACTCACAATTTTGCTCTTGATAGGTCTACACTTGATGGTACCATCCTTTTCTTTTGTGACAATACCTGGACGAACTTCAATTTCATCTCCAACCTTTAAGACTCCTTGAAGAATTGAACCACCAGCCACACCTCCTTTAAGATTTTCAACAGCTTCACCTGGCTTGTTAACGTCGAAACTACGAATGACAATAAGTCTTGGTGAGCTTGTGAAATCACGAACTGGGATTGGAATCTGCTTCACAATATGTTCACATACAACATCAATGTTGTATTTCAATTGAGCAGAAATTGGAATGATTGGAGAGCTGTCGGCAACTGTTCCTTTCACGAAACGCTTAATTTCATCGTATTGATTCAATGCATCAGATTCCTTGACCAAGTCAATCTTATTTTGTAAAATAATGATATGTTTCAATTTCATAATTTCTACAGCAGCTAAATGTTCGGATGTTTGTGGTTGAGGACATGGTTCATTACCAGCAATCAAAAGCAAAGCGGCATCCATGACTGCGGCACCGTTCAACATGGTAGCCATGAGAATATCGTGTCCAGGACAGTCAACAAAAGAAACGTGTCGTACCAATTCATATTCACCACTGAAGCCTTCAATTTCACATGGGAAACGATCCACGTGCGAAGACCCTTGTGATGTATAGCATTCTGGTCTTGGACATTTAGGATCCTTGCACAAGTAAATCTTTGCATTGGCATAACCGAGCTTGATGGTAATGTTACGGACCATTTCATTCTTGAAACGAATGGTCTTGACGCCGGAGATGGCTCGCACCACTGTTGATTTACCGTGGGCCACGTGTCCAATGGTACCAATATTGATGGTGGCTTGACGAGAAATGACTTCAGGAGTGAGCGGATGTAACTTTTTAGGATCAATATTAATGTCTTGTTCAATCAAATTATCTTCTGAATTAATCTTGGCATCCTTGAATGGAGGAGGAAGCAAAACTCCTTTGTAATTTAATTCCTCTCCAATAACGGGCTCGTAAGAATTTGTAGCCATTTTGTTGTTGTTGTTGTTGTTTTGAATGATAATAATATTATTTGATGATTCTAGAAGAGTTGGGATGATGATGAATTAAATAAAAAAATATTTGATGATGAAGAAAAATTCAATAAATGATGGTATTTTTTTTCAAGAAGAAGGTAAAGACAAAAAGTCTGCAATTCAACCAATTTACAACTGGCATCAACAAATCTGTAAATAGAGTGATATCTAAAGAGCATACTAGAATTGAGAATGAAACAATGAAAATACTCTCAGTAAGGTTGATTATCCACAGTAAAAAAATGTAAATTTTGAAATTGAAAATTTTGATTGAGGATAAAGAGTGAGGCCTTTCATAGAATGACCATTCAACACCTTGTGAAGGAAAATGTTGTAGATGTTACCTGCCCATGATCAAGCTCCAAATTAGTCTTTCAAACAGAATTGGATTTTCAAAGAAGAAAAAATTGAGTAGTTCATCATCATTCCGACACGCTCAGAAATTATCTGTTGATCATCTCTCTGCGTTTCATTGATCATCATCATTAGCTCTCATATAACACAACAATCATTCTTTGTATTCTGTAAATTAATTACTAATTGTAAAATAACTACTTGTATTAACGTACCCAATTCATCAGAAACGTTTTGCTGAAATTATATACCCCGTGATCATGTCCAGACCCATTCCTCAACAACAACAACATCATCATCAACAACAATATGTACAACACAATCACCCTTCCATGTCTACTTCTCCACTCAATAGTAACATGATGAGTCGAGCTAGATCATCTTCGGGAGCCAACTCTAAAGCCTCTCTCTCCCAATCTCCCACAGGTGGTGGCTCGTCCTTTCTTGCTTCCTCTCCACAACAACAGAGTTTCATCAAGAAGGCAGCAGCTTCCTCTACATCATCCACTGCAGGACTTACTGCTGAAGAATATGAATTGTTGAATCAAAAGAAGGAGCGTTTTCAAACGTGTAAAGAAGTGTTGGATCGATTGCATTGGGATGAATCGTTGGCTGATGTTCTCTCAAATTTGAGCATGATCTACAAGGACCGATTCGAAGGTGATGTCTTGATTGCTTACAGTGAATATGAAAATTCAGAATTGAAAGACGATTTACCAGAACATCGTATTCAAAGCTTTATTTATCGAGATCAACATGTCTTTTGGGATAAGAACAAACGTATTGACCTCATTGACAACAAGGAAATATTTGCCTTGATTGACTCGTATTTGAATCCTCAACAACCACAGCCATCATCTGAGGCAAAAAAGAAGAAGAAGAAATCCAAGTTGCCATCCGTCAGATTAGACAAATCTGCAGCAAGTACTTTGGTCAAGCATGTCAACAGTGGAGACAACTTGACTGGTGAAGATGGAGAAGAATACGAAGAAGAGGACGATGAAATTGAGGAATATATGGCAGAATATGATGAAATGTATGGTCAGTATCTCAAATAATCATTAAATCAACGACGAGAGCAAGGCTTCCTCAATAACAACCGTCACTGAATTTGAAAGAGGCAACCCGTACACCAAACGGATTCGAGAACTTTGCCCCAAAATTCAACCGCGAGCTCGTGTCAACAACAGCTTTCAAAAAAATTCAGCAACAACAAGTCTTTCATATTAACTGAGATTCTCATCATCATCATCACCACAATACTGAACCTTTGAAGAGTCTCTCATTTTCCGTGTGCTAGTGTTTCTGTGTGTGAAAAACTAAAATTTTGAAACAACGTTCGTTGATCATCATTATTTTAACATTGTCCTCCAATTTTCACAAGTTCACACTAAAATTCCTGTGTCCATTCTCCACTCCATCATTTGAAACTTTTTCTGGAATAATACCTCCATACCTCCATACATACACAAACGTACATATCATTACACATTACTCATTCTTGCAACATGGGACTTTTAGATGACATTCCATCCTCCGAGAAGGTCCGAAAATCCAAACTCACTTGTAAACAACTTTCATGTCGCATCACGCTATGTCTCTCCATTTCTTGCGCCATCTTGTGTGCTGTCATTGCAGCTCTCATTATCATTGCATGGTTTTCGGTAGGCTCCGTCTTGTGGAATATGGCCTTCGGAGTTGATCTTGCGTATGATTGTGATGAATTTCGAGCAAATTCTCCTTCGAATTTTACAATTAATTATCGATGTCCTCCGTTGGTTGAGCCCGTTTCGCAATGGGAAACGAGATTGGCTCCGTTCTTTGTGAATCCAAAGAATGTGGAAATTGTGCATTTTCCGAGTAGAACTCCTGGTTGGGTGAGCGGATTTGGTATGTTGTTGTTGAGAATGTCAAATGTCAAATGGAATCATTTTGATATTATTTGAAATTTACTGTGTTATAATATTTTTGTATAATTCAAAATGTTGTAGGTCCAGCAAATATTACTGCCACTCTCATGAAACATGACTTGATCAATTCCACTTCCAAATTTATCATTACCATTCATGGTTATAAAGTGTGTAGATATCGATCTGAATCCATGCTTCCAAGTACAATGCTCTATCATATGGGATACAATATTTTACAGGTTGATTTGAGAAATCATGGAGATTCAGGAATTTATCAACAATTACCCTATGTCAGTTTTGGAAATTTTGAACATTTGGACATTTTAGGAGGCATGGATTTTATTTTCTCAAGATATTCATTCCTTAACAAGACAGACAGTATTGGATTATTTGGAACGTCAATGGTATGTCTTTTATGATTCAATTATTTTTCAAACCAATTAATTTCCTTCATGGATTTATTTCGTCATTCATGACAAATTTTCAATTGATTTCACACAACACACTCTCAACACAGGGAGGAGCCACAGCACTCGTTTCCTTCTCTCTCGAAAAGAACTTTAAGGTAGCCTTTGTCGACTCTCCACCCTGCGACGTGGTTCGAACACTTCAAAAAGCTGCCGAAGACATTGCCGGAAATGCCATTTCAAGTGTGGCCATGAATGCCATCAAATCCATGGTACCGGTCAAAGCTCCCGCCATGGGTTTCCCTCCATTTTATAACGATCCCTACCAGTTATTAACGAACGTGGATTTGAGCGGCAATCGAAAATTATTCTTTTTACATATTGAGGATGATTCCATTGTTCCGACTGTGAATCATTACATTTGTTTGAATGCGACAAAATTATCGATTGAGAAGAATCAATATTCTGCGAATAGTGTCGAGTCGTATTTGGGAACGATTGAATTTCCGTATGATATCAAGAATCGAACACGAACGTATTGTAACAAACACTTGTCGTACATGTTTGTGCATTTGGATGAGTTTAGAAATATGTTGTATAATTTCTTTAAGGTCAATCTTTAAAATGTCATCCTTGAACAGAAATCGAAATACCTTAGACAATGCTTATTTTAAAAATGGAATTGGTTTTGTATTTTTAATAAAAAATCAATAAAAAAATATCTCCAAAACTCATTCATCATGGCGTGATTATCGTGTTACCTTGCCATCATTTTCGTCATCGTTCAGTTCATTATGCAGTTTTTCATGAATGATGAAAAGCAAAAGACAAGAGATGGCAACAACGTATCCGTGAAGGATGGTGGGGATTGTGATGATGCTGGCTCCTGACGAAGATAGAGAGAGTGTTATTCCGAAGATGTATCTAATTTCTGATATTCGAAATTTAAACGAAATTTTAGAAATTACGGAATGCTTCAAATTGCATCCATCACTCTCTCTCATACTGATTTAGCCAAAAATCACAACTCACCAATTCTTTCTCAAAGAAATGAACAAATTTGCATGTTATTGATTTATGGATGACAATTCAATTTACTTTAAAATTGCACCGTCCGATCCTGTGCCTGCAGCATGGAGAGAGGAAAAGTAAATGAAATTGAAGAATAAACAATAATTGACTTGTATTGTTCATATATCCATGAGCTATTCATTTCCAAACCAAACTAACTGAAAGAAATTGGAATCAATATTAAGGTGTAGATGGTTGTTGCTTTTGCCACATGTAATAATTTGGAGTTTTTGCATCACTGTGAACGTGCATTCGTTACTTTTGAAATCAATAACAGAACACCAAATACTTACACTCCAAAGATTGAGCAATATTTGTATCGATAGACCAAAAGTGCTGAGAAAATTCCAATCAATATGCCAACCACTGTTTATAGATACATTATTGCATGAATATTCAAAAATTGTTCATTTATCATGTATTAAAAACATGACACGTACCAACTTGAGAAATAGTGTGTTTAAGAGTGACAATTCTCGTCACTCCAACCCATACTGGTACTAGTAAAAGTAGGAAAAACAAGAAAACTTTCCAGAATTGACCCTTTCTCCTATTCCAAGTCTGCAGTAATGGTCAATAATATTGTTATTATTGCATAGGTAAGTATTAATCAGTACAATCACACAATGGTCACTTCTATGATGATATAACTACTTACATCTGCCTTTCCAGCAAAATACAGTAAGAAAAAAAGCCAAACCGACATGACTGAAGATACATGTCCACTTGGAAATCCCGAGGTCATTAAGGGACTGGAGAGCCGGAAATTTTCTGGATTTTGACACACGTCTGTAGGTTTAAAGTATCGATAGGGAAGCAAGGTATTTCCAGATTTTCGATGTTCGTTCACAACTTTCATATTTGGGTTGCATTCGACGAGAAATGTAGGTCTATATCCGCCATACACGAGCCAACCAAAAGCAGTAATTGCCATACATAGAGCAATTGTTTGGACATATCCTACCAATGCATGATGAAAATCGACCAAGTTTCTGATAAAAAGTAAATGAAAAAGGAGAAAGCTCACAAGGGGAATGAGAAGGACATAAATTGCAGCTACTTCCCATAGAGGTAATATGTCATGTTGATGTTTGGGATAACTCAAAGTGGGATCCTCAATATAGAAATCTGTGACAGACATGAATTCAAATCAATTTTCAAAACCAACATTAAATACCATCAAGATGGTAAAATGTTCATCTCTTTGAGTACTCAAAAAATACATACATGGAAGACTGAAAGTTGGAATTCCTCCTGACAATAACACTCCCAACACAAGGCCCAAGCATAATAGAGGAATGATATATTCCAAAGAGTAATAAAGAATGAGTTTCATAACTCGTTTTCGTTTCTCTGATTTTTGTGATAATTCTTTTTGAAGTGGCTTGCCGAGTTCATTGGATGGAATGGTGTCGGATGAAGTGGTACTAGTATTTTGTTCGTGAGGGATGGTAATAAAGTAATTGTCTCTTGTTTTTCTCCTGAAGAGGCTGACGAGGTTTTCCTTGGATTGTTTTCCGAAATCTTTGAAAAATTGTTTGATTTTGTGGGTAGTCATTGCTTCGAGTGGAAGATTATTGTTTGTTGTTGTTGTTGTTTTTATTGTCACTACAGCTGCAGAGTTGTGTTTTGAAATATTACCTTTTGAAATTAAAAGGAAATTGGTTGAAAAAGGCAATATTGCAAATAACAAGAAATTCAACTCTGCAACAGTGACAACAAAACATGTTGGATGAAGAACAAAATGAAATTCTCAAGCTCACCATGCCACTCACATTGAGCAATATTTTGATGCTACAGGTCAAGCCAAAGATGGAATTTGTTCTTCTTTTGAATTCAAAACAACTGAGACCATTGACGTGAAAATCACGAAACTCATAGTATTTCTCTCTGTTGTAATATATATCTATTTCACACCAGAGCTCAGCCATTTTCTTGCAAAAAATTGAACAAGATATTGAATAATGCCTCGACTTGTGTCATTCATGCGACCACCACCACGTATCATGCGATCACGTCTTATCAAGGCATCATTTAGTTCTTTCAATTTCCCACCCAATCCCATCATGTTAGTTATTAATGGAATGATCAACCCAACATGCATCAACACAGTAACAAAGTGTAACAAATTATCGAATTGAAAAATCCGCCGCATTAATGGAGCGACATTACTTGAAGCATCCCATGCATGATTGGGATTGACCAGAGTTCGATTTGGATGTAAATTTTGTTCCAATACGACGACCCATTGCTCATCATCATTGTCTTGTATTGGTGGACTCATTCCATTAGAATTTCCATTTGATTGCCGTTGTTTCTGCCTCCTCTTCAATTCACGAATATAATAATCAGGAGGACCTCCCAAATGATCATATTTCAAGGAATGATAAGCAAATTGTTGCAGCGGATCCACTAAATTAATATCCTTCTCATAGAGTGGTGGTTGAAAAGAGGATTCGGAAAGGTTTTTTCCACCTCCGAACTCGGCTTTTAAATTCCAAAATATTTCTTCTAAATGGTCTTGACGAAGATGATGATTTTCATTTTGTGATGAAATCATTTTTTTAAAAGAAAAACAATAAAGAATTTAATGTTCAAACTCCGAGGGTTTTATTGTTTCTTCAATGCAATTTCTGCTTTCAAAAGGGCTATTTGCTCCTGTTGTTCTTGGAGCATTTGTTGTTGCGCGTTGTGTTGCTCTTGTTGTTCTTGGAGCATTTGTTGTTGTGTGTTGTGTTGCTTCTGGAACAATCGCTGTTGAAGCTCTTGTTGATGCCTTAACTGACGAACCTCTTCCGTCAGGTCGTTCAAACGATGGTTCAAATTGCGCGCAAATTTCAGCATTTCCGTTTTTTAAAGCAAGGCAAGGTATTTGGCGCCTGGTTTATATGTTTTCCTGAACCTAGAAAGACATCTTTAACAGTAATCCATAAATTCATCGATGGCGATGCAATTCTGTTAATGTTAACCATTATCACTGAACCATGATCCTTCTTGAAATTTGTTTCTCTATTACTTGACCTCAAAATATTCTTTCCGTCATGAATCGATCCATGAATCTTAATCTCTCTAATGCTGATTAGAGAGTTCGAAATTGTTTCAGCTTTAAATTTTATAACCATCTAACCTACCAAAGTGTGCATTTATTTGAAAGTCGAGAAATATAATTCAAACAGACAAATTCACACATCGTAGCTTGGATATGGATCACAACATGAGTCAATGTTAGCGCTGACTTGGAAGAGATTTGTTGTTGCTTGGTGTGTTGGAATTTGCAAGCCATGCAATTGAAATGCATTGGATGTGTTGATTTTTTATTTGATGATAATCTTACCAATAGCACAACACTCCACCTATTTGAGGCTTTTAATTTGTAGTCATTTAGCGGTAAGCTTTGTTGTTCTTTGAGAAATGTAATGAATTGAGGCGGCAAAATGAATGTAAGGCTTGCGTTAATGACACAGGCGAAGGGAGGTTTAATGACAATGGTGATTAAAGGTTGTCATAATTGATAAAAAATATATGAGAAAATGATTTATTTCTTTTTTGATGGTCTAGAATGGATCCACGGAGTTTTAAATGGAGGTCTTGATCTTCTTGTTTTGTCTAACAGAGTGGTCGTAGAGGTTTTTGTGGCGGTCAATGTTGTATTAGGTTGTGTTGTGCTGGAAGACGTAACAGTGGTTGCAGCGGTCACAACAGATGAGCCTGTGGTGATCGTGGACGCAAGGTTGGATCTAGGACAGGTTATCTTTTCATCATGGAGTAGAATGTACGTGTGTGGTGGTGGCATGTTCAATCGACTTGATGAAAACAAGGAATTTTTCATAAAACGACGAAGAAAAGAATTGAGGAGCTTGTAATTCAAGATCACGTCCACATTGTAGAGTCAACTTGTTATCATCGAATTCAAATAATAATATAATAAGAGGAAAATTTGATAACACCCCACCTGCATGTTTCTTCTTGTTGACAGCGGGTACGTCCATGGTGGAGAGTTGATGTTGTTGAACTTGTTGTGAAATTTCCTCCAAGGTCCATCCATTGAATTTGAAAAAAAGTATGTTAAGCAAGTGAGGGATTTTGTAATGCATATTGATAGTAAATGTCTATTGGAAGGGAGAATGAAAACCGACTAACAGAAGCATGCATTGAAGTGATGCATATTGTTATGTACTCTTTCATTTTGACCAATTTTCTAACCCTACCAAATACAACAATACGAATCCTTGTTGCCATCATTTCTCTAAACAATGATGAAGATTAATATTGTGAATATCTCTGCCTTGTTCGTTTACAACATGTTGGCGTTTTTCAAACCACAAAATATAATTTGTGCCAACTTGTCTGACCCTTTTGGAGTGAAATGTAACTTGTCTGTATCCCAGTATTCCATTCTTTCCTCTGGAGTACATTTTCTCCAATTAAGGTCGTTCATTAAATCTATAAAAATCAGTTTCTTTCCTGGAAATTGTTGTTTCTGATTGCATTGTTGTACAAAATTTCGTATATTTTCATTCACTTGTTGTTTTTTCACTTGTAAATGTTCCATATCATCTGCAAAACACGAAGGAATTGAACATACTATAATCCATTCAATACTCTGTTGTTTTAAACAAGTATTATACATGTCAATTAAATTATTGGTAATATCTTCACTCGATTTCACGAAAGCCAAATCATTCGTTCCTCCGATAATGATAGCAGCTCTATAATCTTTCGACGGCACAAATGGCAAGGCGTTTGGAGTCATGTTATCAAACCTTTCGTCCACACAATGATAATGAACATCATATTCTGTGAGCTGTTTCAAAAGAAATCTTGGTAATCGTTCTTTCATTGAACTTGTTTGTTCTCCACTCACTCCGAATTGATAGACTTTATATTTTTCCACCTCCATGTTGAGTAATCGAGTTAATTCAACACAATACGGATGGTATTTAATTCCCTTTTGATAATATCCTCTTGTGAGTGAGTCGCCAATGGCAATGATCGGGAAGGAAATTTCATGAGAATCAATTTCAACTGTTTTTTGCGTCGGCTGTGAGTGGGCAGTTCGATTGCTTGTCGAATCCTTTTGGCCCATTTTTTTTTTTGAAAAGTTGTGTTTTTCCAGGCGCGTTCAGCTTCGATGCGTCATTTTAGTTTTGTAAAGAAGTTTGGAATTTATTAAAGGAAGCTCATGGGTTAGCAACTCGCCAAACATCCTTTGATGAAGGATTGGTGTTTGAGGATTTTCAGCATGTTTTGACATTTGCTTTCCCTGCTGTCATGGTTCGGTTGAGCTTTTCTTTAAAAAAATGGCAGAATTGATGAACCATGCCTACGGTTAGTGGTCTCTGTTGTGGTTTCACATCTTCTTTTCGTTAGAAATAAATTCAACGGGACGAAGAAAATATCTCATTATTTTTTATTAAATGTCATCATGGTTTAAATTAAATGGTCGGGTTGAGTGTTAAAATTTATGAGATGAGCAGACTCGAACAAACAATACACCTCCAATGAGCAACCCACATTTGCAAAGATTTCAAGATCAAGACATGATTACAACGCTTCCAACAAACAGCAACTCACCCGTGAGCAAATCGGTCCCTCACTAAAACCACCTTTGAGTTAAGAATCACAGGTTTTGGCGGTCGTAAATTTTTAATCCTCAAGAATACTTTTTTCAAAAAGAAAAAGCCTCATCACCGACGGGCCATTAAGGGATTCCCTCTCTCCACTCTCTCACAAGTGCACACACACACGCGCAATAATACCCTTCTTTTTTTCATCACCACAAGAGCAAGGAGGGAGTGGTTTCGGAAGAGGTGGTGTTTCATCTTGAGAGGAACTGAATATCTTAGAGTATCTGCAATTTTGTCGCAAAAGTCTATTCGTTTTTGAAAAGGCAACGGATCTTTATCATCCTTAGTATGCCGTGTTTGTGTAGTAATTTTGGAAAATGGAAGAAGATCATCAACAACAATCACAACAACAACCAGAACCCCTGCTACTAGCTGGTCAGCCTCAGAACAATTCATTGGAGGGTCAAGCTCTGCCCTCTGTGGCTGATCAATCTCAACAACAACAACCCTTACTACCCCTTCCCAAATCTTCTTCTCAACAAAACATTAATGTACCACCCATTCCGAATGATCCTCTTTCAGCATTACGAGCTTCCAAAATATTTTCAAAAAGATCATCCTCCATAGTGGTAGGACGTGGAAAAGAAAATACAGAAGATCTTCATTCCGAGCCCAGCAGCGAGGATCACTTGATACGAGGAGCGAAGGTCATTGTGCCAATGTTCAAGTCGTCTCGTGTGGTTCTACTTGTGCTTGTCTCCATGTCCATTCTCGTTACAGTGATACTTTTGACATTGGTTTGGGTTCCAACATTCAGCTCTAGTGTTTATACCCTAAGTGAACACAACCGACGGAAAGAGTTCAATAGTATAGTTTCCTTTGTTACTCAATCGATACGTGAGGTAGTCATTGTATCAGAGGCAAGCAAGAATCTTTTGAAGTATGGATTTGATTTTTCAAATTCCACATGGATCGAGAGAGCCATGTATCAAATTTATAAGAGTGAACAGCAGTATCATAAGGGTTCCACTGTCTCTACCTATATTGGAGACGTGCTAGGAAATGTGGTGGGTATTGTTGATTCCAATGGAGTCGACATGTTGATAGTTGTTAACAATTCTCACACATTGTTGTATCAATGTCAGACAGATGTGGTGAATTCACAAGATGACGTATGCTTGCACCAAAACAATCCAAATCGGATTCTGTCAAGGGCCAACATGCATAACACAATCAATCAAGCATTGCAATATCCAGGAGAGCCTTCTTTTACGCCGAGCTATATCGACAGCACACATCCAGATGTTGTTCTTATAAGCCTAGTGAATAGCATTCGCTTAGCAAAGCTTGATATTTTCTATTATTTTGGCTATGATATATCTACGAAGAAAATTGGAACCTATTTGCAGGAATTTTCTAAAAACATTGCCGACTCGTTAGTGTTTGTGTTTGAGTCCTCCACAAATAATCTCATTTCATCAAGTTTTTACAGGTTTTCCTATCAAAACGGGAATGAAAGGAAAACATCACTGAACGTCCATGAAATTCCACGAGCTGTTCCAATTTCGAAGGCTCTGCTATACAAGTTGGAAGGAAATTTTAAAAATTTACGATGTGGAGAATATTTATCAATTGCATATGCAGACGAGCTTATTGCGTCGCATAGAATTTGTTTAGAAGAAAACATTGATTGGATTATTGTATTTGCTGTGAAGCAGTGGACATATATCAGCACACTTGTAATTGCTTTAATTGTAGCATTGGGATTTAGTAGCATAATTTTATTATTTGGCATGTTCTTTGGTATTTGTGCTTCTTTAAAAGTTTCTCAGCCCATCTATCGACTCATAGACTTGGTTAAAAGTGTGGGAGAAATGGACTTTGATAACCTACCAGATATTCAAGAGAAATTGTTCTTTTCTGAAATGCAAGAGCTGCAAGAAAATTTTTTAAACATGATCAAACGAGTTAAGAGCTATCGTGCATTCATTCCTGCTCACATTCTTCAAGAATTGGAGTCCAATAACGCAAAAACCCAAAGCTTACAGCAAGTAGACAGCAAAAAACCACTAGGGTTGGCTCGCCGCATTTCCTCGCGTAAAATGCTTAATTTGCATCAAAAAAAGATTTCCTCTCCTACAATGGACTTGTTTGCTCTTGGATTAGAGGGGAGGTATGTCACTCAAATGTGTGTCTATCTTCAAGGATTTGATTCCATTGTTGAAATTTGCGAGCATAAGGACATTCTCATACTTCTAGGCGAGATTTATGAGACACTGACGAACATGAGTAAGACATCATCAGGCCAAATCGGATCATTCGAAAACAATTTTGTAACTGTGTCTTGGAATTCAACCAAGCCTCAACCCAACCATGAACAAAAAGGTGTTTCCACTGCAAAGAAATTTTGCAGTAGAATTAATTCTATTAAGGACACAAGATGGAGATCGTACGAAATTTTCAGATGTCATCCTCAACTGTACGAAGGTTTAAAGTTTCGTGTCACTATTGCTTCTCAGTTATGTCAATGTGGAAATATTGGAACAGAGGAGTTCAAGTCACATACCATTATTGGAAGCATTCAGAAAAATGTGTTGACTCTTGCAGATGTGGCCATTCTATATAACATTGGTGTGTTAATAACAGAGGATATTTTCATGATTTGCAGCACAGAATATTCGATGAGATACATTGACACGGCAGACTTAGCAGAGGACATGTCCATTGCGAACGATTCAAGATCAAAGGTGAAAAAAACAAAGTTGTTCGAAGTTGGAGAGAGTTCAGACATTATTCTGGATGAATGGATTTACGAACTTGCTGACAAGGAACGAAAAAACAAATGGGCCAAGTATCAAAAAGGTTGTGGGCTCTACTTTGAACAAAAATATCAAGAGGCAAAAGAAATATTTACAGAGTTTGAGCAAGAATATTCCAAAGCGTACCATGTTGTGGATTTACCTACTCAACACATGTTGAGTTTGTGTGATCAAAAATTGCATGAACAAGGAATCATTGACCATCAGCAAGTTGGAATTGAATCTGACCAAAAGGTTGCGAATCGAGTTGTGCAGTAACAGGAATTGCTGTTGCGGACATGAAAAAAGATAATGGAAAGGAACTCAAATTCATGCATTCATTTTGGACAGTCACACAAGATCAGATAATTGGGGAGAACGTGTGAATGAGAGGGTTATTCGAATGACATTTGGCTTTGAATGGTTTTTTAAAAGGTTGTCTTGAAATTATTGCGTTATTGAGACACATTGCCCTTTAACTTCAATGTATTTGAATGCAAATTGTTGAGTGCAACATGATCACACCTACTCTCGACATTGGTTGTGAATCGATGCACTGGGATTATTGGCGAAAGGAATTCGATCAGTGAGTTTGAACGTTAACCGTACCCTCAAGAAATTTGGAATCAAGCAGACCATAAACCTTAATCCTCTGAGGTTTCACAAGGAATTACTATTTAAAAAACTATTTTATTGAAACAGTATGGCCGTGAATGATGTTATCATTTTTATACAGGCACTCGATCAACAATTTGAAGTTTCATCTTCATCATGCACGTCAATGTCTGCTCCATACGGTCATGAATAGGTTACCAAAGATAATAATAATGGCATGTTGAAAAGTTTCCTAATATTTTGAATTCCACACAGTAATGCTAGAAAGAGAGAGAGGTCATTATGATTAGGGCGTTCCCCAATAGCAGTGCTGTCGCATTTGTTGTAATCTTGTCAGAGCTTGATTCAATGTTTTTTGTACATCACTTTGGGGATCTTGCATTTTCTTTACAAGGGAATACATGGTTAGAATTTCATCTGTAATGTCACCAATGACTTTCATGTCTACATAGAGCTGGTCAAACCATTTTCTTGCCTTTTCCTTGTTGTCATTGAGAATACATGTCATGTAGATGGAGGTGAGAGAAATTAAAAAGGGAGCATATTTTAACACAACCTCTGAAAAATAGCTATCATTGACAATATTCCAGGCCATTTGGTAATGAGCTTTTTCAAGCTCGGAATCTTTCACGTACATGATGAGAGAATTATAGGGATGAAAAACAGTTAAATTAAACGAAAGTTGTTCCATCAGGTAAAGTTCACATTCAATAATTTGTGATAATTGATATGGAAATTGTGAACTCGTTTCTTTAGTGTCATAATTCTGAGAAGGAGCGTCCTTTCCCATCGCAATTTGATGAATATTCTTTGCATTTAATGGACATTCTTCAATTTTACTTGCCAATAATAGTGCTGCTGCTGACAAGAGAGCAGGATCACAATCCGAAATACTATTCTGACAATAAAATCGTTTACAATAAATCATGGCTGTAGCAATGACTCGCTGATGAGCATTCACTTTTTTTCCAACATCACGCAAATAAACTCTCATACAATGAGTGAGAACGAGTTGTTTTTCAAAAACGTTAAATTGTGAGTCATCGAGAGCATCTAGTTGTTGTTGTGCCGATGATTGAGATGGTTGAGATGTGCTTGATTGTTTTTTGTAATATTGATTTTGTTGCCATTTGCTGAATGGAGTGTGTGTTTTTTTGAAACAAAAAGCATAAAGCGGAATGATCATCAAATTATTAAAAAATATTTTTGGAAATTTGGATGATTATTACAATTTTCAAGTTCCGATATATTATATCCACACCTGTTCTGTTCTACCTACTATTGACTTGAAACCCAATAATTATCGCACATGATGAAAAGAAGTTAATATTTTTTTCAATTTTTTTTTGGACAACAGATGAACTGTGAACTCGTTTTCTAAAAACAATTTCAAATAAAAATGTCAGTACAAGATCTTGCCACTACTTCCCTTCCTTCTCAATTACTCTCTCAACTCAATCAGCCACAACCATTGAGTCGACTCCGACCTGTTCCTGCTCATGAGCTTCGTGATTTTTCATTTCCTTGGCTTCCCATGGGTTGTAAACAATATGATAGCTTTCAATGGTTACGGAAGAGAAAACGACCTTTGCTCTTCTCCTTTCATCAACCTCTTCTTCATTCCGATGAATTGTTATTACAGGAAGAGTTTGTTCAAATCTCATCATCATCATCAATAGAGAATAATCATCATCAACATGATGATGAAAAGATTCCAACCACCGTTCAATCCGAAAATTCTCCCTTTTCATTCTTTTCCATGTTTTATGATGAAATTGAAGGAGCCAAGATTGCTCTCGCCATTCCTGATCTAGAAGGCTGGAACGGTGGTGTTTTGATTCATTGTCATGGACATCGGGCGAAAGGTATTCCTTTACAGGCTGATCTCACCGAAGAGAATATGCCTCATGCCTTCCGAGAGTTGTTACGTGAGGGATGGATCATTGCAATGACTTCATATCGGAGAGAGGGTATTGTGTTACGAGATGCCATTCAAGATGTGAATAATTTGAGAGAATATATTGAACGAAAATGTGGACATGTGGAGTGTTGTATCTTGGAAGGAAGATCTATGGGTGGAGCCATTGTAACGTTCTTGAGTGAAAAGTATGGAGAGTGGTATGATGGAGCTGTGTGTATTGGAGCTGCTTTGAGAGTGGATCAGAGGAATGAGGAATTACCTCATCTCATGTTTACGTATCGACCTAAGTTCCCAATTTTGGTAAGTTTGTTATCGGCAACAGTTGGTTGATGAGTGACTGACTAGCTTATGGTTGGAATTTGGCGATTATTTCAATAACATGTGCAGTACTTGACCAATGTGAGCGAATTGGGAGAGCCTTCAAATTATATTGAAAAGGTAAAACAGTTGTCAGAAAGTGAAGCAAAAACTCATAAGGGTCTTCCCAATGACGAGATTATTGTCCCTGCGTTATGGACTGTCTATCGAGAGGGTCATAATTTAGTTTCAGAATTGGAGAGATTCTCTGCGATCTCAAGCTTAATTCAATGGATCAAGTACCAAAGTAACGTTACCATGAAAACAAATGAATCATGTACGCAGCCAGCACAAATCCCTCCGTCACAAGTTGAATTTTGCTCTTCCCAGTCGCATGCACAAGGAGCTTGGGGAAAAGTCAAACAATTATTTATTTATGGCTCATTTTCAATTAATTTCACAAGTCAAGATTTTGAAAAGTTAGGAATTGTTGAAGGAAAATATTTCACGTTTCACGTTCTGACCAAACAATATGGAATGAAAACTGTGAGCGCCTCGTTTGGTTCCTTTCCCTTCATTAAGCAAGCCACAGACTTGGAATGGGTGGCATTTGTCTCGCCAGTCGATAATTACATTGTGCTTCATGTGAATACTTATTCCTTCTCGAATGAAGCATCCAAATTGGGCATTGCTGCTGGAGACTCTGTTTTTGTGGAACAATTTAAAACATTGCCTCCTCGAAGAAGTAGATGAAAGTGTTTTTTGTATCCATATCATTTGACCAACGAGGAAGCAAAGCATTGTTCCGAATCGGAATCAATAGTTTTGACATGTATCCAAATCCATGTAATGATTCTTGACAGGTCCAATCCACAAATCGCACAGATCAATCATAAAAAAATGCAAACACTCCAACCGACGCCTCGATTCAGACCATTTTCACTTTTGGTTCTTCTTTTACTAGTGCTTTTCACAGCAGTAAGTCATCATCATTTGTACAATTGATCAATTTATTTACATTCAAATTCACATGTAATATATTTATGTTAAACTCCGAACGATCACACAAATGATAGTCTTCTCTCGTACATTCCGATCATGAAGACTTCACTCAAAGAATTTTATTACCTTCTCAACGCAATGCAGCTGCCATCATGACTTTTATGATGCCCTCCTACATTCACATTCCCACTCCGAACATCATGTCTCGACACTTTCCATACAAGTTATTTCTCTATCGGGAGAATCATGAAGGCATGGATTTGGAACAATTGAAACAATTGAATGCCGAGACCTTAATGATTAAACCTGCAGAGACCAAGACCAAACTGAATGGATTTCCATTGTTGTTTATTCCGCAAGCTCAACATGGTTCATTTTCCGATGTTCGATCATTGGGAGCTACGCTGTATGAAGTACGTTGAAATTGATTTTCACACGAAGTTGTGTATTCATTATTTGTGTATATTTTATTTCTTAATTATTTATTTTTAAAATGATTGGTGTGATGATTTATGGATCTCGTCTTTCATTTGGAACAAATCATTTTATTGGATTCAGATGAATGGTCATGCCAAGTATAGAAAGGAGACCTATGCTGAGGCTGGATACATTCAACAAATGGTCAATGAATTAGCAGATCCTCTCTGGTTTGGAAGTAATCAAACCACAAATCAAAACAATGACAAAGAAGAAGGAAATCTTCTTCTCGGCTTTGATGTCTTCACCATTGATTTCAATGATGGAGAATGGAGTAATTTTCACTCGTCTCTCCATGCAAGACAAGCCGAATACATTAAGAATGTTGTGGAATTTATTTTGAAAGCCATTTATAAAAACAGACACAAAAAGATTTTAATTGTGTCACACAGTAGTGAACACACATTTGAGAATATTTCACAGGATTTATTGGATACTGCTTTTATTTTGAAAATTGGTGAGGGAAGAGTGAATTGGGATTTGGGTGCTGCTAAGAACAATCCTAAATTGGAATTCAAGACACTCTTACAAAAATTTAAAAAACAAATGTTGTCACAAACTGCCGAATTGAACAATTCATCACAACCAAATACAGAGAAGGAAACCAAACCAAACGAAATGTATACTGAGCAAGATCAGCAACTTTACAACACAACCCGTAGCGGTGATGTTGTCAATGTGATAGGAGCTTCATTTATTCCTCACATTTTCTCGAATATTGACAAATCAGCCATGAAATGGTGCAAACAATTACAACAACAACTGGCCACTATTTTATTGTCTCTCGTCAATTCTGGAGCTAATTCTCAAGCTGGACTTTTAGATCTCTCTCAACAAGATAAGGCAAATATCTTGTCTCAATACTTTTCATTGAAAGCCAACTCCTTTGAAAAATCATTCTTGTTAGAAGAAATTGCAGCAAAACGTGAAAAGGTAAACATGGCCAAATTGAATGAAGATGTGCATGTCGAGTTGACTTTGAATACGGTGCAACATGTTTCATTCACCAAAAAAGGAGAAACCAAATTTTTCAAATTTGATGTGAAACATTTACAACATACAGTCAATCAATTATACCTGTTCACTAATTTTTATCGAACGGAAGTGGATGTGTTTGTGAGCGAAGATCTGAGCATTGGAGGTGAAGCTCAAGGTCCAGCTCTCATGGCCAAACAAATCGGAAAATTGAATCGACAACAAATTACACTATTACCATACTTGGACGTTGATGAGGATCATTTGGAAACTTTCAACACCAATGAGCATGTGGTGAAAGTCATGATCAAGATTCCAGAAATGGACACTTCATTTTCCAAAAAGATGATCTTTGTCAGAGTTAAAAATTTATATTCTGTCGATGATATGTCTGCTGGAAAAGAGAGCAAATATCCTGAAAGATACATTGTAGTTGCGTCACATCCTGGAACTTTGAAAGGAACAGTTAAAAATTTAGTGAAAGAAAATTATGTCCACCAAGAAGGCGTTGGTTTCATTCCAGATCATCAATATGAAGAAATCAATGTAGATAATTCACCTCATGTTCACACTGTGGACTATTCAAATTTTGATTTTTGGAAGAGTGGTGAAACGATTCATTCGAACAAGTCCTATATTGTCATTCCAAACCTCTCCAATTTATATGCCTACAAATTGAGATATTTCAATAACGAGTGCTCGAATCGAACCTTGTATCCGGTTCTCCAATATCATTATGGAAATATGTTTGAATATGAATCTCACTATTTACCAATGAGATTTTGTGGAGAGAATGTGATCAATCTTCAATTTTTGAACTTGACAGACATTAACAATGCCGATGATGAAAATTTATATGGAATTGCTCTCTACTTTTTAAATACCAAGAATGGATCTTCGTTTAATTTCAAAATTGAATTGGATTATGAAGAAACGTTTATTCACACGATGGTTCAACAACATTATCACACCATTATTGCTGATATTTTTGCCATTCTATTAATGATCATTGCATGCTATGGTGTGACACATTCTCTGATCTATTCCTTTATTTTAACATGGATTCAAGCTCCGTTATTAATTTATTTACAATTTATTTTCACTCCTATCAATGTCCTCTATGTCACAGATTTTAGCATTTTACATTTGGCAGCTGCTTTTATATACTCTTTGATTGCAGTACTCTTTTCATTGAATTTTGTTCGAGCGATCATGTTCTTGTTAGGTTTCATTGGTCAACACGTCATTCCATTTAGAAAGATTTTATGGAGTGCCATTCCTCTTGCCTTATTGGGTGTGAGTTTTAAATTAGATCCATCTATTCCATTGATTGTTTTCACGTTCTTGAGCTTGTTCATTGGAAATTCAGCTTCCATTAGAAGTCCTACCTACTCTCTTTTAACCTCACTTCTTAAAGTATTGTGTTCATTGATTTTAATGGGACCAAGTGCCTTTTCCTATATTAAGGAATGGATGTATTGGTATCAATATGCTCTTGTGAATGCAAATTCTCAATTTTCTGTGCAGACATTGTTTTCAGTGGCTCCTCATCCATCATTGACAGCTATTTGTTCACCCTATTATCTCATTCCGTTCTATTTGGATGAAATAGTACAAGTGTTAATTACCATAATTAGAAATAGATCAACAAGTACCACGAATAACCACACGTATCAGCAAACAAAGAAGAACAACAAGACCACTTCTGAATCGAACTTGACTGGCAATTTTGCATTACTTTCTCGAACGTCAAGTGTCAAAAAGAACGATCCTATCCAACGTAACACTTGGGTTCATTGGATTTTGACAATAGTGTTAATTGGAGTTGCCTATGGTGTTGCTCTCTTGGCAAGAATTGAAACTTTTTGGATTATTTATTTAGTGTCGTTATTTGTTGCAATGAACATGCTTCGACAATTATCTTTTGCGTAATAATTAAATTTTTAATTCAAGAATATCGACTTCAATCTGGCACTTGAATTCTTCGTGCTTTTTACCAATTCGTAGATTCGTTGTATTCGAGGTATGTTTATCTCTGTCTTTAAATTGTTGAACAGACATCATTCAACTGTCTGTCATTAGAAAAAAACAATCAAAAAAAAATGTTCATCTTCCTTCTTTCAGTGCTGTTGGTCCTTCTCGGAGGTTTCTTCTTCAAACTTGCTGTCGCACACAGCAAATCCTCATCAACCACCACCACCAACACGACCACCACTTCACCATCGACTCCATTGATCAAAAAGGAAAAATCCACATTGACATCTGGCACTTTTGAAAATACAACAACTTCCGAAACAACACCCGTCGATTCCAAGAATCGAAGAGATTCTCTCGATCTCTCCCTCGTCATGCCTTCCAAAGAAGAATTTCGTCAAGTTTTCAAAAATGTTTCTTCCATGTTTTTAAAAAACATTTCCGAACAAGTTTCGAAAATGGATAAAATGTTGAATTTGGCACAATCGGGTCAACACTTGTCGAGTAAGATCATTTCCGAGACGAGTAGTAGCAAATTCGACAAGGTATATCAATTGGCAGAAGAAGAACAAACCTTGACAGAAATAAAACATGGCGATGAACATGATGACGAAGATGACGAATCGACAGCTGTCATTTGTTTGTCACCTTCCATCGAAGACGAAGAAATGGAATCCGATGAAGAAGACAAGTCCTCCTCTTCCTCCGCCACGACCAAACAAACTCCTCTCTCCGAAGAATCTAAAAAAGAGAAAATGAATGAAAAACGAAAAAATATTTTAGCAGAAATTCTCAGCACGGAAGAATATTATGTGAAAGGTCTTCTCATTTTGGATTTTATTTACAAGAGACAAATCGAACAAAAGAAAATTGTCGATCCCAAAGTGTTGAAAATTATTTTTCAAGATGTCGACATTGTGTGTAATGTGAATTCGAAATTTTTAGAAGAATTACGAAAAATTTATGAAAAGGAAAAGAATTTGGAAAGAGAACGAGAACGAGAACAACAAACAAAATCCTCGAACATGAAAGCCACTAGTAATTCTGGAATGAATTCTAATTATTATTCAAGTTTGGGAGAATTATTGAATACCTATGCACATACATTTAAATTATATGCAAATTATATTTCTGGTTATAAAAAGGCATCGGCTGCTCTATCGGAAGAAAAGAAGAAGAATAAGCAATTGAGCAAGTTTTTGGATGGAATGAAATTATTGTTGAAGGAACAAGGAGAGAGAATTACACAGTTGGAGAGTTTTTTAGTGACACCTGTTCAGAGAATTCGTAAGTTTTTGAGAAGTGTTGTCAATTGTTGTTGTTAACCGTTCATGATCATCTATTATAACCAATTTGCATTTCACTTTCTTATTGGTGATCGATGGATGATCCAAAATTTATGAATAGCTCGTTATCGATTACTTCTTGAAGATCTTTTAAAGAACACTCCAGAGGATGATCTTACCAAACCAAAACTCAAAGAAGCTCTCGAACTCATCAAATCTATTGCTTTATATGTCAATGAAGCTGAAATGAAAGTTGAAAACATTCAAGTGACTTCACACATGGTTCACAAATTGAAACTCAAAGGATTTATCAAACCATCAAGATATTTATTTGATTATTGGGCTGAAGAAAATAACAATACCATTCAATGTCGAAGCAAATCATCACCTTCTCGTGTCCATAATTGTGAAGTTTATGTATTTAGTGACATTTTGGTGTTCCACAAAAACTTTGATAGTTTTTTAGGAGCTAAATTGGAATTACTTCATACTCGAAAAGGAGCAAAACAAAAGAATAAGCTTGTCGTGAAGGAAGTTCAAATTATTTCATCCTCCAACACAATCAGAGACTCTGGAAATGCATTGGAAGTGACTGTGAAATTCATGTATGAAAATCATTCGAGTAAGGAAATTAAATTGTTACCAAAGAATGTGGAGGAAAAGACTCGATTAGAAAATGCACTTCGTAAAAGTATTTCAGTATCTACAAATACGAATACTCAAGGATTTTCATTGGGAAAGAATGTCAAGCAATAAAATCGGATGCGTCAATTTATTGTGGTACTGTAGTGTGTGGTTTTGTTCAACGTATCAGTTACTACAAAAGAAGACTTTAATTATGATACCACAATAAACGACACATGTTTTGTCCACATCATTTTCGTCCAATGTTGAATGGTTTTTTCAAAATTGTACAATTTACTTGACTTGACATCTTAATGTTGTAAACCCATGAGAAATCAATGGATGACTGTGAAACTCGTAATAGAAATGTCGGTCAATAATGTTTTTGAAGAGTGGTAGTTTTGTGGTTCTTCTATTGTATCTGGTAGCTCTAAAGTCAATTTCAACAACGACCCAAGTTTGTTGAAGAATAACCGAACATACTTTTCATGGTCGTTGATATGGTAAAATATTGAATGTGACGCTCCAGCAGCAATGATTAAATCGCCTAATAATAGCATTCATTTGAATTCCAGTCAATACATTAAAAATTGTTATGACATTCCACACATGTTCCAAATGTTTGAATAAATGAACAGATCAATAATAACAATAATAACTATAAACTCTTAACACATACTTTTCAAACAAGTGATAAAAGGTTGATGAGTGATTTGTGCTGGTTTTGCCACTCTTGAATTGTGTCCCAAACTCAATTGACCAAAAGAATTGCTTCCAACTCCATATATTTCAATCTTAAAAGAGGAGACTGATCTGATGAAAAAGGCATGATATCCACCAATAAAGATGTTTTTCACTTGACTCCAAGGAAATGACAATTGTAATAATTCAATGGCATTGCTATTGTCACCTTCGTGAGCTCCTCGAATGAATAGCCGATTTTGATTGGTCTTGTAAATGGTGATACTGTCTCTGTCGTAGATGTCTGCTACTTGTTCATCATCAGACATTTTCGGTATGTAGATTTCCGATGTTGCTGCACTAGTAATTTCATGTACTTTTCCAGTGGCTGGAATTATGAATCGTTGTTGTTGTTAGGAATAATAGAATATCATTTTTTTGTGTTTTTGGCATGTGACACAATAAAATTTGAGAGTACATGAATAACCAAATGTTTACGTTGTCAGTAATAACCACACCACTACTTACATGTCAGCAAGGTAATTCTATTATTTCCAGAATACACATTATGAATATCATTGGCTCCAACACATGACATTGTATCCAATTCTTTCAATTTTCCAATATAAGGTTTCAAATGAGGTTGGACCACAGAAAAACCATTCACAAGTATTCTTCGATCTTTGGTGAAATAGCATGAAAATTGAGATCCGCACAACACCTTGCGAAAAGGTAATAACAACTCGGTGCTGTAATCATTGACCTCTGTCACTGGTGTCATGCTGGTACATGTTCCAGGAACTGATTCCACTAAAATTTGACCCATATTATTGGAACCTGCACCAAACAAGTGACCCTTCTTGTTTATGAAAATTGAAAATCCATATCCACATTCACAGTCCACAATGTACTCGCCCTTTGTATCGATTGGAAACAATTCTGTTTTTCCAGAATTTGCAATTCCTAACTAGTGATTAATGCGAGTTATAAGAATTGAAATGAATTGAAATATATATTTACCTGATTGGAAGAATTGGTTCCAGTTCCAAAACAATTTCCGAGTTCATCAATAAAGATGGAGAAATATGGACCACACTTGACTCTGTATTCAGAAATTGTTGTTTACATGGATGATCGTAGATTGAAATGATGATTCAAGATATTCATTGGATTTAGTAATGAAACGATCACACGAATGGAGAAAGATCATTTTCGGACCATCATTTGATCATGAAAAAAACATACTTGACAATTCGATTCGGAAATACATGAGTCAATGGTTGAGCTAAATTCAATGATTTGGACACAATTCCCAATTGCCGTAAATCATTGTATCTATATATTCATCAAAGAATATGATAAAAATAATCATCATGATCAACAATGATTTCATTGCATTCGGAGATACGTGTGTGTTTCATGATTCAAACATTTCATGGTTCATCAACAAATAACACTACGTACCCACAGACCCAAATATTTTGTCTTTTAATGTGTTGTTGATCAACAACCTCTTCAAGAGATGGATCAGAATTCTGTTGTTGTTGTTGTTGAGACATTTTTTGAACCTTGTTTTGGAGTATTAATAAATTATTGTAAAAGTTTAAACATCAAATGGATTATCAGAATATTGTTGATTTCAAAACATTGTTGACTCTACCTTATAGTAATACTTGCAAATAACAAGGCCTGGCTTGTTGTAAAATTCACATGGCCTATTTGGACACACCAAAGAAACACATTTCTTTTATTGCTCTCAAATTCCAAAACCAATGTCAATTTCCAAAAATCAATTGGCAAATACCTTTCGCACAATCATCACATGTCGTCGTTCTCTGAAAAGTTTTTCACACACACTAAAAAACAATTCACACACAAACGACAGCATGCTTCAAGAATTAGAATCAGAATTCACTCTCCAAAAGACCTCTCTCATTCAAAACATTCAACAAATTCTCTCCAATCTCATCCAAGCGTATCCTCATCAAGAGGATCATCCATGGAATGAAAAGAATTCTTCGTTTTTGGACAAACAACAAGAAAAATTAAAAAATCAATTACCATCAGGTCTTCCCGAAGCCTTTTTTCAAACTCTGAAACATTGGGTTCAATTCCAATCACCGATTGGACATGACCAACCGATTTTACCATGCCCTTTTAAACAGCATGAAGCAGTGAGTGTTTTGAAAGCGATGGAAGGTGCTTTGGCTCATCTCATTGGAACGGAACGTTTTTTGATGAACCTTTTTCCAACGTTGAAAATAGCAGCAATCATCATATTAATTATTATTCTGAAAAGACTCATGAAGAACAACAATCCACTCATAAACCCATTACAGTAAATTTAGATAGAGCCTTACTCTATCTCAATACAGTGGTATGGGCCTATGCAGAAGATCCCGTTACAATCATGAAGGCTCTCCCCAATACGGATTATCATTCGACGTTTCCTCCTGGCAATGTCTGGCGGTTTGCCTCGACCAATATTTACCAATGTCGGGATGGTCATTACTATCATTTGCATGGCTCGTTGAATGCAACTCCAACGTTTGAAATGTTGAAACTTCCTCCTTTTCTTGGAGAAGAGCAGAACAATGCTGCAGCTTCTTCTTCCACTCTCACAGAACAAGAAGCCTATGAAAGAATTGCACAGGTCATTAGGAACGATTGGAATTCTGATGAAATTGAATGGACAGCGAATGAAACCTATAAACAAGCTGGAACTCGATGTTGGACTCGTGAGGAATTTCTGGCGAGTGAGCATGGAAAAATTATTCATGAAAAACCATTGTGGGAGGTCGAGAAGGTGGTATTTGATCAGGTTGAAAAGCCAAGACCTTTGAGTCGTCTAGTTGTAGCTGCACAAAATGTTGACACCAAGTCAGAATTATCTTCACCCAATAATGAAAGTACTGTGAACAGAATTTTGGAAGGAGTCAAAGTATTGGTCTTTGGAAGAGCCATTGCAGCTCCAGCTATTGGTAGAAATTTGGCAGAATATGGTGCTCACGTTCTCAAAGTGATTGGTCCTCAAAATCCAGACGGCAGTGTCTTTCAGTTGGACAATGTGGGACAACATTCATGTTTTGTCGATTTAAAAACCGAGGAAGGAAAGAAACAAGTAGAATCTCTCATTATGGAAGCTGATGTGCTGATACAAGGATATCGACCTGGTGCATTGGAAAAATTAGGATTTGGTTTTGATCGAGTTAGCCAATTAGTACAATCTCGTGGTTATGGAATTGTGTATGTTTCTGAGGATTGTTATGGATCAGGAGGTCCTCTGTCACATCGTTCTGGATGGCAACAAATTGCAGATTGTTTTTCTGGAGTGGCCTGGGCCCAAGGAAGAGCTCTTGGTTTAGAGGAACCAGTCATTCCCTTATTGCCAATTTCGGATTATTGTTGTGGAGTGATGGGAGCATGTGCGGCATTGGATGGATTGTATCGTCGTTGTAAATATGGTGGATCTTATTACATGACCACTTCATTGACGAAATATAATGATTGGCTGCAAGAGTTGGGAATGTATCCAGACGAGGTTGTGAAGGAATTGATTCAATCTTTTGGTGTTTCTTATCGATGCCATGATAACATGTTAGCAATGACAACCAAAACTCTGGGTGGTCTTTTAAAGAAAATACCAAAAATCATGTTGGGAAATTTTGGCAAATTTGAAGAAACACCTTTCAAAATTCCAGTCAAGTATTTGAAGCCTGTTGTGTCCATACAAGACACGGTGAATGAATTTTTGTGTCCGCCAAGACCTCATGGATATGATAAGCCAGAATTTCCAAATTATCATTAATTACATAGGATGAATCGGAGTTTATTTGAGCGTTAAAATTCGTACGAATTGGAGTGTATTTTTTTTGAGCCAGACTAATGGTCAAACTACAGTATCATTTGAAAATTATTTATTTATAATTACAAAGATCAGGGTTATTAAATTTTTGAGGGCTAATGCAACTGCTCGCACAAACGAATCATGTGTTCTGCAGGCTTGTCATTGGTGTTACTTTGATAAAATTCTTGGAACAGCTCCAAAGCGCGTGGATACTCCTTTTCAAAGTATAATTGACATGCTTGATTATAGGAATTCCATTTGTTCTTCTTTTGTTGATCTGCCAATTCATACATCCACTCGTCTGTTAGTGACACACAGGTCAAGAGAGCATATGTTAAGACAAAACTGATATCGAAAAATGATAAACGTACCTTGTGAAACAGTCAATGACCCTCCCAATTCATAAACCTTGGTTGTGTGTTGTGGAGGTACTTCATGATTCAATGTCACCGACATGATGTAGGTATCATCTACACAATTCTTCGTGTCCACAAATCTCGTTTGGAATGATTTGGAACATGCAGCATTCACTTTTTCACAACACACAATCGGAATTTCCAATCGTTTCGACACTTCCATCAAGGATGCCAAATTACTCTTCGAACTACTCATAATTGTGAAATTCTTAAAATCATTCGAACCAATATTTCCACAAAAACATTCTTGACAAAGTATTGCAAATCGGAAAGTCATATTGTCGTAGAGTTGAGGTTTCTTTTTGACAAGTTCATGGTTCTTCCATTTCATATACTTGACAGAGAGAAGTTTGTCGTGAAGTTGTCGAGCGACTTGTGAAGCTTTTTCTTCGTGATTGGATTGATTAGAAGAAGCGTTGAAGGCAATAATGATGGAATCATTTTCAATGGAGGAAATGTGACCTCCTGATGCTCTTGAAATACTATTGACTTGATCGAAAACGTCACTAATTTTATAAAAATCCAAATGAATGTTAACTATAAATGGAACAAAAAATTTCCACTTACCTTAATAACATGACCGTCTCATTGGGACTAATGATATGAATCCACTCATTCAATCCATCCAAGTGAATTTCTAACAAGGTCACTCTTCGATGTTCCATATATAAGGAAAACTTGTTCACATTCGAAGTATTCTTTTTCGATGCGACTCGATGATACGATGAAGATTCCATCGATCGTGACGAACTCGATGCTCCATCACTTTTTTCACTTTCAGAAAATCTTCTTTTCGAAGAATGTCCTTTTTCAGAATCTTTTTCACTTTTTTGAAAGTTTCCTTGATCGTCCTCATTGTTGATTCCATTTTGAGAATTTTCAATTTCTGACAACAAGTGAGCTGGAATGAAACTTCGATATAATTTCATACGTTGTACCATATTCATGAAATGTTGTTGTAATTGTTTCACTTCAGAGAAGGCACCTCGTTCGTTGAGTTGAATTTTATCGAGATCCATTTGAGCCACACTCTCGAATAATTGAATTAAATGTTCGAAGGGTTTCACAATTTTCAATGAAACAAACACTCCCAAAATAATTCCAAAAGTGACAATTAAAATACTTCCAAAAATGGAAGCAATGATCGCAATAATGGTCGATCCAATGTAATTCCATTGAGGCATGGCCAAGACAACGATCCAATCAATGTAGTTTTTGGTACACATTCTCTCAACCATAATGTACATGGAAGAGGAAGTGAGAACAATCATGGAATTGCATGGAATTTGTTTCCAATTGTTTTGATACGAAGAGAGAATGATTTTTCCAATCGATTGAATGCCTGCATCGTCCACGGTTTCAGTGGTCTTTCTATTGAGACTTCCATCAGCGGCATATTCGGTAATGACCACCTCGCTGTCAACTATTCCAACATTTCCCTTATTAAGTAAAATTTTTACAAAAAAAATGTACTTACCAGCAATCAAGAATTCTGTTTCAGTCTCAACAATAAAACCTTTCGAATTTGGAATAGATTTCGTACGACTCTTCAAAAAGCTACTAATAGTATCTACTGTTAAATCCACAGCATAATAATACGAAAAATTATGAGAGGGTAACAATTGATTTCGATCCACAACACAATTCAAAATGGTAATAAACACATATTGTGGCATTGCAATCGATCCATAACTCAAGGTATATGCCTGTTCGTTCGGATGTTTTTCACACGTGTCAATAATCACAGACAAGTCATAAGTGGCCATTGTTTCATCGGGTGTGGAACTTCGATGACAATAATCATAGTAGGAAGAATTGTGACAATAGTAAACGGTTTGAATGTCTGGTGTAATGTTAAAAGTGGCAGGCATGGTATCTGTCCATAAAATAACTCCAAAACAATAATTGAGAGGATCGCCAACATAACCAGAAATGGTAATTCCATCTTGATATCTCAAACCACTCTATGGAAAATGTATTTCAAGATATAGGTGGTTATATTACCCATGTCATGATATCATTTGATTAGAATAGTTGTAATAATAGTTGATCATAGTTATTTCAATAATATTTAAAATATTTCAAAAATGTTTCACACTGAGAAGAACAACTAACCTTATAAGCACTATACATCTTTCTTTCAGAATTTTCATAATCATACATGGAAAAGCGATCCCCAACCAATTGTTGTTTCACTGCTTCATTCGCAATTGCCACTTCTCTCAACGTCTGCTCTGCATAATGAATAATACTCTTAAATTCACCATCTCGTTCTGAACTACTCAATCGAAAAACAGTTGGAGCAAAGGAACTCAACCAAGTCGCAGATAAAACCACAACACTTAACAAGATGAGACTTGAAATGAGGAGAATGAGACAACATTTGATGGAACGAAAGAATGAAAGGTTGGAATTTGTGGACACATTCGAAGAAGATAAGGAATGGCTTGAAGTGAGAGTGTTGTAAGGAGAGTTTTCGTATGCGTCTTGATCTTTCTGAGTGGTGGTCTCTTGAGGATGTATTTTCGTGCGTGCTGTCATGTGATCTACTGTCAGTAATCAATAATAATACAACTGTAGATACTGTTAGTAATCAAAATCTCTCTGAGAATATGAATCTGTTTTACAACAGTGTGCAAAGTTCTAGTAGAGAAAAAGGTAGTCTCAATTACTAGAATGGATTGTTTTTTTTTTGAGGTTGTCCAGCCATACATCACTCTAGTGACAGAATAGACAGAATGATGGCATCATTGTTGAAATCTCTCTTCATTGCTCAACACTAACCTTGCATCTCTCAATACAGAATTTGGCGAAATCTCTCAGAGAGTGAATCCCTCTCGAGACAGTTATGGTATGATAGAGGTCGGCGTTTGGTACCAATTTTGGAGAGTGCAGTAGCACAACATGAATTACAATCGGAAAAAACATCTTTCAAGTGACATCAATGACAGTCATACTGAGTCATTCAAAAATTGAACCTATTACCCGAACATTTACAATCATATCTCCATGAATGATGTTTGTAGATAGAATGACTCAAAGAATCGTTTGGTATGTCCTTCACAATAACATTGATCGATTCACAGTATTTGATTGAAATGAGATTCCATAATTCCCTATTAATTTGAATTCATTCAAAATGGGGAGATTCAATCGTCGTCACACACATGGATATTGAAACAAGCATGGCCATTGACCAAATTACAGTCCAAATTTCTTTAAATCATCCATCGAATTCAATGACTTGAACATGGTTTCCTGTAATAAATCCATCATGTGATCCACCATTCCATCCTTCCATGAAATAGCAATATGAGCATTTCCATTGGGATCATACAAGAAACAAGTTCGACCATCTTGTTCATTGACCACAAAATGTCCTCTCACATAATTTAAAAATCGTTCTGTAAAGATGGCTTCGTACGTTGTCAGAGCATCATGAGGACAAGTTCCCTTTATGGGTGTGTGAAAAACACATGTTCGATGTTTAAGCCAAACATCCAATAACGTGCCAACCACGTGACTCGCTCGTAAATAATTAGGTTGATATTCCTCAATGATTTGATCGTTGGCGTAGGGATTTGATCCTCTATGAAACGAAAGACTTCTCATTTCATCGACGATTGGACCCTCAAACCAAATACTATGAGTTACGGTGTGACCCACACAGAAGAAGTTAAATCCAGCTGAGAAAACCATTGCTGCTGCATATTGGTCTTGTCTTATATTGTGACATGAATGACAATGATATTCTTTTCCTCTTTCAAAGATTTGAGGAAGATCATGATCCACAGGAACAACACCACCTCCCATATAGACCAACTTGTTCACAAGCTCGGGTAAATGAGGATTCAGTTTCAGAGCCATTGCTACATTGGTCAATCCTCCCAATGACACAATGGTTAAATTTCCATTCAATTCTTGTGCCTTTTCCACAATAAATTCAGCTGCTTGTTTCGAATAGACTTTTTCCAATTCATGACGATCGAGAAAACAATTGCGTTGATTTTTCAATTCTTGAATTTCATCATCTGAGAATAAACCAATTCCTTCGGTTTCAGAATGCCAACAAGGTAACACAACAGGTTCATTCATTGGATAATTAGAACCTGTTACGACTGGAATGTCCAACTTGAAATTCAAATCCTGTTCATGAGCTTGAATGATTTTTCGAGAGACTGCGGATCGAATTTCAACATGTCCATACACTGTAGTAACTCCAACAATACGAACACATTCTCGAGGTAAATGCAATAATGAAAGAAGAGCCAATGAATCATCAATATCCGACGCAATATCCGTATCGAAAATGAGATGATGAACGACGAGTTCCGAAGAGTTTTGAGTTGATACTTTATCGTCATGATTTGGAACAAGGAAATGATGATGATCCTGGTTGTTATTGGAATTTTCATATCCCCGGATCCGAGTTCCATCATATGGATGTTGTTGAGCCTTTAGAATATTGTCCAAGGATTCATCATTGAAATCATTCAAACGATTCTTAATTTCAGAAATGCGTTCTGTAAATGGATTGGAATGGGTATTGTGCGAATTTTGATGATTGGTGTTATTGTTATTTAATGATGAAAATTGTTGATTGTTTTGTCCCATTTTTTGTTTGTAAAATGTTCAATTATTGAGATCTTTACAACATTAAAATGACACACGGAGGTTTAACTCGAGCCAAAATGGCAAAGTTATTTCGTAAAGAATTGTTGTCTGATTATAAAACGCAGAAAATAATTATTTTCCGCTTCTTGCACAATAACCTTTTTGAATGACCAAAATTTCTTCTAACAAATTGATGGAGGAACTGATAAACAAAACGATTGTGTGGCACATTTGAAATTTAGTTCCAAAATTCAATCAGTCACGTTAAGGAATTTTTTATTATTTCATCATTTAAAGCGAAGGGGATAACTTACAAAAAAAAGGACACACGATGGTTTAACTCGAGCCAAAGTTGGTGTGTTGACTGCGTCTAGGCCCTTGTGTGTCACTTATAAATTTCGTCAAGATTTTGTGTGACTTTGTTTTTGTAAAGTGTCGAAACTCTTTACAAAAACAAAAAAAATAATGGTGCACTAAAAATCAATTTCAAAAAAGTCGAATCTATTTAAAAAAGATCCATTATCCTGCATTCAATCTCGAGAAGAACCCTCTTAAAACTGTTTGATTAAACACCAGGAAGCTTGGGTTCAAGTGCAGAATTGAAAAAATAGGACAACTACCACAGCCTTTCGGAGTGGAACGTTTTTTTACTATTAATTAGCTTTTTATATTTAGTAAACTTTATATTCAAAGGCTCTAAATCTCATCATGGGAAGGAAGAAGGCACACGGAGGAAAGATTACACTTTCTCTTGCTCAATTTCAAGATCAAATGATTGCAGAAACTGAGTTGTTAATTTCCGAAGGCTGGTTGGAACATGATGAAACAAGCACACGACCAAATAGTATTAGTGCGGAACAACATGATCCATCAATAATGAATAATGATCATTCAGTCAATAATCATCTAAAACAATCGGTTGCAAAAGACATGATGACTTTTCATACGGAATGGAATGCTGAAAAGACTCATCAACTTGTTGGACAATTCGATCATCCTCATCATCACCATACGACGAGTAATCATTTAGATCTTGCTGATGAAGTTTCCGGTGAATCCACGTTAGAAGCAGATCTCCGTTTAGCTCTCGCTTTACAAGAAGAAGAAGATTATGCGTTTGCTTCTCATTGCGCCAATCGGGAATATAATAACTATCATCCCATGCGTGTATCGGTTCATCCTGGAGGAGGTATTCAAATAGGAGGAAATTCTGGCTTTGATTTACAACAGAGATGTACCCGAGCGAATCAATTGAAAGTCATGGTCGTTGAAGATGAGAGTTATATTCGTAAGAATCCCAATAATCAACCACAATCAACCACTCGGAGAAATAGTACTTATAGTGGAGTTGTGGGAGGAGCTTGTAACATGTTGTTTGATGATTATGAATTGTGTGGCGATGATGATTCATTGTATGCCATGATGAATGGTGATTTTGATGAAGATGACGAAGAAGACGAGGACTTGGACACTGAAAATAGTTATGACGAGGACTTTTTCGATCATATGGAGGATGATATTGGTGACAATGACCGAGAACAAGACGAGTCGTATTGTGTTGGTTCTGAACAAGATTCTTCATCTCGTCAATCAACAGCAGCAGCATGTAGTAAGAGTCTTGAAGAAGAAGGAACCTCAATACCTGTAAATATTAAGCGAAGAAATTCGAGTGCCCATTCAAAATCCAATAATGGGAATTCTTCGAGTCTTGACGGTAGCTCCCACTCGTTTGAAAAGAAAAAGGACAATTCTGGTGGTCGTCTCCCTAAAAAGCAATATTTAGAAAACAATATCAATCGTGTGGTCATCCCTTCACATGTGAGAAGTGCCATCTACACCAGTGAAAGAAAACAAATTGAAAAAAAGATTAAGGAAGGCAACAAGATGGAAGATAGAGCTACTGTCGAAGGAGTTATGGACAAGAAGACTCGAATGATGCTCTACAAGTTTAGAAATAATGGTACTCTTGACTCCATTAATGGATGTTGCAGCACTGGAAAAGAGGCCAATGTGTATCATGCCACTGCAGGTCAACCATATGAAGGAAATGTGATTGAGAATATTCCTGGAGCCTCCATGAATACATCAACCACCTCTCAGGGAGAAGAGGCATCACCCCATACATGTAGTAACAATGATGATGACGACATGATGAGAACTGATCTTGCAATCAAAATTTACAAAACAAGTGTTTTGGAGTTTCGTGATCGAGATCGTTATGTGACTGGTGATAGAAGATTTAAACATGGCTATTGTAAAAGCAATCCAAGAAAGATGGTTTCTGTATGGGCAGAGAAGGAACTTCGTAATTTAAGACGTATGGATGAAGTTGGTATTCGAGTGCCCAAAGTCATTGCTCTCAAACAGCACATACTCATTATGGAATTTATTGGAAAGGGCGGAAGATGTGCTCCTCGATTGAAAGAGGCAAACATTCCAAATTCCAAACTCAAACCTCTCTATTTGGATATCATCAAAACAATGCGAACCATGTATCATAAGGCCAAACTTATTCATGCTGACCTTAGTGAGTATAACATTCTTCTCTACAAAGGTATTCCATACTATATTGATGTGTCACAGAGCGTGGAGCACGATCATCCTCATGCACTCGAATTCTTGCGTAAAGACTGTGAAAACATTAAGAACTTTTTCGAACGAAAAGGACTAGGACTGAATGATATTTTGACCACTAAGGAGCTGTTTGATTTTGTTACCGATGTCAATATTAGTGAAGAAATCATTGATGGCTATTTGGACAAGATGTTTTCCAAAATTGAAAAACGTCCACCCGTTCTCAATGAGCAAGAACAAGTCCAAGCTGAAATTTTCAAGCAAGTTTTTATACCTAGAGCACTTATTGAAATTGAGGATCCACTCGATCATCAATCAGCAGTCGACACGGATGACGTATTCTTCTACAAGAGTGTGACTGGAATTAACGATAATTTAACTGCTTCCACTAATATTCCTTATGGTTTAACCGCACAAGAAATGTATGAAATTACTGGAAAGCCATTACCAGAAGAAGAGGAACAAGATGACGAAAATGACAATGATGAAAGTAACGACAAAAATACATGTGACGCATCTGCCTCTTCATCTCCACATCTTGATCAACATGTGGATCCCAATGACACGAGCTTTAAACAAGATCGAAAAGAATGGAAACAACTTGTCAAGCAACAAAATCGCGAAAAACGTCAAAACAAGACTCCTAAAAAAGTCAAAAAGCAAATCCTCAAACACACCACTCGAAAACCTTAACTCGCATTATATTAAAATGAAATTCTGAGTCGTTCGACCAAGATGAAAAATCAAAAAAATTGAAAAACAAAACGGCTACTGACCGATTGCTACACCCTTAATTTGGAGTTGATCAAACAACAGGTGAAAACGCACAACAACAACAACCATTTCAAAGTGAATGCCATGCCTATGAAAGAAGAGTTGAAGGAATCAATCTTGAAACAAACACATTCATCAAAATCATCATCCACTCATTCCGTTAGCACGATACGTGAGTATAGAGAGGATGATGAAGAGGATCATTCCGATCTGAGCGAGATTTCTTTGGATCTTCATTCAACCTCATCGTTAGGTCATTCGCATCAACCACGGCATGTTTCTTTTCAACAGCTAGGGGATGAGAATGAACATCCTTCTTTTGTTCATTCTATTAAGGAAGATCCATTGAAAGTACCCAATTACTTCTCACCTCCACGATTGGTCATGGCGGATGATGAGGAAACGATCCGACCAGTTCTTTCCAAACCTCAAACACCATCGCAAGTACACTCAAAGGAAAATCAACATTCAGGATCCAAAGAAACGTCATCATCATCAACAACAACTAACAACAAAACGAATTGCAAAACGAATTGTATTATTGAACAAGATGTAAGGCCAAAACATGATGAATCCAACAACATTACGGCTGCATCTCCCATTTCTTCTTCATCCATGCTCCGAAGAGACTCTCATTCCGCTTCTTCTCCGATTCTGAACTCGTCCATAATGAACAATCCTCTCATGAGCTCTTCCTTCATCTTGAATTCTTCTTTTATTAATAATGAAGAAGATATTGGAGAATCACTCACCAGTACCATGATGGATGAATATATGACCAACAACAAGAGCACCAACAAAACCAAAAACCTCTTAAAATCGTCAAGTTCAGAAAAAACAACACCTCCACCTTTACTTTCATCGAGATCGAACTTGTTTGATAAACTTTCGAGTTTCAAGTCTAATTTACAATCAAAATCGTCGAGCCAAGATTTACAAGAGTTGCCTCAAGTACCTCATGAAGACGATGAAGAAGGTTTTTTGAATGATATAATTTTGTCAACACCAAACAGTGGAAGTAAGCATCATTATGCTCATCATCAACATCATGTACATTTTCATGGACCAACCATTCCATATTTACCCAATTCTCATTTACCACCGCTGGTGTCGCCCATTTCTAAAAGCAACACTACTAATTGGATAGAATTGAAAATGAAAATGGATGATATTGCAAACTCAGTGGGAAGTGGTGGCTCTTCATCGAATTCTGTTGCGACAGAGTTGTTTTTAGCAGCCCAAGAGGGTGACATTGACCTTTTGCGTACCCTGTTAGAATCGAAAAAGGTCAATATTAATGCAAAGGATAAGGATGGATTTGGCCAAACGGCATTGCATTATGGCTGCTGGTTTGGAAATCAAAAAGTGGTCGAGTATTTGATATCAAGAAAGGCAGATATCAATGCTGTCAATAATGTAAGTTGGTGTTGAATTATTCTCAAGTTGATTCATGTTTACATGCTATGGAATGTGTTACAACATTTTCGTGTAGTATAACCAAACTCCACTCCATGAAGCCACTTACCGAGGGCAATTAAATCTTGTCAGATTGTTGTTGAAAAATGGAGCTGACAAGAATGTGACGGATCATGTTGGTGAGAAGGCCATTGATTACGCCAAGAAGAAGAAGAATGAGGCTACTAATTTCACAAGCGAGAATGTCTATAAGGAAATTATCAAAACGATTGAGAGCTATGCAGCTGATGAAAGTTTACCATCTAATCAGAAAAAATCCAGTACTAGTAAATGTTGCTTTCAGTAGTGATGACAATCTTGTGATTAACTTTCCCATTTGCAAAATATTGAATTACAGCCATTATTTTAAATTAATAAATAATGTTATATTAATTCATAGTAATATGTAACAAATGTTCATGAAAAATATAACGTGTGGAGAATCACCATCTCAAAATTCTATTGTTGCAATCTCGGTATTCTAGTATTACAGATAATTGTAAATAATAAATAAGTCGTAAGATATTAAGTCTTTGTTGAGCTATTTCTAATTTTGTGACACTACCAGTGAGGTCTTATCACCAGAAATGTCCAATCTTAAAACGCCTCCAGTTAATTTGATCGTTTGTGGACACTTCAAACCTCCGTCAGTGCCTCCAAATGACACCATCGTATATTTTCCAACAAATAAACTCATTTCACCAGACGGAAGTGATAATTGTTCTACTTTTGTTTCTTGAATATTGGTTGAAGATGTAAGAATACAGGCTTTAAAGGTTTTAGAACTGCCTGCTGGAGAGTACATTAATTGCAAGCCACTATCAAGTTCATCAATGAAGTATTTCACAAGAGCCTCCGAAAATACTACAATTACAGAGCGGAATTGTGTGTGCTTTGCAGCTTCGCTGGAAAACCATCTTTCTGCTTTTTCTTCAATTTGTTTAAAGCTTTGTTCGTGAGCCTTGTTTTTAAGAACGGATTGTTCTGTCAGTTTCACTTCCCATCGTTTTCTGTCGTGCTGGAGTGTTATGGTTGTACCTGCATCCGATCCTCTGATGAGTTGTGTGACAGGTAGCATCAAGAGTTGGGTTGTCATATGGTGATGAGAGGTGACATTTAATGTTCGTCACAAATGTTCCATATAAAATTACAAAATCAAAATTTCAGAAGGACAAGATGAGATCATCATTATAAACATCCATAACATCAGTTCGCCACCATCATCACGATGAAATATATCATACAATATATCAATTCATATGGCATCGAGTTCAGTAGTTTCAATCAAAGGATATCAAAAACAATTCATATGACATTAGATTCACACTATTGAATAAACACAATCATTGACATTTTGACTCACCTTGTATTGAACGACTTTCCAGCCTTGTTTTGCATCTGAAAGAATTGTAATTCATTCAAAGTTGTTAATACTTTGGACAAACTTTCTCTCTTCTCATCATCACCTCCCGCAAATAACAAATGATGAATCCTATGAATATTACCCGATTCCTCTGTAAATTCAAATTTATTCTCGGTACAATCCAAAACAATCATTCTTCTATTTCCGATCGTGAGTTCTGAACTTGTATTGGTTTTGATGATACTCAGCTTGAATGAGGAGAGATCAGCCTGTAATGGCATATTCGCAGCAAGAGAGGGTGTACCCGATTCTTTCGTGGAATGATTGCCTCCCATTTTTTTTGTTGTTTTTTTTTGAAACCTTCTAAATTAGTGGCAGTATTCTTTAAAGTGAGATGAAATTTTAAACCCAATTATTAAATAACCGATAACCGTTACCTTTTTTCTATTCACTAAATAATCGGTGATTCCGAATCTTGATGAATGTGGTGTTGTTCAAGATTAGAGTCTTCTTCCAACTCTAATCATGAATAAATTTATTTGAGTGTTAAAGTAGAAGAGAAATTGGGTGAGTGTTCAACAACAATTACAACAACTAGACAGTAGTGGTGGTGGTTGCTGTGTGTTGTGCCTTGGGTTTAAAATAGTTCATAATGCTATTGATCTTCTTCTTCTTTGAATCATCCGCAGTGGTTGCTGTTGAGGAGGAAGGTAATGGTACAATATTTTCCTTATTCTCATCTGAGACAGATACTTTCACTTCATGTTCCACTACCGCAGCAGTAGTAGCAGCAGGAACAGAATGATGCAATTCATGGTCATTGAAAGCATGTACTTGAGGCTGAACGTTCACAATGGTACCCGTAGCATCAGTTGGAGCAGCAGAGGGTGATGTACTTGTGCTTGGTGGATTCTTCTTTTCCTTCTTGCTCTTCTTCTTTTCTCTCTTCTTCTTGGATCCTTCTTCGTCGTGTGACTTGTTTTTCTTTTCTTCCTTGCCAAGTGTGGTTTCGTCCTTCTTTCTCTTTTTTGCTTCATTCTTCTTCTTCTTGGGCTTTTCTTCTGGGGTGGTTTTTTCATCAGTAGCTACTGAAGAAGTTTCTTCTGGTTTAGGTAATCGAGGAGCACGCTTAAAGATCTTCTTGGTGCTTCCATTGGATTGGTCCTTCTTTGATTCCTTTTTCTTCTTTGATGGAAGGGTTGTGGTACTGGATTGAGAAATTGATTGAAGCTTATCACTACTACTGGTCACAGCGTTTACAACTTGGGAGGCATCCTCAGCAGTGGTGATTAAGGTGGTGCTTTCAGAAGTCATAGCAGTGACAAAATCTTGTGGTGGCAAATTATTCATTGAAGTCTCCTCCATGGCATTCTGATTGTCAATAGCCATGCTAACCAAAGCTTGCCCAACAGGTTCGGGTGTTTGGAAAATGTCACTATTTGCTTCGGTAGTAGCTGACAGATTATTCAAAAGTGGAGTGTCCTTCTTCGTGACATCCTTCTTATTGCTAGTAGTGGCAGCAGGTGTCGTCTTCTTCTTGGCTGAGGTCTGTTTCTTTGGTTTTTTAGGACTGAAGAGGGATTCGGTAGATTGTTTGGTAGTTTTTGCTTGAGGTGCATCCATCGTGCCATTGGATCCTGTTTCCACCTTTTTCACTTTCTTTGCAAACATGTCCATCAAACTCAATTGCTTGCCTTGAGACTTGTTTTGCTTTTCCTCAATTTTAATTTCTTCCCAAGATTTAGAGAAGAGTTTTTGTTGACGAGTGGTGCCTCTTCCTTTTTGTTTGGAAGATTTCTTCTTCTTCTTCTTTTTGGTGCCATAACTTTCGTCAAAGTCCTCATCGTCGAGATCTTCGTCGTCTTCATCCTCTTCATATTCAAATTCATCTTCTTCATCAAAGTCCATATCGTCTTCACCATCGTCATCATTCTTGCCACGCGCAGACTTGTGGGCATAATTCTTTCCGTACTTGTTTCGATTAAAGAAGGAATACGAGTTGACATGAATATCATCAGGTAAATCTGTGACAACAAAATCCTCGTTAAACGGAATCTCTGGATTTGTTTTGAAATGCTCCTCTCGTTTAGAGGCCTTAACGGCTTCCATGGCTTGCAACTTTTTAAGCTTGAGTTCGTATTGCATCAATTGGCGCTTGAAACCATCATTGATACGATCTCGTCCGTCAATCTTTTCTGTGACATGTTCATAACAATCCTTTAGAGACATTTTCAGGTGTTTCATTCCAAATGCAATGAGTGTTGAGACACTTCTACTACGACCTTCTCGACAGTGAATCAAGACCTTTCGGTCTGGATACTCTTCGAGAAATCTCTGAATGATTGCAATGGCCTCATCAAAATACTCAGAAATGAGAATCTCACTCGAGTCCTCAATAGAGATTTTGTGATAAATAATTGGATGATTCAATTTCACAGATCGATAGATGGCAATGGGTTTTTTACGACTTGGTGTGGTCTTCTTGGAAGATGATCTCTTCTTTGAGGAAGATTTCTTGGGTGTTGTGGCTTTCTTTTGATTGGGTGTTGTCAATGAATGTTCTTCTTGATTCAACATATTGGCATCATCAACCATGGACAAGTGACTGGCCTCAGAAGCCATCGAATCAAGAGTATTCGATGAAGAGAAGCGAGAAATTGCATCACTCATGCTCGACATTCGACTACTCTCTTCAGGAACAATGAAAGCATTACTGGACATGACACTCTCAGAATCATCGACAAGCATTGGATCTGAAGAGGCAGCAGAGACCAAGGAGAGTTGACTTGCTGTTGGTACTGCGTTCATGTTGTCATCCAAAAGAGCGGAAGAGCTTGAAGAATATTGAGAAGGAACAAGTAAATATTCAGAGACTGTTGTTGTGGTCGTCATGGAAGGATGAGAGAGTTGCTCATGATTGGAAAGGTCCATAAATCCGTGTTGTGTTGGAGTTGATACATTCGTGTTATGCTTCAGAGAAGGAGGAGTGGGAATGAACTTTTCCTCATCTAAGGAGAGCAAGATACGAGAGGAAGAGTTTTCATCTTCTTCTTCTTGAGGGAATGATGTAAGAGAAGCCTTCTTTGGTGTAATGTTTTCATCTTCTTCATCAAACACCAATTCATCCATACCTTCCGAGGATTGAGAGAGGCTTCTCATCATTTCGGTTTGTTCATGTTTTCGTAGCTTGATTTTAATTTCAGTCTTGTTCTCAAAATGATTATCAATATTGTCGGTTACGTTAATGACGAGACCAATGTTTTGTTCTTTGAAGAGGTGAATATCACAGGCATCATCTTTGTTTCCGAGTAGAATTCTGTCAAATACTTCCATGATGGTGATGTAGAAATGTTGTGTTTTGGAAAAGAGGGTTGTTGTTGTTATTCGGGCGATGGGATCGGGTTCTACACAATTTCATGCATGGAATAAAAATAATATTGCCAGATAATCAATATTGCTGCTTTAGAGTAGCTTTGCTCGTGTGGGATAATGATGCACTCTAGTGGAATTCGATCAATCAACAACGAGAGAGTGATCGGTGGGCAATATTTTATAATTTGTGAAAATTTGAGTTTAATTGTGTAACGGTCAGAAATGGCGCCTTTACTTTTTGAGCTGGAATTCGAAAGACAAGAGTGACAACCTTCACACAAGACACACAAGTTAAATCTTTGAAGGACAACAAATTGTTCATTCAATGTTTGACTCCAATTCTTACATATTTGAAAAAACCATTCGTTCAACGTTTATCAATGTTTAACCAACGTTCTCCAACCATAAAAAAATGTTTGGGGCATTCACAGCCTCGTTATCCTCATCTCTATCGTCGTCATCTCCATTTCATCATCCGAGCGGCAACAATAACCACAATGATGCCGCCGGAATACAATCATCATCGTGGGCACTACATGATTTCATTTCCTCCCTCCTTTCCAAAACACTGAGTTCTGTATTGTATGAAATTCAAAATACAAATCACCACTTGAGGTCATTATTCTCTTCGGAAAGTTCTTATCATCACAATGCTCACACTTCAAATACAATACTGACATCTCCATCATCACTATCGACAAGTATGGCATCAGTACCACCAACAACATCTGTGCCGACTAGTTTCTTTTCCATCATCCATTCTTCCGCCTCTTCTGGGTCATCTCCATTCCTTCCACAACAACAACAAAACAGCATTTTGAGCACAATCATCAGCCGTCCCCTCTCGGATTTGTACATTCCTTTCAATTTTACCAATGGCACTTCTGCAACCACACAATCACTCATGATTGCAGATTCTGTACTGGAATATGTTGGAGTTGGATTTTGCCTTCTGCTGCTCGCCTTTTATTTGACTATACTCATTCTTGTACTGAGGAAGAGGAACAACTTCTTCTTGTCACTATGGCCCTCTAGAGTTTTAGTTTTGTGTGGAGTGATTTCACACATGTTTTTTAGTATAATTGCATTACTCTCCCAACAGGATTGGTGGACTCAAATTCGGAGTGCCAACACTTTACAGGATTCTGTCAGCATGTCGAATAATGTACTATGTCGCATTTCCTATCCTCTAGAGTTTATATCGTTGGTAACTGCATTGAGCGCAGTGTTATTTATCATTACCCATAACCTTTCACCGAGAAGGAAACCAGACCGTTCTGCCTCCATGTACTCGAGAAAAGCATCGATTCATAATGGCGTCCTCTCAACACATGCCACAGTTGATAGTGGTGTCTCATCCTCCTCATCCCCATATCACAAACGAAATGCTTCTGTTGTAGACATTTTGGCTCACGAAGATGTCGACGCAACAATGTCTCTCACTGGAACCACAATTGAGGACGGCTCTGTGAAGCCTCTACTTCGGTCACATTCGACCTCTAAAAGCATTACCGAAATGCGTACTCACACCCGAAGGAAATCAGAACCTAACGTAAAACATGCACCCTCACAAACAGATTCGAATATTCAAATCATTGAAACATCAACATCACCAAGGTCCAACTCATCTAAACATAATGGATCGGAGCAAAATAATAACCAAACATCTCACTCGGCTGCGACATTTAAAATTGATAGCGCTCCATTGATTCAACAATTTCAAAAAACAAATCCAACGATCAATGTACAAAAAGATAATAAGGCAATCATTGCTAAAACCCTTATCATTGTAGGATTATTTGCTTCAATTCAAATTACAGGAATTATTGTTGATTTAATTTTAACTTACACGATTGGTCACAACGGTTTGGAATTTCTCTTCAATCACGTCACTAGATCGAGTGGCTATTGTGCCCTCCCTACCTCTTCACTCCTTATACAAGGCATGTTTTTCTTCCCGTATTTTATTGCATTTAATATGTATAGCGTGAGGCTTTACAAGAAGTTGGTGAATAAGAGAATGAGACGACGAATATTGGCTTGCCAAATTATTATTACGTCACTCTTTGTAATTTTTGGAATTTTAGGAAAATCAGGCGAGAGTATTTTCACAATTTTACAATCCATTGATACAGATCAGAGCTTCTTGTTTGATGTGTTAGTGAGATTATTTGGAGTGGTGCAATCTCTGGCATGTGACATTCTTATTGGCCTATTTGTTATTGTGTATTTTGTAGTGCTTCCTCTTGCGGACTCTATGAAAACTGATAATTTCTACTCCAAGCAAATGTCGACTCTGTCCAACACCTCTCCTTCCCAATCTCAATTTGTGTAATCCTAGTTTAACATGATGAAAGCGTTGAAACCATAATGGCGATAATGTAACGATTTGTCCATTCCCTCAATGTAACGTTCTTGTGTTGGTGATATTGTATCATTACAAGCAAGCTCTGAGGATAAAAATTGTTTCAAAGGTAACTAGCTAATGGACACTTTTAGGCATCCTATCAGCAACGATCATTGATTTGCCTATTTTCGGAGTAATATGGTGCTTAATTACTTGAGAACAGTAATTTAAAGCGGGGACACCGAATTTGTTGAGTGGAAGAATTCTTGTTGCTTTCTCTTGTTGTTGAAAAATTAAATTTTCTCTTGCGACAATTATGGGATTGTCTTTTTTGTTCAACTGTTGGTTCAATAGTTTCAACGAAATATCACCTACTTAAACTACGGAAGCTAACAAGCATGATGTGCTCTACTGGACTGTGAGTTGGTTCGTCATGATGTAATAGTGAGGGAGATGGACATAAAAGTCTTCTTCACCATCCTTTGATATTTTCTCCATGCAACAAAAAAGGCTCCATACAAGAATAAAACGACTCATCAAGACTAGAAAAAAATTCGTGTTGTATTGTAGCCGATTGATTTACAACCCGAGATTGCGATATTATCATTCTAGAATCATTATATTGCACTCATATTCATTCAGAAACAAATAGCAACGTGTGTTATATTGATCCTTTGTTTCTGCTGGTCCTAAATTTTAGCATAAATATTTATTGGAGATCTTGATCGGACCTACCTGTGGCTTAATGTAAGTACGACGCGAGATTGAAGTACGAGTGTGAGCTTTTATGATTGTCGTTATTATCACAAATGATATGTAAATACTGTGTGGCATTATGATATCTGCTTCATATGTTCCCATAATACTTACTGATGCCACATCAAATTTGATGAAACTTATGCTACTCCATCAACTCATCAAACAAATATTGGTGCTGCTTTCGTTCACTATCATCACCACACTTACTGATGTCTCTATTGACAATGACATTTGCCTCATCCACACACATTTGTCTGGATATCCATTTGCTTCAATTACTCTTGGAAATTGTCCTAAATTTGGCAATTTTGCATATTAATCATGGCTTATATTGAACACAAAATTGGCTTCTTCTTACAACCCATCTTGTTCAAACATTCTACGCAAAAAACCTTTCCATTGCCTTCTTCCCCAACTTTTTGGTGTGGTGATTGGGCAACATTTGACACCTTGTTGTACTACAACAATTTGGTTTTCCAACATCCGATTCGAAATTGTATTATTGTTTCTTGCGATATTGTATTTAATATTCAATTTCCTATCTATTCTTGGCTTACAAATTCCATTGTATAATTCATCATACTCTTGAATATTCTTTGGACACTTGTGCTCTACCTTGATAATAATATTATTATTTACAATATCATACTATATTTATTTATACAACACACCTTACACGTGTGGCACCATTCATCATTTTACCAACTCGTTCGAACAATTGTTGTGTACACTGATTCATCGGACTGCACAAACACACAGTGAAAATGCTTTCAAGTCTCCTTCATTCGTCCAAGCAACAAAACAATGATGACTCGAGTACCGACACAGATTCGCCACTTGATTCACCCAATAGCACAAAATCGAAAAAGGTCTCTGGAATTAGACGAAATGCCTCCATCCAAGTGGGATTGAGCGACTTTGAGTTGAGCGGAACAAACGTACCAAATCCAGAGTCCATTTCACTCACTCATCTCTCGAAATATGCCATCACTCTTGCTGGTATTCATGAGGTTGTTGAGGAAAAGAAGGACTTTGTTAAACTCATCAAAAGATTAGATGAAACAGCTAGTATTATAACCCAGGCTCATGATATTATCTATGAAGCCATTATGCAAAATCGTCGTATTACTAGTAGTGATGAATGGCTGGTAGACAATTTTTGGATGATAAAGGAACAAATTCACATGGCTAAAAAGCACTTGCCTCTTGGTTATGAGAAGGAAATGCCAAAGCTTAACAATACCAAGTGTGCTGGTTATCCTCGTATTTATGGTATTGTGTTTGAGTTGATCAACTTGGTGAATGGTCAAATCACTGAAGAAAATATTTTCCAATTCGTGAAATCATACCAATCGGTGAAACCGTTGACAATTGGTGAATGTTGGGGTTTGGGAGTCATGTTACGTTTGGGTTTACTTGAAAATATTAGACGTGTTGCAGACGGTATTATCAGTAGAAGACAGGATTGCAACCTGGCAGACGCATGGGCAGACAGATTGTTGACAGCAGCTGAAAAGAGTAGCCGTGACGTTGTACAAATTTTGTATCAATTGTCCCAAAGTGAGCCTATCATTACCAATGCGTTCGTTTTACAAATTAGTCAACGTTTGCAAGGATCTGATCCTGTTCTTTCAATTGTAAATACTTGGCTTGAACAACAATTGAGTATTAAGGGTATCGATATTGACCAAATTTTCAGAATGCAAAAACAAGCCAACTCTGCTAATCAAGTTACCATGTCTTACTCTATCAATTCATTGAGATTGATTAACAATTTTAACTGGAAGGAATTTGTTGAAAAATTGAGTCACTTGGAAGTTATTCTTCGTAAAGATCCATGCAACATTTATCCAATGCAAAACTTCCAAACTCGTGACAGATGCAGACACAGTGTTGAAAGAATTGCCAAGAGATTCAAGCTGGACGAAAAGCAAGTGGCAAACAAGGCCCTTGCCCTTGCTAGAGAGAATCATGAGGTACTTCAAACATGTGTTTTAGGCTCTACACGAGGTAGAAGCAGATCGAATAGCGATGCAACAGAACCAAGCTCTCCTGGTGGTTCCTCGAGTCCAACCTCAACCCCTCATTCGCTCTCTCCTCGTTCTGCTAGTAATGTTATTAAGAATATGAATCCAGATCAAATGTACGACATGAAACTAATTCGTAGGAAGGCATGCATTACCTATTGGCTCTTGGAAGATGAAGGACTCATGGAACTTCACAGAGCAATAGGCTTCAAACTTACTCCATTACCAATTTCTTGGGTTGATTTACGAACTCCAATCTTCCTCTTGTGTATCTTGTTGTTGACTTGCTGGTTTGCCTTCTCTTATATTAGTTATACTACTACTTCTTATTCAACCCAATTCAATAGATACTTACCATTCAGTAGTTTGGCCTCTCATTCTGGCTCCTCCTACGTTTACTTTGTGTACGAAAAGTATCTTGCTCTCATATTGCTTTACATTTCTGTGATTTTGGTTGGAAGTCAATTTGCTGTGAACTTGACAAATATGCTATTTGTCAGATTGAAATATCCTGCCTCATTACCTTCTATGGATTTCAGCTTGACTGGAATTCCAGATGAACACAGATCTATGGTAGTTGTCCCAACCATGATTACAAGTGAAGATGGAATCAAAGAATTAATGTCTGACTTGCAAGGAAGATATCTGATCAATCGTGATAAGAACATTCTGTTTGCGCTCATTACTGACTTTGCTGACTCCAAAAATGAAACCACAGAGAAGGACGACGAACTAATCAAGCTCGCTGTGGACGGTATTAATGAGTTGAACAGATTATATCCAAGAAACATTGATGAACAAAAGGTTGCCAAAACTTCATTCTTCCTTTTCCACAGAAAGCGAGTGTATAATCCTGTTGAAAAAGTGTGGATGGGTTGGGAGCGTAAGAGAGGTAAATTGGCAGAATTCAACAAATTTATTTTACATGGAGAAAAGGGTAATTTTAGTCACATTATTGGAGATATCACCAATTTGCACACTATCAAGCATGTGGTTACTTTGGACACTGATACCATGTTGCCTTCTGATGCTGCTCGTAATATGATTGAGACAGCTGCTCACGTTTTGAACGAACCTGTCATTGATCACCAATTGAAACGCGTGACTCATGGTTATGGCTTGTTACAACCTCGTGTCAGTGTTGGGTTTGCAGGATCAACCAAGTCTCTTTATGCATACATGCACAGTTTAGATTCTGGATTGGATCCATACACAAGAGAAGTTAGCGATGTTTATCAGGACACCTTTGGTGAAGGTTCTTTCATTGGAAAGGGTTTATACAATGTTGAAACATTTGAAAAGGTGTTGGGCGACAAGTTCCGAGAAAACAGAATTCTTAGTCACGATTTAATTGAGGGTTGTTTTGTTAGATCTGCTTTAGTTTCCCATGTTGAGGTTATTGAAGATTATCCTTCTAGTTATGGTACTGAGGCCTCCAGAAGACATCGTTGGATCAGAGGTGATTGGCAAATTGCTTCCTATGCATTCAGTCCTTGGATTCATACCCTCAACGGCTATGAAAAGAATACCCTCACTGCTCTACACAGATGGAAGATTTTTGACAACTTGAGACGATCCCTCGTTCCTGCTGCCATGACTTATCTCATCATGTGTACTGCTTTGTTCACTTCATACCACTCCAAGTTACCACTTGTGGCAGTATTGTCTGTGCTCTCGTTATATTTAATTCCAGCTGCTATTAACACAACCATTGATCTTGTCAAAAAGTCAGAAGATATTACCTGGAGTTCACACTTTAAGAGAATTCGTTTCAATTTGGTCAGAACCTTCGTCGATATTTATGTAGAACTTGTCTTTACTCCATTTGAGGCCTACAACAATATTGATGCCATCATTCGTTGCTTGTACAGACTGTACTTTAGTAGCGGAAAAGGTCTTTTGGAATGGACCACTTTCCAAGCTGCAAGCAGTGTTTACAAGACAAATCTATTCCTTGCCATGTCAAGATTATTATGGTTCCCAGTGCTTTTAACCACAAGCATTATTTGCTACATTATTATTCAACATAACACTGCAGTGACCTATTCTGAATGGCAATTATCAGGTTATGCCAAGAGACCTCTCATTCTCACAAGTAATATCATTACTATTGTGTTATTGTTCGGTAGTTGGATCGGTTCTCCATTTATTGCCTATTATTTGAGCAAGCCATTGAAGAAGAACCTCTTCGAAAGAGAAACTGTTAATGACCTCACTGTTGATGATAAGAAATTCTTGCAGGTTCTCTCTCGTAGAACATGGAGATTCTTTGAGACCTTTGTCAGGGAAGAAGACAATTACCTTCCATTGGATAACTATCAAGACTTCCCTAAACCAATGCTTGCACGTAGAACCAGTCCAACAAATATTGGTCTTGCCCTTTTGGCTAATTTGGGAGCTTATGACTTTGGATTCATCACAAACAATGATTGTATTGTACGAATTCATAACACTCTATCTACACTTTGCAAGATGGATCGTTATAAGGGACATTTTTACAATTGGTACGATACTCAGGATTTGAGACCATTGTGGCCAAAATATATCAGTGCTGTTGACTCTGGTAACTTGGTTGGTCACTTACTCGTTCTCAAATCAGGTTTATCCGAATTGACGGAATACTTTTCCGCACTGAATACCGACACTTATATTAACGGTCTCAGAGGAAATCTTTATAGCATGGAATTTATTTTACAAGAAGTTGAAAAGACAACCGACACAGATGATGAAGAACTCATTTACTTTGACATTAACGAAGTTAGACCAATGATCGACGATTTACACACAAAACTTGGTACCAAACCAACCAAGCCAACTAAACTAATCCGTTGGTATACCGAAATTAAGGCCAGTTCCAAAAAATTGGAAGATGTTTTACTCGAGTCTTTGAACAAGCTCAAGAAGGCATTTAAGGAAGACCAACAATCCGATATTGAGTGGTTATCTGAAGATATTGAAGAGCGATATGAAAAACAACTTTTGTTTTATGCTCAATCATTTGTCGCATTGGTCACATCTATTCTAAAGGAGATGAATGAACTTTCGCCATTCTTGAAGAATTGGGAACTTCCTGAAGAGTTTTCCACTCAACAACAAAGTTCACTCTCTGGGCTCTTAGAAAATGAATCGATCATTCAATTCGTTAAGGAGTTCAACAAGGTTGATGTTGATACACTGACCGTTCAAGAGATTTCTGTATTGAAGAAGCAATTGAACATTTCTTCCATTAGAAAACTCCTTTCCAACATCAAGGTCACTGGATCAGGAAGTAGTAGCAGTACCACAGCTACTGGAAGCACCACCTCTGCTACATCACCTACATCATCAACTCCAAAAGGTATTGAAGCAATCAAGAGATGGACACAAGAACTTGAAGAAGCTTTGACAATTGCAGAGGCTGAAGCCAACAGACGTATCAAATTGTTGAAGCGTTTGGTTAACATTACTGAAAATCTCATTGAACAAGATTTCAGCTTCTTATACAATCCATCTCGTGACTTGTTAGTAATTGGTTACAACGTTGAGGCTGACCGAATTGATCAAGCTCACTACGACATGTTCTGTTCCGAGGCTCGTCTCATCAGTTACGTTGGTATTGCATTGGGTTATTTCCCAGTGAAGCATTGGTTCTCAATGAGTCGTCTAATTACGACACAAGGAACTCATCCTGCTCTATTGTCTTGGTCTGGTTCTGTCTTTGAATATTTGCTCCCTCTCAACGTCATGCCAAACATTCCAGGTACTTTACTCGATTCTACCTATCATGCAGTTGTTTTACGTCAAATTGAATATGGTAAGCAAAAGAATATTCCTTGGGGTCAAAGTGAAAGTGCCTACAACTTGATGGATGCCAATCTCGTTTATCAGTATGGTCCATTTGGTGTTCCTGGTTTGGGTCTTAAGAGAGGTCTTTCCAATGATCTCGTTGTTGCTCCTTATGCCACAGCCATGTGTTTAATGATCCTTCCAAAGCAAGCAACAAAGAACTTGAGACGTTTGACCGAAATGGGATTGTTAGGATGTTATGGTTTGTTTGAATCTGTGGACTTTACTCCACACAGATTGAGAGGTAACATTGATGCACAACCTATCAAGTCATTCTTTGCTCACCATTCTGGAATGTCATTCCTCAGCTTGGTTTATTGTCTCAGAAATCAACCAATGCAAAGAAGATTTATGGCTGTTCCTGAATTTGGTGCCAATGTTTTGCTATTGCAAGAAAAGATTCCAACTGTTCCTCACATTTCAAATCCAAATGAAAAAGAAACCGAACGTTGGAAGAATGTTGGCTATAACCTTCCAAGCGCCAATAGACAATTCCATGGCTTGCACACCTATCCTGAAGTACACATGCTCAGTAATCATTCACTTCATGTCATGGTCACTGTCAATGGAGGTGGCTACATTAAGTATAAAGACATGAGTATCACAAGATGGCGTGAAGATGCTACTCTTGATGGATTTGGTGTATTGACTTACTTTAGAGATTTGAAAGACAAGAATGACATTTGGTCAGCAACTTCGACACCTATTAAGGCATCCAATGACAATAATTATTCTGTCACATTTAGTCAAGCTCGTGCCGAATTTAAGAGATTACACAGAGGTATTACCACAGAGACCATTGTAACTGTATCACCTTTGGATGATGTTGAAGTGAGACGAGTTCGAATGACTAACAATACTTCTCAGGCAAAGGAAATTGAATTCACAAGTTATGGTGAGATTGTGTTGAACCAAGGACGTGCTGATGCTGCACACAGAGCCTTCTCTAATTTATTTGTTGGAACTGAAATTCTCCATGAACAAAATGCCATTCTCTTCAATAGAAAGCAACGAGATCCAAAGGACAAGAAAGTCTTTGGATTCCACATTTTACATGTTCATGAACCAAAGAATATCATTGGTGAGAGAAGCTTTGAAACCGATAGAAGTAGCTTCTTAGGTAGAGGTTACACAATGCAAAGACCAAAGGTATTGTGTGACGAGCCTGGACCACTTTCCAATACTGCTGGCTTCCCTCTCGATCCAATTTTCTCAATTCGTCAAGGAATGAGAATCAAGCCAGGAAGAACCGTTCACATCGACTACATTACTGGTGTTGCATTTTCAAGAGAAGATGCTCTTGGTATCATCAAAAAGTACCAAAACAAGAAGACTACAAATCACGTAGTTGATTTTGCTTGGGTCGCATCAGAGAAACTTTGCTTCCGATTGGGAATCACTGAAATTGAAGCTCAATTGTTCTCCAAGTTGGCAGGTTGCATCCTTTATTCAAATCCACGATACCGTGCTCCACCTGGTCTCATCACAAAGAACCGTAACAATCAATCTGGATTGTGGAAGTTTGGTATTTCAGGAGATATTCCACTTATTCTTGTTCGTGTTTGTGATTTAGAACAATCCTTCTTCATGCAACAAGTACTTCAAGCTCATGCATATTGTCGTTGTAAGGGAGTTGTATTTGATTTGGTTATTTGGAATGATGAGACTACACACTATCGTGACTTGTTGAATCAAACACTCCATCATTTAATGTCACACATTCCAGGATCTACTGAATTGTTGCATCAACCTGGAGGTATCCATCCTGTCAGAGGTGACAGCTTGACTTCATTCGAAACTGTATTGCTGTACTCTGTTGCTCGTGTAGTTTTATCAGACAATGGTGGAAGTCTCACTGACCAAATTAATAGAACCTCAAAGAAGGGACTAGTAGTTCCTGCATTCCAACCTCTAACACAACCACGCCCAGTTAAGGATGTACTTAATACTGTTCCAAAACTCCATGAAAGAGATTTAATTTTGAGAAGCGACGTCGGTGGTTTTGATGCTAAGCGTAAAGAGTATGTCATGATGCTTGGTAAGAACCATGTTACTCCAAAACCATGGTGCAACGTTTTAGCAAACGATCGTTTTGGTTCTGTTATTTCTGAAAGAGGTAGCGCTTATTCATTCTTCACAAATGCTCACGAGTACCGATTAACTCCATTCAACAATGACGCAGTTTTGGATGGTTCTGGTGAGGCATTCTATATCAGAGATGAATCTACAGGACAATATTGGTCTCCAATGCCTCAACCTGTCACTCCTGATAGAGATGACTATTACTACATTTGTAGACATGGTATTGGTTACAGTATTTGGGAACACTTCCATGATGGTATTCATACCGAGACAACAACATTTGTGCCTCAAAACGAACCTGTTAAGGTATTTTTAATTCGTGTCACCAATAATAGTGGTTATGATAGAAATTTAAGCGTGACAGGTTTTGTTGAATGGGTTTTGGGAGAACTTAGAGAATTGAATGCTCCCCACATTATTACAGATGTTGAAAGAACTGACAATAGTACTGCAATTATTGCTAGAAACAGTTTCCATATTCACTTGTCGCACTTTGTTGGTTTCTTCTCTGTCATTGGCCACAAAGAAGGAACACTTACTGGTGATAGAAATGAATTTATTGGTAGTAATGGAACTCTTGACAAACCTCAAGCTATGAGACAGCAATATCTTTCAGGAAACGTTGGTGCTGCTTTCGATCCATGTGCTGCTATTCAAGTTCCAATTACAGTTGAAGATGGAAAAGTTGTCGAAGTTGCATTCATGATTGGTGCCAACTACTCCAGAGATGGAGCTAAGGATGTAATTTCCCGTATCCGTAGTAACCTCATTGTGAGACAATTGTTGAACAGTGTGAAGGCTTTCTGGCATTACACATTGAATACCATTCAAGTTGAAACTCCAAATCCAGAATTGGATGTTCTTGCCAACGGATGGCTCCTGTATCAAGTACTGTCTTCACGTATTTGGGGTAGATCTGGTTTCTATCAATCGAGTGGTGCTTTCGGTTTCAGAGATCAATTGCAAGATACAATGGCAGTTGCGTTTGTCATGCCACAAATTCTCAAGCAGCAAATTATGACCAATTGTGAACATCAATTCGAGAAGGGTGACGTATGCCATTGGTGGCACGATGTCACAAATAGTGGTGTCAGAACCACATTTAGTGATGACTATTTGTGGTTACCATTTGCTGTTGCACACTATATTGAAATTACTGAAGACTATAAATTACTCCATGAAAGAGTTAGATTTAGCAAGTTGAGAGAAATTGAGCCTGGTGAAGAGTCCGTTTATGACAGATTAGAATACACCGAAGATACTGCTACTGTTTATGAGCACTGTAAACGAGCATTGAAATATGGATTTAAATATGGTGTTCATGGTCTTCCATTGATGGGTTGTGGTGACTGGAACGATGGTATGAACTTGGTTGGTATTCATGGCAAAGGTGAAAGCGTATGGTTGGCCTTCTTCTTGTATCATGTTCTTGAAAAGTTCGAGCAATATATTTTGCAAACTGAGATTAAGGATGATGACTTTTTAGAAGAATGTTTAAAGAATAGAGAATTTATCAAAGAAAATATTGAAAAGAATGCATGGGACGGAGAATGGTATCGTAGAGCATACTTTGATAGTGGTGAGCCATTGGGTTCAAAGGAGAACTCTGAATGCCAAATTGACAGCTTGCCACAAAGTTGGGCCATCATGAGTGGTTGTGTCGATAAGAAGAGAGCCAAGATGGCATTGACCAATGCATATCAACGATTGGTTAGACACGATTTGAAACTTATTCAATTGTTTGATCCACCACTTCAATATCAAGAACCATCTGCTGGTTACATTCAAGGATATGCTCCTGGTGTCAGAGAAAATGGTGGACAATATACACATGCCTCTATTTGGTTCGTATGGGCCTATTCTATTTTGAAGGACTCCAAGAAGGTGTGGGATTTGTTTGATATTTTGAATCCAATCAACCATGCCAAGACAAAGGAAGATGTTTGGAAGTACAAGGTTGAACCTTATGTTGTCACAGCCGATATTTACACTCTAATGGATCACGAAGGCGAAGGTGGTTGGAGTTGGTTCACTGGTAGCGGTGGTTGGTTCTATCGATTGATTTTGGAGAGATTGATAGGTATCAAGAAACAAGGTAACTCGCTCAAATTTGACCCATGTCCAAGAGAAGACTGGAAGAAGTATTCAATTACCTATCAACATGGTAAAACAACTTACCAAATTCAAGTCATTCGATCCGATGAAAATCATTTGAGTGTAGACGGTGTCAAGAAGACTGATCCAACAAGAATTCCATTGCAAGACGATGGCAAGACACACAAGGTTGAGATTTATTACAAATATTAATTCGAGGACAATTACATTGCAGCACTCATTCAGCGATCCATGAAAATCATTTGAGTGTACATTGAACATTACATCATAATAATAAACCAGTTTACCATTTTATGTACAAGATTTATGGGCTGATTGAGCACAAGTTAATCTTCTGCAATATAAACCTTTTTTCGAGAAAAGATTTTAATAGCGTCTTCAATCTCTTCCAGCTTTCGTTCTAATTGTGCCTTCTTCTGTTGCAAAGACATGGTGTCACACAAAATAGGCATCCTGTTGATGGACCCTTGAATCTCTTTCTTGTTTCGTTCCAATTCTGATAGCGTTGCAATACGATCGTGCTCAGAAACCAATTTCATACCTGGAGGACATTCATCCCTCTTTCGCTGCTCCTCCATGGCTTTTTCCTCTTGTTGCTGCCATTCTGCTTTTCTTTCCAAAATACTGTGTTCGAATACAGCATGATAGTTTCATCCATAATAACCGTCAAACATGATTCATCGTTACTTACTACTTGGGAACTCTTCCAAATGTTTCAGGTTTTTCATATTCCGTGTTATCTTTCTTTTGAATGAGTTTTTGTTCTCCCTTTTTTGCCATCATTTTCAAATCTTTGGTTGCGTTTTGAACAAGATAATTCTTTTCCTCTCGCTGGGCACTTTGAGGTGGAGTTGCTTCTTTTTTAGGTATGGCAGGCTTTTTAAATTCTTGTTGAATCAGCTCTTTTTCTCGTTTAACTTCAATCGCAATTTCCTTCTTTTTCAGGGCTTGCTCACTCACTCTTTCCTTCATAGCTCCCGATCTCAAATAATTTTCATTGACTGGATTTTCGGGAGAGTAATCTTGTTCTTTGATCTGTTTCACTTTGGATTCCACTTCTTTGTATTGGGGTAATTTGAATTCTTCTTTTTTTATCGACTCAGTCTCCTTCTTGAGTTTATTTTCATGTTCCTTCTCTCGGAGGCTCTTTAAATTTTGCAACATGTGATTTTTGGGAGCTTGTCCTCTCTTTTCTTGCAAACCCGATAACCGTTTACTGGATGAAGAAAATTAGCCACTTGACTCGAGTCCGAATGATGATGTTTGATCATGTTTTGATTCTTCTTTGAGATCAAATATATGTGATTAAAATTTGTAAAAAGGACAATGAGGTGGTTGTGAAGCTATTTTTTTTAAATTTAAAATAACATGTAAGAGCGTTGGCGGGATGCAAAACCGCGTTTTTTTACACTTTAAAAAAATTCAAAAAAAATTCCCTCAAATCTCACTTTAACCACCATCACACACCAAATGAACTCGAATAATTTATTACAACCCAGTTCAGCAATGACTACTACGAACACGAAATTTGGCAATACACTCACCACTCCCATGAGTCCGGTGTTCACTTCCGACGCGAGTGGATCTGGCGGATCTGCTCTCTCTCAACTACAACCTGGATTGGCAGCCTCGTTGAATCCAGAGTCCTCCGATTCCATGTTATTCTATGCAACACAAGCGTTGGATAGGCAGAACAAGTTGTTGCAATTTGTAGATACATTCAAATTTAATATAACCGAATATGTCAAAAGTTTACAAAGTTCAAAGAAATCATTGGATCCCATTGATGAGGCAGTTTCAACGTTGGACGTGAGAGATCATCGGGAATTGCAAAGTTTCTTATCGTTAATACATCATGCTTCCGTTCAGACGGCTCATCAAAATGTAGTCATGCAAGAGCGACTGGAACGATTGAAATCCAAAGATTTGGATACTTTTGAAAAATCATGGAAACTCATTCGAGATTTTACTCAGCAGTATGTCAAATCGACCAAAAAGACCATCAAAAAGAGAAAAAAGCAACCACCTTCAAAGAATGATCAAGTGCGAGACATTAAGGAAAATAGAGGACTGAAAAAGAAAATATATGAAGGAATGGATGAAATGAGAAGCATCTTGGAAGAGTATGTTCATACACAACTCTTTTATCACAGCAAGTGTTTAGAAATGTGGGCATGTGTATGGGAAGAAGCCCACAGAAATCGAAAAGATGAAGTGGCTCGAAGAAAAGAAGAAGACGAGGAAGAAGACGAACGATTGTCACAACTCTTAAAAGAAACATCCTCAGTTCTTGCACAACAATAATCAACAACAACGAGCCATACGTGGTTTCACGACCCTTCCCTTCACTCTGTTCAAGAAGACTGTTCACGTTTTGATGTAAAAAGAAATTAAATTGAAGTGAGAAAAAATACCAAAAATACTCAGAGCACACATTCTTCCAAAATTTGCAAAAGTACTCTTGTCCGAGAGGAATGTCGCCTTCTACATCATCACACCACACTGGCGGTCTCTCTCCAAAGGTACTTTTATCCTCTAATACTAGCAACCCAGTTTCTTCCTCTCATACAAATTCGTCGTCATCATCTTCTCTCATTCCGAATACGACGATGATGAACACTAATACATCCTCTCCTGGTACTCCCCAAAATACCAAATCCTCTCCTTCTGCCGGTTCCTTTCCAACCATAACACAATCTCTTCCCAATGCCATACTATCAAATGTTCCGAAACAAGTGTGCCTTCTCATTGATACCACCTCCATGATGCAACAATACTTTGGAGACTTCTTAAAAATAATTCAACCTTTTTTAGAAACTTTGGCTGGAACAAATGTATCATCCTCTCAACAACATCAAGGAAAGAATGAAAATGCAACACAAAAGAATTTGATCACACAAAATGTAGAATTTGGAGCAGTATTATTTCAGAATCATCCTCCGTTTGGAGATTTTTTGGTGAGGGTCATACCGTTCGTGAGAAATGTTGGATCAATTTCTCATTTACTTGATGGCTTGGAAAAGAAATTTAAAGGAGGTAGGTGTACCTAAAATTCTGGTTGTATTGAATGGAAATTGTTTTTTCTTCTTTTTCTTGGTGATTTAATAATGGATATTCGACATTTTTTGAAACAACAATTGGATTTATGCTGAAAATATTTTGCTTGTGTTGCAACAACAAATATTCCATGTCTAAATGTTTATGTTGAATGGTTTCTTAATTATTGTCATTTCATGCACACCTGAAGGAGGTGTACGAGATACATGTCTTGCTGAAGCATTGGCTGCCGCTTCTACGGATTTACAATGGGAAAAAGATTCTATCAAATATTGCCTCATTTGCTCGTCGACTCCTTCCGACCATCCGTGCACCTTACCTGGACCATTTGTTGGCAAACCTGCCTCATTTATTGTTCGAGAAATGGTTAAAAAAAGTGGAGTATTATTCTCGATCATTACACCTTTTCGTAGCGCAAAATGGAAATCTATTTTTGAAAGTAGTAAGATACTTTCAGGCAAAGGAACCATAGGAGTGACTGTGAAAAAGGAAAACCCTAACAGCATGGAAACTGAAAATTTGAGTCATGACAAGTTGAATATTTCGAATGGATGCTTTGAAGGAACCAATTTATCTCAAGAAGTTTCGTCAAAAGAGTACATTGTTCGATTAATTTTGGAAAATGCTGCCAAAGTAACCAATACCAAGACCTTAAATTTACTCGGATTTAAGGATACATTTATTGAATTGAGAGGAATTGTTTTAAACCCACAAAATTTTGCTTCTGCGACAAGTGCCACCGCCACCGCCACTGCAACTGCTGGACCTACGACTGCTTCTACTACTACCACGGCAGCCACCAGTGGTACTGGCAATAATATACAACCACTGCTACCATTCACAATTGCCACGAAACATTCACCGAGCCAGACCACAGCTTCTTCTCCAGGTATGGCACCTCAATCTGGAACTGTGACCTCCACAACCAAATTGTCACCCTCTTCTGTTGCCACTACTACTTCTCCAATTGTAGATTCCACGAGTGCCATCTCAAGCCCAAGCACTTCATCTCCTAATACAATCACAACAACAACCACAACACCAGAAAACACTTCAACCAATGCAGGCACTCATCAACAAGGCGTTTTTGTTCACAAAATTACCTTAAATGTGGAAAATTCACACCTATTAGGATCGTTTGAACTGTATGCTAAATCCAATGAGTTTGATACATCCAAATGGCCCAAAGAATATGAAATGAAAAAGTCGGTCTACGTGATAAAGCAGCCAGCCCTGTCATTTATCATTAAGAAGCAAATACCGTTGTGTTATTGGAAGGTAGTGTCTGAATCACCGAAATTTCTTCAGAACATGAAATCCATCATTTCCAAGAAATTTTGCCTTGTCATCACCATTGATGATAAGAAATCCATGATTGTGTACCCATATCAGATTTATAAGGCCATACGAAAACAACAACCTCTTTCCACAGAGACATCGAAGGCCGAACCAATTTTTGTGTCGTGTGTTTTGGACACGCCTGTAGTGGAGAAGCTTGTAGAACGAATTTCCATGCCCACATCTTCCACAACTGCCAATCCAGCAGCTACATCTGTACCCAATGCAACAAGTGTGACTGCAACGAACACAGCAGCAGGCACTGCCACTCTTGCAAATCCTGCTACTCTTGCACCGACCATTGTCAAGCCACCAACCACGACAAGCAGCACACCTGTTACTGGAATTCCTCCAGGAATGCCTATTGGACTTTATCCTTTCCCGTATATGATACCAACAACAGGAATGGTGAATTATGGTCAATTTATGTTGGGAATGCCAAATTTAACACCCATGCCAACGGGAAACATCAGCAACCCAACAACAGCCCCAACTACTAACACCGCTACCACTAATAACATCACTGGAAGCAAAAAGTGAAGGGAGTTTTAATGACTTGCAAAATGTTGGGAACATTGATTGAAAATTCATAGCACGAGTTTTTTAACACATGGATCGAATGTTGATGTAATTATTATTGGACACATGTGTTGTTTGACCATTTATATTACTCATCATTTTGGAGAACGTGATTTGAAACAATTAGATCCAATAAATTCCAACATACAAGTCAACGATACCAAGCAAACGGTATTCGTGTTCGTTCATTGACGAGGGTGAATCCCTTACTATTGTTCATCCACCTCAAAGGTTGAAAGACGTCTACTGTACGAGTAATTTCCAAACTCGTTCTTTGAATCTAGTTTTTACATGGATGTCCATCCACTACAAAAAACCTACGAACATGTTTGATACTGTAACACACTCTTTTTTGATCAGAATTGCAGTGACGTTGAGGAACCAGGCCACCATTAAGATCTTTATTTCCCACCAATTCGTGACGCATCGCGATAAGAAAATGACAATTCTCGCGTGATGTCCTCTATTCCACCATGATTTCGGACATGATCTGATCAGGGATCTCTTCGCAAAGAAAGTCACACTTCTTCTTCTTCAATTTTCACTGTAACCACAGAAAAAAACACTCAACCGTTCTCTCTCACTCCAATATTCACATGTTCACTGAAACTCTAACTAGTGTGGATGAAAAAAGGATCGTCCAAAAGCCTCTTTCACATGTTGCAACACCCACTCGTAATAGTACAAAAGGTCATGAACCCATACAACCTGCTATTACCAAGAGACTTACCTATTTGAAGTCTCCTCCTCTTCATGTACAACCGTACTCGTTGATTGGCATGGAATCATCTCTTCCAACACCATGCCACCACCATCCTTCGCATCTGGATTCCACTACTACCAACGTTTTGGTACTTCTAAAGAACGTCCTGCTGGACCTTTATTGAATGTATCACCCCAACGAATGTGTTTCCCTAATGATTTTCCAGTTCGATCTCAACCATCCATGACAACCTCAACAAGAATAACAAATAGAACGTCCAAGCAATTAGCACCACCTGATATCAAGTTACTATTACCTCCACCTTCACCACATCTTTCAACACTCTTGTTGATGAATTCAATGTGTTCTACAGACTCCACGGATGGGCCAGAAGAAGGATGGCAGGTGTCTCATGCTGACCAAAATTGTTCGAAAACAGTAAGAGCTGAAATCGTGCGTAACACTCCCACCTCACGATTACAAATAGAAAAGAGTGGTTCTGATCGAGAGGTGTCTCCTGTCCTCGATGTGCCAAATGTCATTCTTCTTCGAGAAAGTTGTAGTCGTTATTCAGAGTCGTCGACCACTTCTTCCAGTGGAGGTGGAGGTGGTGGTATTTCGAAATCACACAAAATGAAACAATTCACACCCAACAACAACTGTAAACACAACAAAACTGCTACAGCACCATCATTGTCTCACCAACCAACCTCAATCACTTTTCACAATCCACGAAAAACTCATTATGCCAAACGTAAACGAACCTGTAATTCCATCACCAAAGAAGAATTACTCTCCGTGCTTCATCTTTCACAAACACAAGCATGTCAAGTTCTTGGATGTAGTGTCTCGACGGTGAAACGACGATTCTATGATTTGAAAGATGAAATTGGAATTTCACATTGGCCAAAAGATTATTTTGAATTGGCCATTCATAATAAGAAGGTTTTTCAAAAAATTTATCCCATGTCGTTGAGTTTTATATTGAATCCAGAACAAGAACAACAATCAATGGAATAAAGAGTCTTTTGAGTGTGTTATGAGGATGGTATGAAATCAGGAAATGATAAATATGTGAAAGGAATGGAATTGGAAAGCTCTGAGAGAGGATCATGGTTGGATGTGAAATGGAAATGGACCAAACATGTATGTAACCAAGTTTGGAATTCCTTAGAGCTAAAGATCATTTTCACATTCATTCAAATATTTTCAACTTGATCCTAAAGGTAGTATTGATCGAGGACTGCATGCATCATGGTTACAAAACGACATTATTATTTGGGCGGAGTTAAACTCTTCTCGAGAGAATCCTTCAAACAAAAAAAACAACCGCACCTACTCACCCGCATTCTTTTTCCCACTCAGAACTCTTGAAATTAAGCCGACCCGATACAATTAACCGTGCTGTGTGGTGCGAACAACAAGAAGATTTTCAAATTGATTGTGTGCTGCTCAAATTTATTGTTGATTGAATAACAAGAACATTTCAAAACATGCCTCCACCACCACCACCATTGGAAGAAGGAATGACCTCTTCATCGTCCTCGGATGAGGAACACCACCACCAAGAAGTGAATGAAAAACGCTCTTCCACCAACTCCTCACCTCCAACTACCACTGCAGCAGTTTCTTCTTCTTTAACGATGGTTCAACAACACCCGCATAACATCATGATGGACAATCATCAAAAGAGTAATAGTAGTACGACTGGATCAAGAAGTTTGACTCCTCTTCAAATTGAAACAACAACAACAACAACTCCCAACAACAACATGACGATGATGGCCTATCCAGTTCACGCAACCTCTACCACGAACATGACAACCTCTACCACTCTCGGAAATCATTCAACAACGACAGATCCCAATACCAATCAGCAAAACAACAATAATAACCCTCCTTCATCATCAGCAGCCTCATCTTCCTTCAAAAGTCCCAAACATTCACCAACGCTTCCTCCCACACCCACTCAAATCAAACCCATTGAAACCAAGGAATGGCAAGTGGATTTTAGAAAGTTTCCCATTGTTGATCCCAAACAAATTGCGGAAGGATCCAAGAAGAAGCTCCGCAAAAAGGTTTCCAAGTTTTATGAAAAGCAAAATGAATTGGTGGAAGGATTTGCTGAACTCTACACGAATACAGTAACGAAGGAGTTTCTCAGAGAGTCTGATGATGAAGGATGTGAAGGTGATTCGTTCATTAAGAAGGGACATACTTCTGGTAATGATTCTGGAGATGATTTGGCGAATAAGGACAACAACACAAGTATTCAGGTGGGTGATGAACATATTACGAACAAGCACGATGTTGATCCCTCTTCGAGTAGCAGCAAGGAAACTCGATATGCCAATTTTTGCATTCAAGCAAGTTTTTGGGTCAATGTCATGTTGGTGTTGTTGAAAGTTTCTGCAAGTTTCTTGTCCTTGTCACTCTCAGTGATTACTTCAACCATTGATTCCTTATTGGATTTGGTTTCTGGTTTAATTTTATTCTATACCAATAGGTTAAAGAATAAGAAGAGTGATCTTCATTTGTATCCGGTTGGAAAGGAACGATTGGAACCATTGAGTTTTATCATATTTGCAACGTGTATGGCCACTGCTAGTTTGCAAATTATTAAGGAAGGATTTGTGACAATCATTACAGGACTCGTGACTGGAGATCCATATTTACCAGCCAACTCGGAAAATATGGTCGAATTATTGAGCAAACCAGAGTTGTTGAATGGAACTATGGAATGGATGTTGGGTGTGAAAATTCCTGCTCTCTTCAAAATGATATTTTACATTTATGGTTTAATTGTTCTCATTATAGCCATTTTCGCCAAATCCATTCTCTATTTCTTGTGCATACGGGCTAAGGAATCACCTTCATGTCAAGCCTATGCATTCGATCACCGAAATGATATCCTGAGTAATACCTTCCTTGTATTTTCTCTCTTCATTTCACAATGGGTGTGGTGGTTTGACCCATTTGGTGCCACCATTCTCTCCATTTATATTATTTATGGATGGATTGGAGAATCTTTGGAACATGTGACCAAGCTAGTGGGATTAACTGCCGAGTCAGAATTTATTAAGAAAATTACGTTCATTGCTGTCAATCACAGTGAGAAGATTATGAAGGTGGAAACTGTGACAGCTTGGTACAGCGGTATGAATATTATTGCTGAAGTCCATGTTGTGCTACCACCTGACATGTCGCTACGCGAAGCACATAACATTGGCGAGGATTTACAATTGAAAATCGAGTCAGTTCCTGAAGTTGAGAGATGCTTTGTGCATTTGGACTTTAACGACACACACAAAATTAACAAATAAATTGTTTCGTAATATCAAGTGATCACTTGCGTCACATTAGTTTATTTCTATAACTATGCTGTGTCATGGTTTGAATGGGGAGCTTCCAGCTTATTTCTGCTCTCCAACTCGTTCCTTGTCTTCCTTCATGAGTTTGGAATAATAAGCATCCCAATCAATTTGTAAATTACCACCAAACTCAGTGGGTAAACTATCTGGGTCAATCTTGTTTTTAAGTTCGTCCATCTTGATCATCATGTATTTGGCCTTTAATTCTTCGGATAGGAAGGGTGACAAGAAGGCCCAAATCAAATTAATTGTCCATGGTGCGTTAATGACAAACACTCGACCTAAGCGTTCTGGATAGTAAAATCCAATGTCGTCAAAAATATCTTTCTATGAGAAGTGATTCAATAATACCACATCACGATTTGGATGGTCACATTTACAATGTTTCACAATTATCCAGAACATGTGACTCATAAATTGTCCACTTACCATTCGTCTCACTAAATTCAAAGAAATACCAGAAACATCCACGACCCAATTCATTTGAAAATTGTCATCTTTGAAACGACCTTCACGAATGAAATTTCTCTCATGTACATAAATTAAATGACGGAATTTTAGACTCTTGTTCTCATCAGAGTTGTCAAGTAAATCTCTTGAAACCCACATGTAAAATAGTGGCATTCCATTATCGGAGGCATAACCAGTGTCAATAAACATTTTTGATTTGGCTGTTGTGTCCAAAAACTCCTCAAATCTAACATTTTCAGGTTTGTATTCATGTCTCCAATTCAACATTTTAATAATCAATCGAGTACTTTCATCCAATGCCCAAGCATGACCTCTCAAATATCTATAAATTGCAAAATCATCCAATAATTTTCTTCTCAGCTCATTAAACTCCTCAGCACTCATTGATTTCAATGTATTCTTCTCTTGTTTCACAACTTGAGGAATTTCTCTTGTTGCTTTCAACGCCTTTGCTACCCGAACAACAGAACTAGTATGATTATTGGATGATGCATCATCGGATGATGATTCCGACACTGTTGATTCAGCAACAATAGCCTCTCCATCCTGAACAAGAACTCGTACCAACAAGACCAACACTCCATCCATCAAATCCAATTGTTCTTGAGTAACATCTTTGGTATAGGTTTTATGAAGACTCCTCACTTTTTCTAGTTCAGGAAAATCCATCAATTGATAACCTGGACCAGACGTGGATGATTCGGATTTTAATCGTAACATTTTTTTTTTGTTTGGATGGAACTGTGGTTGCAAGGTTACAAAATGTCAAAGGATCATCACGAATGCAAGTTCAAGAAGATTCAAATTTAAGGAGAATTGGAAAGGGAATTTTGATTCAAAGAATATTCGCTCGAGATGAAAAACTAGTTTATAAAAATGTCAAAACCTCTTCCAACTGTTCCATCCATGACTGTCGGTTCATCCACAGCAACAAGTCCAGGATCATCCATTTTGATGGATCAATATCAAGAGTCCTTGAAACGTGATGAGTACTTGAAAAGTCAATCCTACACTTCTTCCGATGATGAAGATGATGATCAGACTTTGAATGATTTCACTCATTCCGATGAAATATGGAATCAACCTCCTCCTTCCGAGCACGATGTAGCAAAAAGATCTTTATCCAAAACGATGATGATGACAGCAACAACAACCACTACTGACGATTACAGTAATTATAAAAACAACAACAACAAAACTCGTTTCGTCCTATCCATCGATGGTGGTGGTATTCGTGGAATCATTCCAGGTTCCATCTTGGCTTCTCTCGAAAAGGAAATCATTCAAGAAATTGTCAAACATTTCGATCAATTAGGTGAAAAACCTCCTGTTCATAATTTTGCATTAACTTCTTGTTTTGATTTAATTGCAGGAACAAGTACAGGAGGAATTATTGCATTGGGATCTGGAATTTCACCTACAAATTCGAGATTTAATTTTAAATATAATGCAAGTGATTTGGGAGATTTGGTAAGTTTTCAAGAATTGTCATACAATGTACAATCTACTGATTTTTTACGCTCATTGTTTACAATGAAATTTGACATGTAGTACACAAATAATGGTTCTCTCATTTTCTCAAAAGAAAACAAACACAACAAATTGAGAGAATTTTTAACATCTTCAAGATATGACCCCAGTGGATTGGAAAGTGTCTTGACACAATATTTTGGTAGTTACAAATTGAGTGATCTTGTCATTCCTGTTCTCGTCACAAGTTTTGATTTGAATAGACAAGAACTCGTTGTGTTTGACAGTGAAAAAGCAAAACCTCAAGGAGAATTAACACAAAGACAATTACCTTCTGATTATTATTTACGAGATATTGCATTGGCAACATCTGCTGCTCCAACGTTTTTCCCAATTCGAACCATTGAATCCATTACTGATCCAAGTGACAAGCATGATTATATTGATGGAGCTGTCACGGCCAATAATCCAACCATGCTTGCTTATTTGAAAGCGAAAAAACTCTATCCTGGTGACAATATTTATGTCATTTCATTGGGATGTGGTTATGAGAATATTGAACGACCTGTTTTAGAAGGAAAGTTAGAATGGGCAAAAACGATCAGTTCTCTCATGATTACAGGTGCTTCTAACTTGACAGAATCATTAATGCAACAAATGGTTGAATTGTCACCCAATGACAGATATTGGAGAATTGATGTCAAGTTAGATCAATGTTACTTGGATGTCACATCTGAAGATTTTTTGAAGAGTCTGAAAATTATTGGAACGAGTTTGAGAACCAATGATGATCATGCTTACAAAACCATTCGAGATACCATTATTGATTTTTATGCATCGAAGGGATATTATACTTGTTTTCGACTTGTTGAAGAAATTGAACAGCAATTGGAGAGTCCAAAACTTCGAAAAGATGGTCACATCGAATTGATTTAAGCGATAAGGGACTCACTCCAATAGCTACTTGGGAAGTTGTTCATTATTTGAAAAATCAAATTTCATTTGAGAATCTTTACAAAATGAATCTAAGTGGACAAGAAATTACCATTGAAATTTTAGAACAATTATTACACTTGAAAACTGGAGAAGCTCCTTCCAAACACAAGAAAAAACATCCATCTCTCAAAAAGAAGGAACAATTATTTGTGAAGTATACTTCCAATCATTCATCAGTCGTTGTTTCAAAAACAAGACCTCTTATCAAACGATTGATCATGAGAGATTGTAAAATTTCTGGACAAGTTCTCACATGGCTCATTCACCAAAGTGATACTCTTTATGAATCTTTGGATCTGGTTGGTTGTGTGAAATGCAGTGAATGTGATTCTGGATTTTTAGATGCATTGTGTGTCAT